GGAACGAGAGGAACGAGAGGAACTTCTTTGCGCCAGAATGCGATTATGGGTGTTCTGCCGCTAACAGCCAGGATGTAAGTGGTGGGCCAGCTGCCACTGCCACATGCCACCACAAGCAGGAGTCAGCTGCGTCCTGTCCCCAAAACCGCGGCGCAACTCAACACTCCCAGAACACAGCCGACCAACGATACCACCTGCACCAAAGCGACGACTCGAAATGCCACCCAACCCCAACGCTCCCCTTATTCCAAGCACAGCACAGCATCTTTCCAACGCACCTTGCAGGCACCACTGGGTCTCGTACGAGCACAGGCGCTCTCAGTACCAACGACCCTTCTGGCAGTCCCTCCACTTTGTCCAATAGTCCCTACCGTGTTAATTTGTCCCTTTGTGGTGGACTCGCCGACGCCACTGGTGCAACCCCTGATACTCTGGACCCCGCTAGGCCCGAAAATCCTAAGCCCGATTCGCGCGACGGCCAATGTACCCCTGAGGGCGAGGACGATAACAACAAGAACCTCGTATCCTGTCACCGCGCTACATTTTCGCCCAACTCCAACTCTGCTGTCCAAAGCGGTGGAAATCCCAACAAGACATCAACAACGACAAACATTAACAACGCAAACCCTAATTCCCAAAATAATTTCTCGGCCGCGACGGCACCCGGTAGTAATATTGCCTCTCACTCTGTCTTGGGAATTCCTTTATCGTTGACCCCCCCAACGTCATACTCCTCTCCTTTGTCTATAATCTCTCAGCAGCAATCCAACCAGCAAGGTGGCAATCCGCAACCCCTGATTCGGACCACCTCAGACAACCGATCCCTAACCATCCAACACCCTGTCCCCGACATAAATCCAAAATCCGGTGCCTATCTAGGGAACATTGCCCAGCTAGAGGCTACCGCCGAGCGGCTCTCAACTTCGACCAGTTCCATCGAAGACGCAATCCGAGACCTTCATGCCGAATTAAAACGGAGCGATAGCCAACGGTCCGCTATCGCCCGCTTCCGAGCCGGACAGCCGCTGTTTGCGACCGAAGAAACCGAAATTGCCGATTCCCAGCTTCGTCTTGTTCGTCCGGCCCTCTTTAGACACCTCTCCGCCTCGGCCTCCATCGCTTCGCGAAACAGTACGTCGTCGAGACATCCGCCGTCCCGCAGCCGTTCAAACTCGTCTATAAACCAACCTCTACGGTATCGGCGCCGATCCGGATCCTTAAACACAGCCATGCAGCAGCACAATAGGGAGGAATTTGAGTCTTACCTGTCGCGAACGGGACCGGGGAAGGGATCCGTCAGGAGTGTTCGCACCGGCAAACTCTCCCTCGCTGAAATTGTCGAGTCCGAGCCTGTCTCTCTGACTCAGGATGCCCTCGACGAAGCCGATCGCACAAATATGACGGAGGAGGATGACGACACCATTCGGGGCCAGACGGCCTACGAGGATAACGCCGCCGCCAACGACTCCGTTCCACAACCCACGGACGCTTTCCACGCAATGCTAGACGGCAGTGGGTTAGACCTTCCCAGCCCCGAGCTAGCCCTGGACCCGACTCATCTTCACCCGGATCATCCGTCCCACTACGCGGACCAGCGTCCTAGGTCCTCAGGTTCCACAACAAGCTCGATCAACCTGAAGAACGCCTTCGGCGATTTTGATGGAGTACATTTCCAGCCCGAGCTCTACTCACCCCCACCTGAGATGCAGGCGATGGCGCCGCCGCCTCCACCACCACAGGCTCCCATGTCACCCCCGCGTGCTCTCCGCTCGTCGATCAGCCCGCCTCTGCCTAGGCCGACGTCGTATATGGATCCACAAACGGGTCAGGAGATGCTCTACTATCCTGCTCGTGTACCTGCGATGCTCAACCTGCCACCTAAGCTTTCGAAGAAGCCTAAGGCTGCCTCTAGAAACACGAGACAGTCCCATCTCCTCAACGCCATGCCCGAAACGTCGAGAAAATCTGCCGTCTGGCTTCCCGATCCGCTCCAGGACCAAGGCAGCCCCGCATTCTCCCCGCCTCTGTCGTTGGATGAGTCGATGGCCGGAATCCTCGGTCAGGTTCCTCAGCCCGAAAGCCCGTTTGCCGACACTGGCTTGCCGACTCCTGGGTCCGCCCCCGAGATTCAAGTTACCGAGACCCCTGACGGGCAGTCTGCTGCTGCTGCTACTGCCGCTACCGGTGACCAAGTGCAGGCTATTCCGGCCGCCGACAATGACGAAGTTCAGCCTGCCGTTCCCCGACCCCGCAAGTCGGCCGCCATTGATACCGACGCTCGTAAGTCTCGGTTGAGCAAGCTGCCCCCGCAACTAAGGGCGAGCGTCTTTTTCGACCTACCTTCGACCTTTACCAAGCTCAAGGTCAAGGACGGTTCGGCCACTGCAACCCTAGATGGCCTCCTCGATGCCTCTGCGAACGCGCCTGTGAGCGCCTTTACGGACCATCTTATTGCTGGAAAGCTTGGCGCAGAGGTTTACGGACCTGAGAAGAAGAGGAAATCGGACATACCGAAGACGTTGACCGAGCCGAAGACGTCGTCTGATTCCGATCCAAAGAAGCGGCACACCTTCCTTCGGAGCAAGAAGAGTTCCGATGCGCTCGACTCGGAGAAGCGAACAAGTGATGTCAGTCCCGCGTCCGGTTCCTTCAATGATTCCAGCGGTCCCCCCGTCAGCAACACCGCCCTTGATGACGAACCTTTGCCTCCCGGCGCTGTGGGCTATGCAACTCTCAGTCCAGACACGGATGAGTTTGATGACGCTGATAGAAAGCCCAAAGATGGCGAGCAACTCGACGGAAAGGAGGAAGGGGAAGAAGAAGAGGAGTACGATGAGATGTATCACGGTCCGCCCACTACTCTCCTTGCCGAGCTGCAGATCCGGAAACAGCAGCAGAAGAACCGTACGCGTCCCATGAACAACCCCAACGGCATGCACTCTACCCTTCTCCAGATGGATGCCGTTGCCGAGGCACAGCGTCGCAACCGAAAAGGCAAGAGGGTCAATCTTGCCTGGGAGGACCCCGACCTGGACGCGCAAGGTGACGAGAGCGACGAAGACGTTCCTCTCGGCGTTCTCTATGCTGCCAAGGCGGCCGGCATCAACGACCTTGCTGCCGCGACGGCTGAGCTTGACAGGCCTCTTGGTCTCATGGAGCGTCGCGAGCTAGAGGAGAATGAGCCCTTGAGCAGGCGTAGGGCGCGTCTCCAAGGTAACGATCCTCATCAGTCAGCTATTCTCACTAAGAGGCAGACGCTACTGATGAACGCGGGCGTCAATATTGGAGGCGGTAACCGACTTTCTCAACTGCCTTCGGTCGGCAATATGGGTCCTCAACTGGGTCTTGAAGGCCGTGTCGAGGGCGCAGAGCAGGAGGAGGACACAGAGGAAGAGGTTGAAGGTGAAACTCTGGGCGAGAGAATGCGTCGCCTCAAGAACAAGGAGGATGGCGATAACCCCCTGCCTCGTGCTCGACCTGTCAGCACAGCTTTTACCAGCGAGCTCCTGAGCCAGTTTGGTGATCCTGCGGAAGACAACGAGAAGGAGAAAGACAAGAAGGAGGGTGAAGAGGAGGAGACACTGGGTCAACGACGCCGTCGGCTTCAGGCTGAACGCGAAGCCGAGATGGGCTTCTCCGGAGCACGGCCCGTCAGCCAGCTCATGCCCCCTGGTGGTGGTGGTGTACCAGCCAACCACCGTCTTAGCATGGCCGGTATCCTCTCCGCCCATCCTATGAAGGATACTTCTCTTCAGGATGCCGAGCGCCGCAGGCATGAAGAGGACATGCCATTGCAGCGAGCGCAGGAAGAGAGGATGGCTGCCATGCGGGCGCAGATGCCGACGACCCTCGCTACTCCGAACACAGGCATCCAGTCTGGCGCTTTCCGCAACGGACAATTCAACGATGGCACGGGCGGCACGGGATCGAGACGCGTGCCGAGCCAGAGCAACATAGGTGCTGAGCTGGGGCCCGACTCTTGGAACCGGTCCAGCGTCGCGTTTACCAACGGCGGCATGATTCAGCAAGCCGGTGTCACGTCGATGAAGGGCCCATACAGCGCCGGGCAGTACAATGGCGCGACTGGAGGTTGGTATGGCCAGGCACCTATGCAGATGCAGGCGCCGATGCAAATGCCGATGCAAATGCCCATGGGTATGCAAATGCCGATGCAGATGCCGATGCAGACGCCGATGCAGATGCCTGGCATGGCGCAGCCGATGGGAATGCCAATGGGCATGGGCGGGGGCTATCCGATGATGAACCCCCAGGGCCAGGCCGACATGGTTGAGCGCTGGCGGCGCAGTGTTATGCCGTGATATATGCATTTGAGATACAAGGCGCAGGAAGAGACCTTTTAAACATCTAGATGGGTTTATTTTGTTAGCACCTAGCTTGGAGAGGATGACGGTGTATTAGGAGAAGACATGGCCCTTGTTTTACTTTTTTGAATTGGAGTACAAACCACAGCATGGCGAGCACGGGGAGCAGCATTTTTTGGGATATGACAACGTTTGATAAACTTTGGGGAAGGGCATTTTACTATGTGTTAACTATTTATGCTTCCCGGGCAATTTGGTCGCCCCCTTCTTACTGCCTAATATTTTTATTAAATGATGAAAACTTTCTTTTCCGAGACGTCAATCTCTTGACATACATGACTGCAACGTCTATATATATATATATATCCAAGGGGTACTTGAATTGCCTTCTTGGCAAGTATCGACACGAATGCTGTCTCAGCTCCCCACCGCCTCCTTGGGGATTCAAATTGGAGGCTTAGCGACGACTTGGGAGTTGGATATCACTTCGGCTTCAGATTGAACTGTTTTGAGTGAAAAGAAACAGGAATCATGTAACCAGGGCCTTTGTATCAACTCTATGAATTTGGCTATGTCCATGCAGGCAAGATACCAAAGAGGTTTATCCCAAGTCCTATCCACATCTTTCCTAGCTTGACCCTTCCATTTATTAATTTATTTATTTATTTCTTTCTTTCTTTAGTTCTTCTTTTTACCGGAATCTTCCTTCAGCGACACGATGCTGTTGAGGATAACGTGGTCTTCGGTACTATCCGAGTCCATGGCCTGTTTTGTCATTATTAGCGGATGTAGTTCGCAAGGAAGAAAACTCTAGAAACGGGGAAACTTACGAAGTAGGCGACTCTCATGGCCTGGAACCGAACGCTTTCCGGTCCAACGTGCCCCGTGCTCTCCCCAGCGGCCTCAGGCCACGGCGCCCGCCTCCTCACCTCCTCGAACCCAGCCTCGACGAGCGCTCCGGGATAAACCGTCTCGCTATCGCGATCGATATCGGCCATGAAACCTCCCTCGACGGCGGTAGGATCATCCGACTTGAAGAGGGGCTTGTGGATGCGGACTTCGAGCTTGCGCGAGCCCTCGGGGACCCACTGGATGTACGTCTTGGGCTTCTTGCCCTCCTTGTCGAGGACGGCACGGATCTCCGTAACGTTGCCCGTGGTCGGGTCCTTTGTGAATGTGGTGGCCTTGACGGGGTAGGGGATCTGCAAGAGACCGACTGTTTTGCCGGGAGCGAGGCGAAAGTAATCGGGGGAGTCGACCTCGCGGAAGTCGGAGCGGTCGATGTAGACGGTCTTGGTTAGGCGCAGCTTGTGACTGCCCATCTTGGGGTTCTTAGGGGAGAAGGGGATGTCAAGTTCCTGGCCCTCGAGGTCGCCCAGGTCCTCTATCACGATGGGGACGGGGTCCAGGAGGAGCATTAGTCTGGGGACGGACATTTCGAGGTACTGGCGGACGGATTGTTCGAATCGGGGAATTTGAATGGTGGTTTTGGCTGTGGTGACGCCCAGTTCGTTGATGAAGGACAGGATGGCGCCCGGGGGCACGCCTCTCCGGCGGAGTCCGGATAGGGTGTAGAGGCGAGGGTCATCCCATCCTCTGACGATCTTTTCGTCGACTAGCCGGTTAAGAGACCTCTTGCTCATGATTGTGCCGCTGATATTCAGACGGCCTGGGTTTCTCATTGTTAGTTTTATTTCGTGTTTGAAGAGAGAGAGAGAGAGAGAGAGAGAGGAGAAAGAGGAGAGAGAAAATGTAGGTAGTCAGTAACTTACCATATTCCCTCTGCATTGGTTCGTAAACACCGAGTGTTTTGTTCAGCCACTCGTAGCTCTCACGAGAGAGAATAAACTCAGTAGTGCACAGACTGTGAGTGATCCCCTCGAAGCTATCACACAAACAATGCGCGAAATCATACGTCGGGTAGATCCTCCACTTATCCCCGGTCCGATAATGAGGCGTCTGATCCTTCGGAATGCGATACGCCGCAAGATCCCACATCTGCGGGTTCCCGTTTTCGAGATCCTGCCTCATGCGAAGGAAGGCGGCCTGGGGCTCGTATTTGCCGTCGCGCATGTCGCGGAACTTGGCAAGGTTCGTTTCGACGTCCTGGTCGGCATGGGCGCATCGGTACCTGGGGCCCTCCTTGCCGTCTTTTCCGCCTCTTTGGAGTTTGATTTCGGCTTCTTTGCAGTGGCAGACATAGGCCTTTTCCAATTCGATGAGTTTCTCCGCTAGGTCGTACAGCTGTTGGAAGTTGTCGCTGGAGTATGTGATAGCATCGGGCTTGAAACCTAAAACAGGAAATCGAGGTTAGGATTATGAGACTCTAGAAACAGCCTTGCGTGGTTCAATCGTACCCAGCCAGCGAATAGTCTCCTCAATGGCCACGAAATATTCATGTTTCTCCTTGTCGGGGTTTGTATCGTCGAACCTGTTGACTTCGGCGTCAGCTATCGGCAGTCTTCGTCTCTCTCGCGCCCTGGAGCAGGCAGTTCATATTCATACCTCAGGATCTATTAGCAGAAAAAAGTTAGCCACCTCTTCAATGGTCTTTCGGTCTAGGTTATGGCAAACAGGAGAATGCGTACAGTTTTACCACCGTGATATTTGGCGAAGCCAAAGTTGATCGCAATGGCCTTGGCATGTCCCAAGTGCAGGAAGCCATTAGGTTCGGGGGGGAAACGCGTGAGGACCTCCTTGGTCGGGCGTTCTTTGTAGACCTGGGCAAGGAAACCCTGCTTGAACATGGCCTCGGGGTCAAGTTGGGGTCCCTCTGTCTTCGCTTTCGCAGGCTTGGGGGCGGCCTTTTCGCCGTCAGCGCCAGTGGCGGGGGGTTGGTTCTTCGCTCGAGCGGCGGATGCTGCCTTCTTGGCCCTCTTCGCCAAACGCTTTTTCAGCTCGTTCTTGGACACCATCTCCCCGGTCTCCTCGTCCAGCTGCAGCTTGGCAGCGGCTTCGGTTATAGCGTCCGCCATGATGCTTCAATGTCGGGTTGTTGCTCGTTTGTGGTCTGGTGGGATGTTGGATGAGGATGATTTTGTGAGTCAAGCTTGGCGGGGCAAAGTCGATCTGCGTCGATGTGGGAAGCGGGAGGTTTCGAGGTCCGTGCGCAAAAATGCAGCGCAGATAAGAAGATTACTGAGCGATAAGACGAGGGGCGATAAGGGACGGATAAAGTAGGAAGGAGGGGTGGAGGATGGAGGGATGGAGGGATGGAGGGATGGAGGGGTTGCTGAAACTGGGAAAATGAGAAGGAAGGAAGAAAAAAGGACAAAATAAAAGATAAAAATAAAACGGAAAAAAAAAAGGAAACCAAAAATGCAAAAGAATCCTGAGCTTAAATTCCCCAAGTAAAAGCGCCCTTATGTCATGTAACCCAAACACAACTTTGAGTCACTCTAAGCTAAACATGACTTCGCCTCATCAACCGTTGACCGTCGACGGCGCAGTCAACCTGGGAATCTGGGAGAAAACTACTCGTCGACGAAGCAAGAAACGAGAGATAAAATTCGGTACCGAAATAGTTTGTAGAAGTTTTAGGAGTGAAACATATACTACTCAACAAAGCTCGAGGCATCGTATTCGACGACGAGCCTTAAATGCCTGCGGAAGACTCAGCCAAGCCTGACTTACAAGCCAAGTAGAACCAAATAGCTAAAGAGAGCCTCGCTCCGGCTTGGACATTCACGCCTTCTTTGCTTTCTTCACATTCCTCTTCTTCCGACAGGCCTCGAGCCCCTTCAACGTCTTCCTCGAGAAACAATCATCACCCACACAATCCAACTCAAAGAATCTCATAACCTCATCCACCTGATCAGGAATATCATGCGTAACTCCTCCAGCAACGAATCCCTCTAACAGCCCCTTATCCCCATACACGCTCTTCGTCCACCCAGCCACGGGCGTATTCTGTACAACCTCAGTCGGCTCAGCGCCAGTACCTAGAACCGCTGACCACAGCTTAATCTGCTCGCCGTAGTTGACGGGGTTGACAACATCGTCCTTATCCCCGTGGAATACCTGAACTTTGGGTCTCACGCCCTCGTAACCCGGATACATGGCCTCAGCCAGCGCAAGCCACTCCTCGGCCGTATGAGTCACCCTCCCCTCGGCACAGTCCGCACTCCAAACAGCATATCCATCCCCTGCATAACAACCCGCTGGAACACCAGCAAACGAACTCCCGGCAGCAAAGAGCTCCGGATACACGGCGAGGAGCACATTCGTCATCATGCCACCCGACGACACGCCCGTAACAAAGACCCGATCGGGATCGACGTCGTATTCTTTCAGCGTCCAACGAACCATGCTCGCGATCCCCAACGAATCACCTCCGGCATCGTGCGTGAGCGTATCCGACGACGATAGGTCCCAGCAGTTGTCAGCCGTCCAGGGGCTGGAGGGGTAGATTACGATGTAGCCGTGGGTGTCGGCGAGGCCGCGCCAGGGCTTGTATTCGAAGGCTTGTTGGGCTGTGCCGTGGCACCAGTGCGGGTAGACGAGGAGGGGGGCTGGCGTGGCGAGTTTGGTGGGGACGTAGAGGTGGAAGGAGACGTTGGTTGGGTTGGGGCCGAAGTCTTGGGTTATTTGTTGGAGGGTGGCGGCGCGGGTGAGGGGGCCGACGAGGAGGAGGGTGAGGCTGGAGAGGAGAGAGAGCATTTTGCTGGAGTCGAGGGTTTGGTGGGTGATGTGTGATGATGTCACTTACACGCTGGCGAGTAAATGGAGGCGATCTTTGGGCGGAAGATAGATACGATTTCAACCCCGAGTCTTCATGAGAAGCGAGCGACCGCGCTGGTCCCGTCCTTTTTATAAAAGTTCGAATTATCCTGTCCTACTTTTACGAATTCCCTAGTACCAGAGACCTCATAATACACCCTCTTTAACAGAAGGCCCTAATAAAAATCCCCAAGTCCCTGGGTAAAGGGTAACATTAAACAGAAGGAACCTTAGGAAGCGGGATCGGCGCAGCGCCCTCCGCGTCCCGGCTCCATTTGTCCCGGTTGGCGGGAGATTCCCGTCGGCTCTTTATGTGACCATGGAGCCTGGCCCTCCGCCCTACCAAAACTGGGTTTCGCTACGTCTAGGCGCGGCTCGGCACGGCTGCCATGAAGACCACAACTATTTCGATTTGACCACAATGGGCGAGTAGAGGAAGGAGGGTGACCGCATTGGTAGTCCTCTCTCTATGTATTAGTGATCTAGGGATGTCGCTGTTGAAGCAACGTCGGTGTCCACAAGCCTGGCGAATCGGACATCTCATCGCACCTGTATTGTCACGTGCTTTCGCGCCCCGGAATGAACAGCAAAGACATCTAGTGGCTAGAGTCATGTTCTCTTCTCGCTCTCCCACGCGTCGCAAGCATGGAATCACAGGCCACCAAAGCTGTCGACAGTCCACCCAAACAAGAAAGCCGGGACTATTTCGCAGAAGCCCTTTCCGAGAGGCTCCGGCAGGAAGCACAGCGTCAAGACAGCGCAACTCCTGAATCCCAGTTTGGGGACGAGAGTGTCGAAGAAGACTACAAGTGGAGGCGCGAAATGCTCAATGACTGCTTTGACCAGTCCGAGGTCCACAAGATCCGGATGGGTATTACCGACCGCGAGCATTGGAGAATCGAATGTGTTCACTCCTTGGATGCGCTCCAATCACTTTTTCAGGAGAACCTTGGCCTGGACGGGTGGACTGTATCTGAGTGGCGACGCCTCGCACTCTCTGTCCAGGGAGTTCTGAGGCAGGTGGGACTTTCGTCTGAGGAAATAGAGGATTCTCGACGCTCAATTGCGGATCAGAAGTACTGGAAATATGAGGTAGAGCATTGGGAGCGAATTATTAAAATGTGCGAGTTTGAGATGCAGGAAGCACTCCTGGGACAGAATGAAGAGCGGCACTAATCGTCGATGCAGGAGGAACAAGCTCAACAAAGTGAATCGAGGGGAGCAAGCACTGCACCCCAATTCCAATAGAAAGTGGGAAAGAAAGAGAATGAAAAGAATCTTCTGCAGCTTCCCCCGTTCTAAAATGCCAGAAAATACAAAATTCCAATTGCAATTATGCCGTGCGCCGACTACATGTGCCCTGCATCCGCGGTTGTCTATTGTATCAGCAAATCTACAACACATTTTCCATGTACCAACAACCTCAACACCCTTCCCTCTAACACAACCTTTTCCCCCACCGCTTAGGACTTGTTCACTCTCTTGGCCGGAGGCGCCGCATCATCGCTATCATCGTCCTCCGCCATCGAATCATCCACGTCATCATAGTTCACCTCATCCTCGTCAGGAGACTCATCGCCCTCCTCTTCATCCGAACCCTCCTCGCCGCCCAAGTCATCCTCCTCATCATCCGAGTCACCACCGATGCCGTTCGCGAGAAGTACACCCTCAACCTCATCATCGTCATCAACAACGCCCCGCCTCCTTACGCCCGTTCCCTCATCACCGGCGTCGTCCTCTCCCTCGACGTAAATGACATTTTCATCCTCATCATCATCGTCCTCACCGCTGGGATTGCGGGCATTCCTCGCCTGCATCTTCTTCCTCAATTTAAGCTGCGAATCCAAAAGATCCAACTTCCCCTTAAGCACCAACAAGCTATTCAACCCCCTCGCCCGCGTCGCAAGCACCTTCTGAAGCTTCGTCAACCTCGCAAGCGCCTCAGGCTGGGCCGCTAGCGCACCCCCGTGCACGACCAACGTCCACTGCACCCAGTGCATCAGCGTACCCGCCCGCCCAGGTCGCGAATGTAACCTCGAACTGAGGTGCATCAGGAGGTTGGACGCCAGACTGCTCTCGAGGCGCTCGATGGTGTTGTGCACGACGGAGAGGTCCGTGGTGGCGAAGCAGGATTCGAGGAGTTCGGAGTCGTCGGTGCGGAGAGCTTGGTTGAGCACAGTACCGAGAGAGGATGCCGAGGGTACCGTGATCGTTCGTGTGGTGTTCTGCGTAGCGAGGGCGCCCGAGGAGCCCGCTTGGCCGGCGAAAGCGGCGTGCACGTCTATCGTCTGCTGTTGCCTCAACAAATCGCCAAACGTGGGCGCCGCATCGGCTTCCGAGTCCGTTCCATCCGTCGCGGCGTCGTCGTCCTTGGCTGGCCGCGCGGTTCCGCCATTCACTCTTTTCCTTGCAGGCTCTGATGTAGCTGGCTCTTCTTGTTCGTCGTCACCCTTTTCCTGTTCAGCATCCTTCATCTCTTCGTCCTTGTCATCCTCTCCCTCCTCCTCCTCCTCATCCGAGGCGCTTTCCTCCGACTCGCTATCTGAAGAAATTTGGATGGGCTCGAACGCTGAAAAAGCAGCGGACTCGGCGACGGTAGCATTCTTCTCGTCAATGGACGTCTTGATCGGCAGACGCGCGCTGGGCTTTATCACTGGCATCGCCAGCTTCGATGGCGCTTTCCGTTTCGCAGACATTTTCGGTTTTGTATCTGGTAGGTGGACTGTGCGTGTAGATTCGGGAGGAGAGTGGTGACTCGGGCGGCCCGATAGGGACCTGCACAGTTGGAAATAAAGAAGGATATTCGAATTTAAGATGGAAATATCCGCAAATGGTTTCAATGGCTCATGGACTCCGTAATAATTGTGAGAGTGAGGGGATCGTTCGCCAACCTGGAGGGCGGTCTGTGTGTTTGTATTGTCGTTGGTTTTTGATTGTTTGCTGGCGACTTGAAATTTTTCTGCCATTCAGGAAACTTTTTTTTTTTTTTTTTTTTTTTTTCTGCCGCTTCCTGGGAGGCTCGAGCTTTCCTTCCCCGCCAAAACCTCAGCCTGAACGAACATGGGTACGTACCTCGTGCAGGCTCGGGTCGAAGATTCAAGTCAGGTGACATTATTTCGCAAAATCACGTGAATTCAAATGACTAATTTCGGACATTGGTTCCAAATCCCTGACTTGACTCGAAGGCAGACGAGACTAACAAGAACTTGTAACATCATTCATCATCGACGCACCCCCATCCCGCTAAACGGACGATCAAGCTAATCGGAATTCCAGGAGCGAAGCACCACTCCTCTGCGACAAAATGGTTGTTCCATCATCACGAAAAGAAGTGAAAAGAAATCAAGGAGGGCGTGTAAATAGCGGACGAGGAAGAAAAAGAATGTGGCTGTGTTGAAATTACCCTTAGGGCAGAGACAGCAATCCCGGTTCCACGACGCTTTGCTGATTCGCCATACCACGCTAGGACCAGTACTAACTTGCCCATGATTGGCCAGACTTTGCTTCTGGACCCAGGCTTCCAGCCCAGGCCCCCTTGCCTATGATTGCTCTGAAGCCAGAGGATTCCTCGATGTGATTGGATGAAATAGTCACACACCTGGTGTGTCTCGAAGTCTTCCCTGCTAGTAATGCATCTACCCAGGCATTACATTCTGCCTACATACATATACACTCATTGGAGCATATGCTTGTTAAATGAGGTATGTGACACCTCGTCACCTGAGCCATGCAAAGAAAGAAACATCCATTGATGGCTCATTCAATCAAACTCAAAATTGGTCGCCACGTCGCTTCTCGACGCGTCTTCTTCCGACTTGCTTCCTCCATCATCACATCACCAACTTTACCGATGGGCCTGGAACTCTCATGCGAAAGAAATCGAGCAAGGCTCTCATATATTTGAGGATAACTCAAATACGCTAGGGCCCCTCGATTTCGAGACTCGCCTCAACGCCCGAGGATAACATGGCGCCGCGCTTGGTGCTGTCTGTCTCGAGTTGTTTGTTGGGCGACGCGGACCATGTTGCTTTTTCTATTCTTCGAAACCGTCACTATTTTCCTGTGATATCTTGAACGACCTCGGAATTTAGGTATTTTTCATTTGATACTAATTACTTTCAGGTGCTCCATCGGATGAGGTCCTGTGACGATTCCTCTATGCTTTGAAGATGGCATTGTCGACCACACGCTTCATATTCGAAGAGGATGATGTTTTCCTACGACAAGCGACCCGACCCTATCGCAAACCGGTCTCATTCGCATTTAAAACCAACAGGCCTATTACTGTCCCAATTCGACAGTCCTCTTCTCTTATTGCCTCAGGAGGAGACATTTGCCATGGCGAGACCGCTCATGAATGACCAGTTTCCCACTAACACGTAGGAAACTCCGCTACTACTACGAGGACAGCACATCAAGGTAGGCTTTGGAGACACAAATTGATATTCCGCTGTTTGCAGTCCCCACGGGATATGTGACGGGTATTTACAGCCTCTTACTGGGTTTACTCGTATTCCCCTTATACTTTTTCCCTCGTTCAATCGCCGACATTCCAACCGTCTCGTAACACGGGAACGCAGAGTCGCATGTAAATATTTAGGCCAACCCTTTCCACCAGCCAAGGCTCCCGCCTTGCTTGTCAAGCTCCGATCCGGCTCCGCTAGCGAAAAGTAGCTGTGGCTAATCCAACCAACGATGACATCGTTCTGCCCTCGTCTTGTGGCAACGTCAATCTGACGCCACTCTTCACGTGCCTGTCTGTGGCGGATTTCATCGATACGACGCAGTGCAACACTGTGTGGCTGGGCCACCCCAAGGCAGCCAATCGTGTTCTCCAAATCCTCCAATCACACCCTCCAAAGCTGCCTCCGGTCCCCGCCCACCCCCCACAACAGCCACACCACCCCTCCATGTGCATAAATGTCAACCTCCCAACCTCGAGCCAAATTTTTATTTTCCCTTGGGATTTTTTATTTTTCTTTTTTTGTTTTTCCCACCTTCCCTCCTCTTTTTATTAAAACCCCCCCTTCCCACCCCAACCCAACCACAGCCTTCACGTGTTTTAGACCCTCTTTTTCCTCCCTCAACTCACGAAAAGCACTGACCACCAACCTCTTTTCCTCTCTCTCCCATTCGACCAACCAGAATTATTTCTCTCTTTCGACTTTTGCTAGGGTAAGTTCGAAAGTTGTCCTTGCCCCGTTTTCCCCGTGCGCCCCGATAAAACGAAACCCAGCATTTCCCATTTTCCGTATAATCCGCGTTACCGAAGGGGGTGTTTGTCGCATTTCTGATAAATACCACGTCGCGCGCCGGTCGGGAAAATCCCAACTGACGTGCACGCGCTTTTCCCATTCTCTCGAAAAGCTTCATATCCTCCACTCACAGCACTCGCACACTTGGAAAGCTCTGGCCACACACGACGAGCAATCCCTTCTCTCCCCCCGCCCATGTCCTCAGAACACGATATCAACAGAGGAGCCGCATCAAACTTCCTAATTCTATTTTTATTATTTCTTCCTCTACTTTAGTTTTCTAACCCCCTGCGCAGTCTTCCGAGAGACAATCGCGACTTGTCATAATACAACCTTCCGACCATCTCCTTGTCGCGATCGGCTTTACCAACTTAATTCCCTTTGAGTCGCGCGCTTTTTACTGACTTGGGCTTGGCTTGGTCCACCTTATCTCTTTTAATCATCTCACCGCTGCCCTCATCCTTGCGACCGTCGCCCATCGCCGTCGCGATCAGCCCTCGAACCTATTCCCAAGCTGATTTCCTAATTCGGGAAGAAGACCTCCGTTGGTAAGTCGCAACCTCTTTTGCGCAATTACAATTGCAATTGCGCTTTGCGTCCGCATCTCCTTTTCTTCTCCTCGCGATAGCTTGGACCATCGAAAGCGGCAATCTTCTCGTCGTATCTCTCTGTCCTTGCCTCCCCAATCGATCGCGCCTCGCCACCCTGCTTATTCGCGACTCGTCCCTTCCCTCAAGTCGCAAGCCATGTAAATTGACGCAACGCCCGCTTTTTTTCTTCCTCCCCATCGCGACTTCTTTTTTGACGTCAAACTCTCGGCCGTGACTGACAAAAAATCCCAACGGAAAGAGCGCTCTTACGTCACGGGTCGATCGCAAGAAAAGGTTCCAACGCGAAACTTTCCCTCTCTCTCGTACTTGTCTGGGTTCTGGAGCTGTTTCAGTCAAACATCCTCCATCCAGCTTGATCGCATGCGCCATCCTCGACCACGCTTCGGGCTGAATCCATCCACTTTCGTCGGCGCGCCTGCCATTCTCGAAACGAGCCGCCGTCCGTAAACCTCTTTTCCATTTTCTCTACTTTTCTCTCCTATTCTCGTCCCGTCTTCAGTCCATGGCGGCCATGGCGACACCAGAACCCAATGCTCCCACACTGGAGCAGAAGTCTGCGTCCCCAGACGTGTCTAGGGAACAAAAGACAGAGCTCAATGGGTATGCGCATTCGCCCTTTATCTGTGCCTCCAGTGATATGCACGCCCTCGCGTTTGGCCTTCGCGCCATGCATGATGAATTGATTTATTCTTTTCCCCTGGAGATGACGGACTCAATTGCTAACCCAGTCTTTTCTTTGACCAGGCTCAAGCCACCTTCTAGTCCCAAAGCCGCGGAAAGCGAAGCGGCAGCACCAAAAGTCAACGGCAACGGAACTAAGTCGGATAGCAACGACGGTCCGAACGGCGTAACAGCCACCAGCGAAGAGGGCGCCGCCTCTCGCAAATCCGAAGAAGCCGCCCCCGCCACAGAGACGATACCTGCTGACGAGGCGGGCACTAAGCCAGACGCCGATTCCGTAACGTTACCGGAAGCTAAGGCCGAGGCAGAGAAGGAGGAGGAGAAGAAGGAGCCGGAGGCGCCGGCAACGGTAAACGCCAAGAAGAGCGAGGACGTCGATATGACCGACGCTGATGCGAAGCCTGACACCACCGAAGCTATCACCACCTCTACGACTACTGCTACCGAACCCTCCACTATAGAAAAGCCATCCTCTTCTTCGGACGCGCAACCTCCGAAGACCGAAGAATCTAAAGAGGCGGAATCCGCCGGACCCAAGTCTTCTGAGCCTGAGGAGAAGAAACCTGCCGACACCGGCGACGCTATGGCCGTCGACGAGAAGCGAGAATCTCCCGCCACAGAACAGGAACAAGACGTTTCTACGCAAGGTCCCGAAGGCATGTCCCAGCTCAACATTACCGACGATGCCATTGTCCAGTCCCCCGTCGACGAGCATGTCGACGTGGCGATGGATGATGCCGCACCCACTTCCTCGGCCAAGATTGCCCGGGAACGCGACGAGGATTCGGGCGACGAGCCCCTTGCGAAACGCGCCAAGACAGAGCCGCAGGAAGAGGTCCAGGTTTCGACAGTAACCGCCGAGCTTAAGAACTCTAAGGGACTGCAAGGCATAGAAAATTGGAACAACACCGATCTCGAAAAGCGCGTCCTCACACCTTACCAGATGCGGGAGATGCGGCGCATTATCGCGGGTGTCAAGAAGACCAAGAACGGAATGCACTTCAAGGACTCCGTAGTAAAGCTCTGGCCTACGCTCGCGGCCGCATACTTGGACAAGGTGGAGGACCCTACAGATCTCGGTGAGCTCGAGCGCGGACTACGCGACCAGCATTTCCGCACCCTCGGTGACTTTAAGGGAAGGCTTTCTCTAATTTATAAGAACACTTTGACTTTCAATGGCGAGTATCACGACATCACCCACGCCGGCCTAAACGTCGTCGAGACCATCTGGACAAAATCGCTATCCGTGCCGGAGGAGGAGCCTCCGCGGTCCAAGGCCACGTCGAAGCATATGCCGTCTCGTCACCACGAGCACCGCGCCTCTGCCCACCACGTGTCTCCCCCTGCGGAGACTCCGACCGCAAAGGCGGCTGCTACTCCCGCGGCTGCGGAACGCCCACCTCCCAAGTCGAAGCAGGCACAGGCGAACCGCAGGGCTTCCAGCATTGCCACGAGCCCCACAGACGGTCCTGAGTCTCAAACTTTCGCCCTGCCTCCAGGAGGTGTACCGCAGATCCGACGCGCTTCGACAAATGCCGATGGCGACAGGCCCAAGCGGGCTATTCACCCGCCCAAGAGCAAGGACATCGATTATTCGTCCAAGTCCTCAGTCTCCAAGAAGAATCTCAAGCCCGAGATCCAATTCTGCGATGAAGTGCTTCGTGAAATTATGGATGAGAAGCACTTCCACCTCAATGCGGCCTTCCTCGTCCCCGTTGACCCCGTTGCCCTCGGTATCCCTACGTATTTTAATATAATTAAGAAGCCAATGGACCTGAGCACGATCGCGGCCAAGCTGAACGCTGGGGAGTACACCCACCCCAAACAGTTCCAGGGCGATATGGATCTGATGTTCAATAACTGTTTCAAGTTCAACACGGCGGGTACCCCCGTGCACGTCCAGGGCAAGCAGCTCAGGTCTCTCTTCCAGTCGGAGATGGCCAAGAAGGACCAGTGGCTCGCCAAGCACGCGTCCAGCAAAGCGGGATCGACGGCATCCGACCTCCACAGCGACGAGGAGTCCGAGGCCGAGGCCGAGGTTTCCGTGGGTGGAGGCGACGCGGCGGTGCTGGCGGCGACGATCGCGACGCTGCAGGAGAAGCTGCAAGAGGAGACGACGAAGCTGAATCAGCTGTACATGGAGGATCTCCCGAATGAGGCGCTCATCAGGCTCCAGTCAACTGTGTTGTCTACCGTCCAACAGAGTTTGCTCGCGGAGAAACAGAAGTTCGCCGCCATGAGGTCGGAGAAGCCCGCCAAGGCCAGGCCTAGCAAGCCGGGCAAGGCCAAGGGTGGCGCCGGTGGTGGTGGTGGTGGTAGGAAGTCGACGGCTCCCGCGGTTCCCAAGAAGTCCGGCGGCGGCGCTAAGAAGCCCGCTAAGAAGGAGCGCTCTTGGGGCGCCGCCGAGAGGAACCAGATCGCCAATGCACTCAGCGATCCTTCGTATCCGAGCATCGAACAGGCAATTTCGATTATCAAGAAGGATACCGGCCAAGCCGTAAGTAGTAATTCCACTGTCGTATCCCGTAGTCCTTTTATTCGTAGCGTGCAGATGTGCTAACTTAGGATCAGGAAAACAATGCTGGTGTGCTCGAATTGGACATCGACCAACTCAGCACCAACGCGATTCAGAAGCTGTGGGATCTCTGCGCCAAGGCGATTCCCGGTTTCGGACGAGACGGCGGGGCGTCGGCGGATGCGGGTCTCGGCGGCGGCAGCAGTCCCCACATGGACAACGCACCGCTGTCGCGGCCGCCGAAGCCCAAGAAGAAGAACAAGCCCATGAACGCTCGGGAGCAAGAAGAGCGCATCAGCAAGCTCAAGGGCATCCGCGATCAGTTCCGTACGGGTGGTGCTGGTGCTCGGGCAGGATCGCCTAAGACGATGAATGACTCGATTACCGCGGCTCTAACGCCGACGGCGATGGAGGATAGTAGTGACTCGTCGGACTCGGAAGAGGAGTAAGGGCGTTTCCTTTTGTGGATGCGTGCGAGGAGGGGGGCGAGCCCTAGTGATGAATTGGCAAACGCTCATTTTTTTCCAAGGTGGTGACGGGGTTTATCATCTCGGCAGTCAGTTGCTTCTACGCATGCCACGCAGGTCCCTGCACACTTGTGAAGGGTGTTTCCTTACGAACGAGACACTGGCCCGTTATGGGTAGTGACTAGGAATGAACTCTCTCCCCTCCTTTCATCGACTACTTTATGTCGAAGACCCACCGCGCCGCGATGCATCCTTATGCTTTTGGTAGACTCGGGAGTCATTCGGCCTGCAGTGGCAATTCACAGCTCCCCATGGCGCAAGTCCGATAGCATATCTTATTAGCTCTTTAGCCTTGTTTCGGCCGATGGAGAAAGCTGGGACGGTGAACGGCAAACTTGGCAAGTGGAGAGGGTTAAGAGCATTTAGCTGAATTTGAAGAGGAAGAGGCGGATAAGTGGTATACCCCCGAGAGAGAGAGAGAAAGTGCAGTTGTCAGGAGGAAATTAAGGGAGGTTTTAGGGAGGGTTTTGATTTCCAGGCGGTTCCCTGTTCTCCCAGTTGGGGCGAGACAGGCACAGGCATCAATAAAGGAATGCAACAAAGAAGGAAACGAAACGTGTTTGCGGGTGGAGCGGATGTGTCAAAGTGTATGATTTAGTTGCGGATGTCTCTGCGTGGTTATGTTGGTGGTGCTGTAAGTTAACAATGTGTATAATGTCCTCTCCCACCCTCCGCGCCGCGACTTCGGGCGATTCCCTGTAACGATGTCTCCGTGAATGTCTTCACGTCCCGTCCTTGCCGGGTGAGGGATGCGGGCAGTAGTTAGGCGGGCCAGTGCCAATGCTGCAAGTCGTAGATGTCCGAAGCGCCCACTAGGCCGAACAGAAGAGAGTGAAGCGTGGCTTGGTTCAGGGCGGGGCAACCTCGTTTGCGGCTCTCTTTGTCAGAAGGGCCTATGTCTCTGGTTTCGGATCTCAGTATCTGACCATTCCAGACTGGACGAGGTAAGCAGTGGTAAATTAAAAAACAAGCCTGTGAAAGGCTGGCAAAAAAAAAACCCTCATGGTTTCCGGTTCGTACGAGAATGTGCGGTTGTGGGCTGGGTCGGGCTGGGTTGGTGTGGGGTAAAGCAAACGAGATTTTTTTTTCTTCGTGCCCCGCTTGTGGAGAGAGGAAACGGGAGACGAAGGGACCCAGAGGAAGCGGACGACTGAAACCGGGGCTCTGGAAACTTGCGGGATGAGCGGGCCGGTCCCGTGGAGGTGAGCTTGTTTTGGGGGGTTGGGGGTTGGGGGTTGGATCCGATATTTCTTCACCCAGCTTTGGGGGCTGGAGGAGGCGTTGTGGGTTGGTTTGTGAGGGAGGGCGAGTGTTGGACCTTTCAGGCACCCCGAGATTGGCTGTCTCGAGCAGCCGTGACATTGGACAAGATGGCGAGAGAATGGTGGCCCATTGGTGGCCCGACAATAGGAGAAGCGAGGCCGGTTCGAGAAGGGCTGGTCGGCGTGCCTAGTTTACCAGCTTCGGAGTTTCTCGGTGCGTCTGTAGGGGAGCGGGGATGCAGAAGAATGCAGAAGAAGACTAAAGGTTATTTTTGGGTGATGATTGATCGACCTTTGGAGAAAATGGTCGTGTGATCTACAGGGCTCCCCTGGAGGATTGGGAAACATCTCAGCGCTGGCTGTTGTGAGCGACGGAACGGGCAAGAAGAGCGAAGTCATGAAATACCGAGTACTCTTGGGCTTATCCCGAGGGTGGCTTCTAATATTCTTAGCAGATGGAGGTGTCTCACGCCTCTTGTTGTTTGCGTCTTTTGGGGCGGTTGCTGCGAAGGAGAACCTGAATGCGAATAGCGAGGCGTTGATGTTGTCTCCCAGTAAAGCCGGCCCGGTCCGGTCCGATTCAGTGTCGTTTCTGGTGCTGGAATTGCGTTTTTGTGCAGGTCATTGAATACGAAGAAGGTACCTTAATGTAGCGGGAATCGAATACGCACTGCTCGATATCAATATAACCCAAATTGGCTCCAATTTTCGAGATGAATTATTTTTTCGTACCTCCAGACTATGGTTATAAAACCCTTCAAGAATCAAGCTGCTACTCCCTTGTCTTGGTGCCGTGATCGTACAGTTCGAGTCGTCGTTCAAACGAAGTCCCCTGGGGCGACCCAGGTGCAAGCAAAAGGCAGACTCTTACCCCCTCATCCTCGGGGATTTGAAGCCCTTTGGCGTGGCTGTTCCGTCCTGCTGGAGAGGGAGTCGCACCGGCCATTTGGGACGCTCCCACACTTCTGCTGCTGCAGAGGACCTGTCACTTGTGAAATCCTACAGATTCGTTGAAACATTTTTCTTCTTTCTGCCTCTTTGCAACCCGCGAGTGTGAGTGAGAAAGCCTAAGGGAAGTATTTGCGCCGATGAAGGACGTGAAGCTGTTCTTCTCCAATGTTGCAACGCCGGTCCCGCACTACTTCGTATGTACTATTCAATGTGTTTACTTCCAATGCGAGTAGTGCTGACCGGCTTCACCACCCCCGCTGGAAACTTGCGAGGCATCCCGCCTCGGAGAACATGAATCGGCAGCATTCATCAGCCCTTGCTTGGTCATCACGACGTCGCTCAGATGCCTGCCATTCTTTAGAAGAAAAAAAAACCTTTTCCTCTCTCGCACCCTCTTTCTCTCGCCCGTTATATGCCAAGACTCCACTGGTCTCACAAGGAAAATAATTCTCTAGGAAAAAAAAAAAAAAAAAAAAAAAAAACCTTCGCCCAGCCCCAGGTGTTGCGTGGCATCATGCGGAGCAAGCGCCGACAAGCCAATGAAGGATGAAACTGGAACCATAGGGTGCTGGTGCCATGCATCAAGAAACCGATGAAAAAAAAATGTGTGTGTGTGAGGGAGAGAGAGTCTTCGTAGATGCGTGCGAGTGTATGTATGTCGGACATGGGATGTTGCATTCGAAGCAGACTACGAAGCGAAGTACTGAGGTATGACTGACCTAGAACGGCAACAATTTTCATTACTTGATAGTGGTCACTAGGTTGTGGCGATGCAGGAGGGCTCTCCATGCATGGGCAACCAGGGTGGTAACGGAAAAATACGAAGCAGTGGGCGTAGTGTACAAACTTGAGCCGGTCAGCCGGTGACCGTTTCGTCGGTGAAGCCCCATGAATGAAGCCCAGTTCTGAACAGAACACAGCGAAGTCAACTAAGGTGGGAAAAGGAGAAAATATGAGGCATCAATGATGATAGCCAAGGCCGGTTTAGTTGATCGTCCACCACTATACCCAGAAGAGAACAAGACCAGACCAACTTTGTCTTTTCCTCCCCCTCCCCCCAAAATAGAACGATCCCATTCCGAGCCTTCACTGGCGAAGAGCAACTGTCGTCTCCTTGCCCATTGTCCACCGGTCTGGAGGATCAGGGTGGAGAAACAAGATGGGTCCCGCCCGGTCTATTTCGTACAGAGAAGTTAGAACCGAGACTCTCTTCTCGTTCGTTGTTTCGTAAACTAAATTGATTTTCTCGAAGTATCGTAATAACCTAAATTTAATTATCTGGCCGTGTTAATCCTCCTCCGCACCGATCGACTGGTGCGGGAACGGGTCAAGCCTAGGTTCCAAAAAAGGAACAAGCAGCCTTGGTAGCAAGTATATCTCAAGGGTGTGCCTCGTACGCATACTTATTATTATTGTTAATTTTTAATCCTTGTTCCTATGATTATTATTTACAGGACCTATGCCAAGCCGAAGCGGGAACGGGGTTTCCGGGTTCTCTGGTAAAGACGAAGGAGACAGCGCGAGCTTGATCTTTTGCTGGAATGCTGGAAATCTCTTTTGTGTCTCGAAGTTTGGGCTCGTCGGTTGCTCCCCTAAAAAGAGTTCTAACCTGACCGAAAAGAAAAGAACTCGGTGTGTTTTCCGACACTATCCAATCCAACGGCGAGCCATTCTGGTGGGTTCTCCAAGAAGAGAAGAGGGAAGGGTGGGGAGGGGGAGATGAGATGGCTGCTGGCAACTCGTTGGTGGAGGCTCGACCGTACCCTTGGGTCCATTACCGGGAAACGGGGCTGGATTTTCAGGGAGGAAGAGGCACGAGGTAAAGTGACTCCTCACACATGCACACACCTTGGAACGTTCACGGACACTACTTCGCCGACCTTCGTTGATCGACACCAGACTTGCATGCACCAAAACTTGACAACTTTGTTGGTCATGCCTTGGAAAGGGCGGGCAGAAGCATGTATACGTTACGTTACTGCTTAAACAAAGCCCGCAGGTCCCCGACGAGAAGTTTTACAATGTACTCCTTCTGCAACGAAACACGGAGATATACATACGGGTATGCATTTCCTCGTCCCCTCGTCTTTGCCCTTCGAGGGGCCGTGTAGATTGTGCTGGCGCACGACTCCAAGCCATCCTTCGTCCTGCTGATGATTGGATTGCCAGCTTCGACAAAAGATGTGCCTTCTGCATGCGTCTTTATGGAGTGGAGACGGGGGGGCTTTGGGATTTGGGAGCGACTTAACCTGCATCGGCCAACCACGAGTTCCCACGGACAACAACCTGCTGGGACCCTCGTACTCGGGTTGTGCGGCATCCACCCAACATGCTCAAGAGCCGTTATGGTTCAGAGAGTCTATTGAGTGGGGACCTTCGAGGACTTGGAGTTGCGAGGTGGTTTTGGTTGCCACTTGGAGAGCAGAGTTTAATAGTACTTTCCACTCATGACTCAGGACAGCAACGGGTACAGGAAGTGAACTCTGTCATGCTGCCCTTAGGCACTCACTAATCACGATTGGCATTGTCCGTATGTACCTCGTGAAACTGCCTGCTTTGGCACTTGCGTTGCTCGCTTCCCAGAAAAGCGCAACTTAGTTACATCTGAGGCAGGGGGGCGGGGGCAGGCCCACCGGGCGACGACATGCGAAGCTGTTTGTCCATTTCTCTGAATCCCGTGAAGAATGCAGTGTCCGACGATCCAAAATATACTTTGCGAGATCAAAACCGTAGAGGCAAAGATCAGGAATGCCAACTGCGACCCAGCCGCACAGTGCAGTGAGTGCACCACTCTGGCGGAATTTGCGTTCTTGGACCCCGCTCTCATCAATTGATACTTCCTTTCCTTCGGCCTCCTCCAAGTCTCTCCTCAGTTCGGACTGCGAAGTATGTATCAATGTACCTTCGTACCTTCGTACCTTCGTCCCAGCCGGCTGGGTAAGTAACACCCATGGACAGCCCACCCCTCCCCTCAACCAGAATATTAGCGTAAACCGCTAAAGGCATCAATATCGCCATTCACCATTCCCCCTCTCCCTGTCTGCATCGAGTGGAGCCCACTTTCCGTTTTGGCAACTCTGTGCTTTGCAGAAACATCTCGGCGTAATATGCCTTGCCTGCATGCATTTTGCAGAAATGTGGTCGAATAGTCGGAAACCACCGACTTGTCTCTATTATTTTGATTTCCTGTTTTCCTGTTCCATTTCACTTGTGGGCAGGGCACACTTGCGCAGACAGGAGAAGAAGAAGGGGGGATGGGGACCTTTTCATCGGAAAGCCGCATCGTCTTGTTGTCTGACACTTGACACTTTCTTGACAGGTAATTGGCGAGAGAGGAAACGTGGTTCGACCACGAGGGGCTAATGTCGTTACCTACCCACCCATCAGGAATTCCCATCAGATGAGGTTGAAGGACAAGACTTGACTGGCGCTAAAACGACCTTGGACTCGTGGACGATGAACGAGTGCAAATGAGACAAGACAGACTGAAATAAAATGGCTCCAGGCTATGGTGAAATCATCGATGGGTTAATTAGCCCACTTTCGAATACCTGTGCGTCGTCTTGCCCTTGTTAAAGATTTACGATCAATGTCCTACACTGGGGGCTCTCGGACAGGGTTCAATACCGACCAGGCAAGCGACTTGAATACTCACCTTCCTGAGTACACTCCAAGTACATAGAGAACCGGACTAGCGGTAGCTGCGATGGCTCCGTTGTAATACTTCGTAATGCAGAAGAAAAAGAGGGAAAAAGTGACGTTAAAGGGAGTGGAGAAACCGCTGTTCCTTCGCATATCGCGCATAGAAGGCAAAGGCAGTAGAATCGAACGAGGAACAAAATATCGACCCGCTGTAGCGGGCTGGACCTGCAGGAGGAGTACCATGGCCGGCAACTGCGAACCGGTACCGGATCAGTCTTTCGGAGGAGACAGGGTATTGATTAGTATGAGTATGTGCGTCCACGTCTGTGGTTTCAAGCGAAGAGCCGCCTATTCTATTAGGAAGACGCCTGCAGTGGCATCCTTAGTGAAGGGCTTCTTGGAACCGGTACTGGAGACGGGGGTTGAGGTCTGCGAACCAGATCCCGGGCGAGATAGGTACATACCGTGGCGGCCTGTACCGTAGCACTGGAACTATTGCAGCGCCACCCCTTGTGAGCTTGTTTCGGGGGTTGTTGGCCAGAATGTATGAAAGCAAATTAATCATAATTGATCAGTAGATGAATACAGACACACGAGCTCGAATCGTGGCACCCTGATGTCTATTACAAACATCCAAGTTGCTTCTGGAATGGCGCACTGAAGTTGATCTTGACCCATCGATTGTCACTTCCATCCTAAGCGACTATAAAGCACAACCCCCAATTCTTCAATTCCAAAGGGTTGAATTGTTACCTCTTCATTTTGTGTTCGGCGGAGTAAAATACGCCTGACGAAGTACTTCGAATGTGAATGTACAATTCTTGAGTTGATGCTCTCGACACGAGAAATTGCCCTTTACTTGTCTCCTCGGAGTTTCCCCGCTAATAACTTCGTTCCTCGCGCACATTCGATGTTGTTACGCCGTACCATCAAGTACAGCAAAACGCAGAGTGTACGCCTGTGTACTTCGTACTTACTTCGTAAGGACGAGGACTATTAGTCGATTGACACCCCAAGACCAAGTTCCCAAGTCCCAAGTCCACCGTGCCTGTTGCAAATAATATCCAGCCAAACCACAAGCTTCTGCAACTGCCACAGGCGACAGACTCCAATTGTCTCCAATGCGGCTTCCCCCCCTTGCCCGCCCCATCCTAGCCACTCTTGGGCTTAGCGTCCCCAGAATATTGGGATTTTTCTTCTCGACATGCTAGCACGGCTTTGCTCCTTCCTCCCGCACCGCACACCCCCGCCTAGCGCCTCCTTCCCTCTTGTTCCAATTGTTCCTCTTGTTCCTCTCCTTCCTCGCGCTGATATTCCATTCAAAGAAATCCACCGACTACCGAGTACAAGTACCCTCAATATCCTCCCCGATTCTGACTCCCCCCTCCCCCCTCCCTCCGTCGTCCCCGAACAAGAAGAAGGAACCAGGGTGTGACAACTTGGTAGTTGATACATCACTTTTTTTTCTCTTGCATCTCCTCTCGCCTCTCTTCTCTGACCATTCTCGGCCTCCTACATATTATCTTCAAATGAAAATAGACTATTATAAGACTTCATCTAGCCATCCGCAAAAGCCTCATCTGCTCATTTCTTCTTTCCCTGTCCAATCCGGTATCTAATATTCTCCATTGTTGCCTCGACATACGCATACTCAAGGTCCTCTGAAACGAAGTTTCCACGACAGCTTCACCCACACCCCCTCTCACCCGGCACTTCCATCCTATAACCGCGAGTACCACGAGGAGCCGTTCCCAGCGTCGCATTTTGGATTCATATCCCATCCCATCCGCGTCGCCTCCTTTTCGCCCCCAATTCTCACCAACTGCTCTTTTCCATCTTCGTTTTTTCTCTCGCCGCAAAGAATCCAATCCAGCGCCTCCGATGTCCACCCAGGTATGGAATAGATGAATATCGATATGCCAGGAAGCGACGTAATTCCAGGCGTATGTTGTCTTTTCTTCATATCGATATTGTCCTCGGGGTTGTTTGAAGCGAGCCATCTTGTGTGGATATACGTTGTCTTTTTTGTTTCCATTTTTTTGCCACCATCGCGCTACACGACTTGATTGTTATAGACCTGTAACCTCCACCATGATGTGTGATGACAGAATGGGGATGCGCCTTCTGCTTTTTTTTCTTTTCTTTTTTCCCTTCCCGCATTCCGCTGTCCATTAGGCCAAAGTCTCGGAGACCGGGTGCAGTGTTTGGCCCTTTGCGAGCGTTTTGTCTCAGCTCAATGATATATGCAAAGCTTGGGTGATCATGGAGCACGGTACTGACATGCATCTCGATCAGGACCCTGACCTGGTCGACCACAACGATGAAGAAACCGATATTGACAATGACTCTGCCTTTGACGAAACTGCGTAGGTGACACCCGCTTTTTTTTCCTCCTCTCTCGCCCGGGATTCGGTTTTCTCTCTCTCTTCATAAGCAAATCTCGGCAGCTAACTAACCCGGTTCGTCTAAAGGAGCGCCATGTCCACAACTGCTTCGCTAACGGAAAGCATATTGAACTACCGAAATATCCACGGTCGCACTTACCAGCGGTCACCGTCCACGGCGTATTGGTAGGTTATATAATGGGCCCAGATTCATAGGGGGGACTTGGCTCACATTTGACACGTATAGGGGACCGAATGATCAGAAGCAGATGGAAGGCTTAGACTTGACGTGAGTAGCAATCCTGCAAGAGAGACATATATCTCTTGTCGCTGACTTGTTCTCGATCCAGACATCACTGGATGACTCTATTATTTGATGACAAGCTGTACCTGGCGCCGATTGGGGATAACCCGCAGAGGATTCTCGATGTTGGGACAGGGACAGGAATATGGGCCATGTGAGTAGATTTTACCCGACAACTCGTTCGAGTTTCGCTGACCCACCCTCGTAGCGACGTCGCCGATATGCTACCCTCCGCCGAAGTAATCGGCACTGACATCTCACCTATCCAACCTACCTGGATCCCCCCTAACTGCCGCTTCCTCATCGACGACGCCCAACTCAACTGGGGCTGGAAACCCGACTACTTCGATTTTGTCCACCTGCGCCACCTCGTCGGCTGCATCGACAACTGGTCGCGCTTCTACTCCCAAGCCTTCTCCCGCCTCAAACCCGGCGGCTACTTGGAGCACTGCGAGTTCGATATCAAGACGCGCAGCGACACCGATCTCGTGGGTCCCGATCACGTCTTTACGAAATGGTACGAGGTCCTCATAGAAGCCAGCGAGAAAACGGGTCGGAGCTTCCGGTACCCCTCCCAAGAGGGAGCGACAGAGGACTTGATGAGGCAGGTGGGCTTCGTTGACGTGGTACACCAGACCTGGAAGGTGCCCATCGGCGCTTGGCCCAAGGATACAAAGATGAAGCAGCTTGGGCTATTCACTTTTGAGTTCATCGACTCATCGTTGGAAGGGTTTGCCCTGTATTTGCTCAAGGAGATTATGGGTTGGGAGTTTGAGGATATTCAGGGTATTGTGAATGGCATGAGGAGGGCGATACGGCGGAACAAGCTGATGCCTTATTTCGTATTGTGAGTTCTCACCGATGTGGAAAGGAAAGATGGTTCAGCAGCTAACATGGCGTCTCTTCAGGCATCTCACTTATGGAAGGAAACCGGATTAATTGGGGTAATTGGGGTACTTACTTGATGTCTCTGACACGGGTTTCCTGCTGCTGGCGATTGGGACAGAGTCGCCCAGCAGGTATCGTTTTCCGATGCGCGGTGAGAGGGGTGTTTCGCCTCTTTCCTTTTTCCATTTTTGTTTACGACTTGCCATGATCCTCGAACGGCCTCTTCGATGTGGGGAAGACGGAGTCTTCTTTCGGCTTTCGAGATATTTTCTTTTACCTTCTTCTCTTGGATAGCGCTTGGGCAAACAAGACAAATCCAGGATACAAGGGAGACCCCCAAAAGGCGGTTTCTCGGGATAGGGGGGAAAAACGGAGATGTGGTCTCTTGGTCCAGACCTAGAGGACTCGGCTATTTCATGATCCTGAAATGAGGCATGATGATTTCATTTAGGATCTTTTTTGATCCTTCTTTTTTTTCTGCATATACATTTAGATGGGGGGCAGGAGATGGATCGGACCGGAGGCTTTCTGCTTTAGTTTTTATTCTGCTTTTTCCCAATATTTATTTTCATTAGGGCTTTATTTTTTTTGAACTTCTTTTGAATATACTTTTTGTTTGTTCAGGACCTTTAAACTTCAGATGTTGAAACTAGCTTTCTCCAGATACTCGGTGACGAAATTTGAGATGTGATCAAATCCAGATGCATGAGAAGCCTTTCCTTCCATGCCGGACGCCTTTTCCCACCCTCGTTCCCGACGCCGTTTACGGAAATTTTTACGAAAACCCGAACCAGTTCCATTCCCTCGGGTTCTTCTTCATGAGGGCTTTCGATACCCTCCAATTCTTTTGTCCCGGGTCCAGTCCGATTGGAGAGAGAGAGAGAGCCAACAACATACTTCGTACATTAGCCAGCTTTGGCCCCCAAAACCCAATTCGCCGGAATTGTTGGATTGGAGAGGATGTTGAATGATTCGTCGAAGGATATATATATGTATATATATAGTGAGTATATTGCTACACGTCATGTCCTTCGTATTCGTGGCCAGGTGGCATTATTATATTACAACGACGACTTTCCCAGAAAATAGAAAATCGGGGTCTTCTCCGCTCGAGAACAGTTCCGGTACATTCAATAATATAAAAGAGAGCTCAGCCCATTTTGGCTCGCGGGGAATCGATCCATTTCCATTCACCTCAATGTAATTTTTTTTTTCCCTTTGCCTCTACCGCCGAACGCCGTTCCAATGCGTGCCAAAATGAACAAAAAGAAAATGAGAAGCGGAAAAGAAAAGGTAATATACACAATTCCAATAAGAACCCCTATATATATATAATGCCCCCCAGATGACAAAAGAAGGAAAAGGTTGAGATGAAAAGAAGTCATAAAAATCCGGCAGAAGCATAACTCGACCCATCCTAAAGCGCCAAGTCAATATCCTCCGATTTCTTCGTAACCGCTAGGCTCAGCACCGACGTCTGCTCGCGCAACTCCAACTTGGAGTCGGACTCGGCGGCTGCCAAGCGAGCAAACTCGCGCGTGGCCTTGTCAGTAAGGGTAAATGGCGTCTCCCAGAGATATTTATCCGGGTTCGAGCAGGTGGCGTGCCAGCTTCCGTCTCTCTCGCTCTCGCCCTGATTGGCGTTGTTGGCATCGGCATCGGTCTTGACGCGAGAGCCAAAGATACGCTGCTGGGGCTCGGCATCTCCTTCGGAGCAGGGTCGCCAAACTTCATCGAAGCGGAGGGGATCGCTGGGGGGTCTCTCGCCGCGGCCGAGCTCGTCCCTGAGCTTGGCGTTGCGCAGCTGGCGCTCAACAATGGCTTCGAGGACGAAGTAAGGCGCGTCGTATTGCAAGGCTTTGCGGAGAGGGAAGGGGGCTAGAAGAGCTTCGAGATCGTCATCTGCTCCCCTCCTCTTTCGCTGGTTCTCGGATTTTTGTACTTGGTTGGGCGCAGACGCGTGGCGCTTGCGTGCTTCAGCTCGATCGGGATCGACGGTTTCGTCCGTTTCGGGGTTGGGAAGGTTCTGCCATTCGGCGATATGCGAGGCGACGCCGTCGTTCCACCGCTTCGTCAAGTACGCTGCGTTGGTCATGTGGACGGCCGGCGAGTGCGGGAGCGGAGGACGCGGTCGCATAGAGTTCCAGCCTGGGGTGATGGAGATGTCGACGACGCGAGGGATGAGGACGCGGAAGATCTCGCGCTCACCGCGGACATCCTCCAGCTTGTCGGCCTTGAGCTTCTCGATTACGTCGGCATCAGCGTAGCCCCAAAAGTCGGAAAAGGCAATGGACGTGTCCGCAAGAGACGCCTTGTAAAGGATCTCGATCTGCTGGAAGAGCCTGAGCACCATGTAATCGACGACTCCCACGGCGGCTTCGCGCGGAAGGGCGGCGAGGGTCCAGGCATCCCACATTCCAAAGTTGAACACCCAGAGGGTCTCCTTGGGCGGATTCTTCAGAGGCTTACTCTGCAGGAACCTGGCGACTTGGGCGTCGAGATCGTCGTGGGTGGGAACGGGGTAGTGGTCGGCGATGTAGGTATAGTTAAAGCCGGGCTGGTTTTCGTCGAACTCCTGCGACAAGACGTTTTCGAGTGTTTCCTGATAGGCCGTGTTCGAGAGGAGGGCGGGGTCGGGTCTGGATCCGTCAATGGAGGGGACGAAGGAGTAGTGCGTAGAGCAGCGAAGCTACATTGCGGGGTTCACACAAGTTAGTCGGGATGGTTCCTTTACGCTCTTCATATATGTGTACCTGTATCCTGGGCTGGGAATCGCTGGGAACAAAACCAAGGCAGTCTAATGGAGCACAGCAGTACGACATGACATGGACATGACCAGTCAAAACTTACCTCGTCACAAAGATACTCAGTCCAGCTCTTGCTAGTACCGCTCTCTCCATTCTCACGCCCCATAGCCAAGTCCGGGGCACCAAAAACGACCAACCTCAAGCCGCCACCTTCGGGTTCAGCCTCTCCGCTCGAACCACCGTGCCATCTCAAGAGCGGGCCTGCTCCTTCGCCGGAAGTGACGTCTGATAACCTGTCGGGGAGGGTGAACATGGCAATAATGTTGACGAGAAGGACGAGGCCGAGTATGAGTTTTAGCCTGCCGCGGAAGACGCGGGCAGACATGAAGCCAAGAAGATTGCGCATCTTTGCTTTCCAGGCCCCGAGCGCTGGGCCGGTTAATAAAGAGGGATCGCTGCCGTTTCTCATGGTCATTCAAAACCACGACCTGGATTTAAGGATCTCGTCGCTGATTGGAGGCCGTCCAACTTTACACACTCCTGCCTCGAATTCGAACAAAAGGCAAGCAAAGGGTCTCGCGCTGCCCGGGCAAGGAAGAAGAATGAATCATTCAACGCTTTTCAGGCTGGGTCAGGTCGCGATGCACCCCCGACACACTCGCTTTGGTCGGATTCGGGTAGGGATGGAGGTCGAGAGAAGAATTGGAAGATGGGGCTTTAGTGTCAATCTGAAGTGGTGAGCTGGTCCAATGGTTCTTGGCAAGAGATCGACGTCGAGACTTGGCGGTGGTGTCTAGCGTGGTTGCTATTTGATTAATAGGGGGATTTTGCTTATTTTAGGAACGGAAAGTGCAAAGGGTGAGAGCTTGTGTCTTGTGTCTTGTGTCGCGTGTCGAGTCAGGCCCCGCCAAGACCCACGCTGGACAGGTGCACTGGGGTAAGGAGGGATCTCTAGAATCATAAAGCGTGGTTGGGAATGAGTGAATGGATGGAGGGAAGATCAATTCCTCTCCTTCGTGTTTCTAACGGTGGCTGTTTGGGCTGGCTTCACATCATCAGGTGTGATTGAGTGGTGGGATGTGCTCGTCAAGGGGAGAGTGGGAGAGGATATTTCGATCCACAGCAGGGTGAGGGAAGAGGGGAGGAAAAGATGAAAAAGATGGGAAACACGGGGCCGAAAAGAAGAGAAGAGAAGAGAAATATAGAAACGAAAGATGGAGTTGGAACAAGATCTAGACTCCTGGAGTAAAGGTTGAAGATGAGAGACCAGAGCTGACTTTGGCCGACTTTTTTTTGCTCTTCCCTCTCTCGCTTTCTCTTTTTGGGATACACACACTGGTCCTCCGAAGTATTTGTGGTACTTCGTCCTTCGTACCGACAATGACAATCATAACTGCGCCCTGGTTTCTTCTCCTGAAGACCCACGCCAGAATCAAGAAGTTGCAACCTTGAAACTAAGGTGGGACCCACAAAGTACAAGTAGTACGTATTACTTCGTACTTGTTACTTAAAATTGGTCTTTCGTCCTTGGCGAGAACCTGAAAATGGCGGTCGCGTGCAAGAAAAGGGAGAAGTACAAAGTACTTCTTCCATGCAGCAAGAGGATCCCCGATAACACGCGAATCAAGCCTCAGACCAATAATCTAAAAGTATCGATCTTTCGATTCTTAAACATATTGAGACTTGTTGCATTTCGCAAAGCGGAAAATACTAAGTATAAAATTTGCCGAAAAAAAGGGAGAAAAAGGGATAAGAAAACATCAGATGCGTTGCTCACAAAACGTCAGCTCCATTACGTGGATTGACCTGCAATGACGACGATGGACGCATTGGATGGGGTCTTGGATGTGGTCCCTGCGACCCTATCAAACCCAATGAGGAAAGGTTCGAGGTGTTAATCTGATTAATCTGGGCGCGGTTCCCTGACAGCTGCAGCGGAAATGAGGTTTTTGGTGCACGATGCCTGCGTCTGTCACTTGTGGAACTGGGAAATGGTGGGTGACAAGTTGGCAGCCCCGGCATGGACCCTTAGCCTGTTTCGATACCCAGTCCCGTTGGAATCCCGGCAACCCCCCATGAAATTTTGAAATGAACATTCGCGGCAAGTGGGCACACGAGCACGGGAAACGTCACCACATGCCACAGACACAGACACATGTCCATCGTGGTTGAAGCATGGCAATTTCGGCCAACCATGAATGAGCCAGAGACGCTAGGTTGCGGTGAGGACAATTCCCGAGTCCTGTTATCAGATCATTGAAGGCTACTTGCGAAGGACTACAACGCTGGAACAATTGCAGTTACACTTGACCCCTGTCTGTTTGCTTCCGTTGATGATTGATAACAGTTAGAAGAGGAAACAATCGACCGTTGTACATTGAGGCACATCCGTCTCAAGTCCTGGATTAAGCGATGCGAAAAACAGGGTCAAGGTCAAACACTGGCACCGACTTACATAGTAATTTAGGATATAGAAAGATCAACAATAGCAGTGAAGTTATGGACACATTTACTGTTCATGCAAATGGAAATCCTCGAGTGTCAAGCTGTCAAGATCCAAAAGAAGCGCAAATTAATCCCATACCGTTACCAGGTTATTAGGTGCTGACAATCTCAGATCGCCAATTGCCGTCCGCTTCATGTTTGATTCCGCAGGTCCCTGGCATTCCGCTTCCGCTGCGTCTTCAGAGTTCGCTTGTTATGTCGGCGCTTGTCGTGAAACACTGGCCGCGCAACCAGATTGCCTAAAATGGCCACGACCAAGTCATCATCGTTCGCCCAAGTCCCCACCAATCCCCCTCCCCCCCACCATCGGCAGATGAGCGCCGTCCACCGGCAGCAGCGGAAGCATTTGATGTCTACCTCGTTAAGCCCGAGTATTCCGATGCCATAGATTATCAACGTCACTGACATCACTGGTATTTAAGAAATGGTGGCGGTAGATCCAATAGCGAAACGACAGCCCCCAAGCTGGTTCGCGATAATAGGTATTACCACGAGCAAAAGGTGGGAGGAAAGAAGCCTTCTGTCGAGAACCCCACGAGGGAATCTCGCAGCGCGTCTCCAGCGCTGAAGGGAGCTCTCGTCACCACGTCTCTTTACCACGACCACATTTCACTACTTGATCTCCGAATTTAGATTCCCCGAGAAGCAAAGCTACATCCCGCACACTCAGCACTTATTAAAATAAATAACCTAGACCACCCCTGATTCGGGCACGCCGGCCGACCATTGTTAGCAACTGGCTCTCCGGGACCGGAAGCAGGGATAGAATCTCATTGACAGAGGCCACGCGTTGGGGTCAAAGCTTGGAATTTTCGGTGACTGCAAGGGGGCCTCTGCGTTTGGAAAAGGGCGACATTTTGGGTTTGGAGCGGATATTTCCTGTCACTATGGCAAGAGGGAAAGGTTCGTTTGTTCCGGCTCGAGAGGAGCCGAGTACTCATTGATTCGGGTTTCATTACACTCGATCGTCAGCCCTCGAAAAGACGCTCGCTATTTTTGTGTTGGCGCACTCTCCCAGTGCACATCGAAAGCCTTACCAGAAGTTGCTCGAGAGGTGCTAGCCAGCACATACCCAAAAGGACAGGCAGGCAAAAAGAGCTGTGTTGACCAGAAAAGAATAATAATAGGACGAAAGCGATGATGAAGGACCGGATTTAAATCTGATCTCTCGAAGTCCTCCTCGTCCTCCTTGTCCTCGAGGGTAGAGATACCTGCTCCCTTCGGAGACTTCATGTAGCACGGACCTGGAATGGACATTGGACTGGTAGAGAGGCCGTCTCATAGCCGGGTCTGAGGTAACTGCAGGAGGCTTCGGCGTTGTGGGCAGCCGATTGTCCCTACGCATAAGTAATCGCCGGCCGTGCGAGCCTGGGATCCCCGGTAACCGGGTGCATGTGGGGCCGGGGCTTACGGAGGTCTGCTCCCTGACCAGCAGCAACTTGGACAAACCCCGACAGAGCGTACCTCCTAGGTCTACGAATAAAGTATGCCTACGGTTTTAAGAAAACGAGACATCAAATTCCTATTGACCTACGTGTATGCTTCCCCCGCGCTGCGTTGACCATGCCCTTGTCAAGGAGTTCAGAGCCGTGCATCCCTGGGAGTCCTATGCTGATTGGAATGGGACATATCTCCTCACCAAAGATCCCGATACGCTAGGTTCTCGGATCGAGACTATTTGGACGACCCATCCGTGTTCCCTCCCAGGGTCAAGGCCCGATTTAGCTTCTTCCACATTTACAAGCAATGCGCCACGTGTCACCTGCGGAGAGGTGATTTGGCAGAGGCATACCGACCGCTGTACCACGATGATACTTGGAATGGACCCTAGAGGTCTTGACGAGATCGGAACCATTGTAGAGATAATTTATCCACCATGCTCCAAATAGCGCTAAAGAATACGCACACCACCAATCTCAAGAGATAGTTGAAGACGTCGTTTGACATGACCTTTCTAAATATCACAGAATTCCTAGGGGCGCCTCACTCGAGACCAAGCTCCCTGTTGAACGTATCGCTGGAAGGCCTCCGACCAAGAAACTCTGTGAGAATCTTCACCCCATCCCAGCTTCCCCCCTTCTCAAGGACCGCATATCGGTATCTTCGCCCTTCTTTTGCATTCATCGGGTCTGCTTTGAAAACCGCGTGAAACACATCAGTCGAATAGACTTCGGAGCTGGAGGAATAAAAGCCAAACATTTAGCACAACAGCCAAGATTTCAAGTGTCTTCGTGCAGCGGGGGCGCTCTTACAAAAGATAGCTGTAATAACCTGCATCATACTCTCCCATGATGTGCTCAAACCTGGAGTAGCCGTGGCCCCACTGATTGTCAAAGCCGATGTCCATGGGACCGTCCAGTGGATCGATGTCGTGCTCTAGATCGTTCCACAGAGCCGTGAAGTCCAATGCCTGGATAGACTCGCGGCTGTCTGGATGATGGACTTCCATATCAAACACGGCTCGAAAAACCTGTCCGAGAGAATTAATGCCATCATTGAGTCTTCTGAGTGATATGAGGCCGTCAATGAGGTTTGCCGGAATCCTCTCCGGGGGTCTGGGGCCACCGTTTGAGTTGTCTTGCCAGTAAGCCAGATACTCCGGGGAGAGATACGAGTAGTGTCTTCCCAAAACCCCGAGAACTTCTGGAGTCCAACACCAGTTCTCAAGCAGTTGGCTGGGCATTTCTCCGAAATCGACCGGAGTCCCGTCGGACCCGTGAAATCGCGCATAAGTAGTCCGAGAAACGAGGTCGTGAACTGCATGCCCAAGCTCGTGGAAGAGTGTCACTACGAGGCCATGTCGCAGCAGGCTAACCTTACCAGGCTCAGGCTTGGGGATATTTGCCACGATGGCCGTGGAAGGGTATTGCCGTGTTCCATCTTCACGAGTGAACCCCTAGGACAATAGTCAGTCAGTTCTAAATAAGCCTGGGAAACCGGAAAGACACACCGGCATTAAGTTGAAAACGGAGACGTGGCCGTATTTTCCCGGGCGTCTGAAAAGGTCGACGTATAGATACCCGAGGAAACTGCCACCTTCTTCTTCGTCGTCCCAAGCGGAAAATATTTGAACATCCTCGTGCCACGACATATCCTTGCCGTTCCCCGAGGGCGAAAGCCGATGGCGTTCTTCACTTCCCACCTCAACAAAGACGAGCCCGAATAAGTGCTCGATGATATCAAGCATTGCGCCAAGTGTGGCCTGAACCGGGAAATATTCTGCAATCTTCTCGCTATCGACAGCAGCCTGCCTTCGCCTCTGCGTGTGGTATATGGGAGCGTCCCAGGCGAATAGATGACCGTCAAAATGCTTTCCCTGAGACTCCATATCGGCCTTCTTGAGAAGCCTCAAGACTTCATACTCCTTCATTCCTTGTTCGCGTAGCCGATCACGGAGGCTGTCTAAAAAAGTTATAACGGTGTCCGGCGTTCCGGCACATCGATCCTCGAGCCGAAGAGTGGCGTGGCTATGATATCCAAGCAGTCGTGCAGCTTCGTCACGAAGGAGGACCGCCTCTTTGAATAGTGGGATGTTTTCCTTACATCTCCTGGCAAGCGCCATGCTGACCTTTTTCCGAGTTTCTCCATTCTCGGAGCTTCTCATCGGCCCAGCCTCCATCTGGCTCAGGCTTACATACATCTTTCCCTCATTCTCGCCGGTTCCTGGCTCCAATCTAGCCAAGAATTCATCTGGCAAACCGCTCAAGTCCTCTGGACCGAACCAGAGGCCATCAGTGTTACCATCTACCTCCGAAGCACTTGCGTTTTGTCGAAAGTCGGCCGTCACGCGGTTAATGCGTGCCCTGATCTCTTTGAAGTGGTCTCTCTGTCCCGCCGAAAGCTTTAAACCGTTCGAGAGGTGCTCTTTGTGAATCGCTGCCAGAAGCCGACGCGACTCTTCATCCAGACATGGATCCTTCTGCACAACGGCATCCACGAGAGCGAAGAGCTTCTCGAACATGGCTGTCTCAACAGCGAAGTCATCAAAGAGACACTTGGCCTTGATGGAGGCTTCTCGTACTTCCGGATCTGGGGATACGGATCGATAGAAGACGAGATGACGGGTGCATGACATGAGTCTGTTGTGAGCCTGGGCGAGGGGCAGTATGACGTTGGCGAACGATACGGCGTCGGGGCGGATATCTTCAGCCAGCTGTCTCTGGATTTGCCGCGAATGGGCTATGGCACGATCTGCTTCTTCAAGGATCGAGGTCGGGGTTCCCGTGAAAAGGAGTGGCGCCTGGGGTGGACGTGGATGTAGATGTGGCTCCTCCATTCTTCCCCAAATGGTTAGTTTTCCGACCAATTCGCGCACTCTAGATTTCCTAAGAGGTGCAAAATCCTTCCGAGGTTGAGCAAGCAGGGCCTTTAGTTTCTATGCCCCGGTCTTAAAAATCGTTTTCCTGCTTACGATCTATGAGAGTATCGATTCGGGTGTGAAAATCAATGGGAGGGCGAGGTCTCCGCGCCCGACCTCGCCCGATCTATCTCTCCCGCCCCCTCACGCGAGTCACTTACGAAGCAGGGACATTCGTAGTTGCACACGCAGATAAAAAGGTATCAATTGACACCTACTTCGTACTCAGTACATGAGGTACTCAATGTCGATGCAAGGAACCATATTGTATTGTTGCCTAAGATTACTTCGTAAGTAACGTAACGTTAGACGACCACACACCACAACACCCTGCATACATCCTTCGCGTGTATTATCCGCATTTCCAAAAATCTATCGATTGAGACTGCTGTCGAAGTCTCCCAGCGTTTGCATATGATCTCTCAGGATGAAAGGCGTCTCGTCCTAAAGCCCATTCTTTTATAGCATCCAAGTCCTGGCACGTATGGAAAGTTGGCCATACTGGGGGGACAGTCTCCCCCTTGTTGTCCCAATTTATGGGTGCTATCATCATATCCGCGGCACATGCCACGCTCAATCGGAGCCTATCAAGGCTATGTTCTGCGTAGCCGAACGTCATATCTCGCGGGCCAGCACTGCTCGAACGCATGTCAAGACGGAGTGAAAAAGGCACAGTATTTACCGACGTGCATCTGGAGCGCAGGGCCGTCCTTCAGCTCAGGGTAGTCACCCAAGCGAGTGAATTTTCTGATCAGATTCTGTATTCATTAGCCTCACTATTCCATGCCGAACGTTTGGGACATTGCCAGGCGGTTTTTCTTACGACGCAGTGAAGATCATGAGTTATCGAAAGCCTGCGGAGGGTAAGTCAACTAGCACGATCTTCTTAAATGGCACGAGGAAGATTTTGACACACAGGGATCGATGCTTACTGTCCCTTGTACAAGCCTAATCCCGGCTCGAAATAGAGGTTACCCCCTTTAAAGAGCCGCGCCTCTTCGGGGGTAATCCAGACTGTTACAGCTATGGATTGTTTTAAACGTATATTAGATTCTGGCCAACTCCAGCCTAGCTCGGGCATTGGGAATTTCCAATGAAGTGTCCTTACCAGGAAGGGTATCTTCCCAAGCCGCCTCAAGATCTGAAGACGGTTCTCCAAAGTAGTCGGGATACGAAAGAGGCCGAATCATGTCCCCGCTCTCGTTGTACACGAGTCTGGCATCGAAGAGTTTAGGCTTGTGGGTGGCTGGTAGCTCTTTCGTTGCGGGCTCTTGTCTTCCCGTTAGCAACATACGGACCGTGCAGACGAACTGAACCATGGACGGTGATTTTCCAGTGATAAACTAACCAAATTCGCTTTCTCTCCAAAAGGATGCACTCTTGCGATCCCTTGATTTTTCTATAGTCGTTGCACTAACACCTATCAAGACGCCAGGTGAGAGAGAGATAAGATGCAATATAAGGCCATAAATAGACGGGTGGACAGCTCCCCGAGTCTTCGTTTCATCGTCGTTGAGTAAGAGTGCCTCCTCTGACTGCCTCTCGGGGGTGGCATCGTGGTCACTGAAATTCCCTGCCTTGTCCATCCTCATGTAGATATTAGGCAGTCGGAGTGGTAAAGGAAACCGAAAATAGAACTGGAATGGATGGCCAATGCCGTCAGCCAGAGCTCCCAGAAAATTGCTGTAAACTCTCTGATAGAACTGGCAGGCGTCGGAACTGTTGACCGACTGGAAGCAAACGCCTCCAATAAAATGGAAAGCACAAACCTGCCTCTGGTGGGATTCCTGTAAGACGTACGGCATATGTGAAAGAATCGAATCCCGTTCTTGAAATAAGAACTAACGACGAAATGAACCATATTCGAAAATACCAAAGGTCTGAACTGGTAAAGTTTTTGGAACTGGCTTCTAAAATGGTGAAAAAAGAAGAAAAAAAATACTTGATTAATCGGAGGCCTGAAGAAAGAAGACAAAGACATCTGCTTCTGATGAAGTACTCTTATCCTAATCCGGGAGTTCTTTTCTTCCGGTTCCCATGGACTCAAGGGCCACTTCTCCGGATCAGGGAGAACTCTGTAAGCGCCCCTTGTTGCCCTTCGCGACCGTCCTATCAGGGATCTTCCTCCTCTTCGGGCTCTTCTTCCTCCTCCGGTGCCTCTTCCTCCTCTGGGACTTCTTCCTCGGGGACTTCTTCCTCCTCGGGGACGTCCTCCTCAGGAGCTTCTTCTTCTTCCTCTGGTGCTTCCTCCTCGGGAGCCTCCTCCTCAGGGACTTCTTCCTCGGGTATTTCTTCGGGAGCATCGGTAGGCTCAGCAGGGGCTTCGGGCTCACCGGTGGCCGTGGGAGCCGGTGTAGGCTGCAGTCATGTTAGCACATCCGTAGCCTCGAATCACAACTCTGGAACTTTCAGCCGTTTTTCGACACTGCATACCTCAGGACGACCAGTCTCATGGGTAATCGGGACACCCGCCTCTTTTGATCCATGTCAGCTTGCACGAAATCTTCATAGCTGTAACGCGTAATTTCTCACCTTCACAGAGGCCAACAACATACGCGAGGATAGACTCGATATCTTCCTCCTCACACTGGGAGTATCCGCAATCCCTCAGGGTGTCACCCGCCTGCTTGCTGGCGCAGAGGCACTCGAGGTCACGAGCGTTACGGCATCCTCCCTCACGACCGGCAGCGATGGCCTGCCGGATGCAGGTTTCCTAGACAGAGAATGCATGTATCAGCCGAGTGCCGTCATGGGTGGTGTAAGTGTATAAAGGTGTTTGTGTTTCCTCTTCCCTGGGAGACGTACAGCGCACTCGGTAAGCTCCTGCGCGGCAACGGCCGCCAGGAAGGCAGCAACACTAAGGATACTAAAGGTCTTCATTTTGGCGGGTGAGTTTCCAGGACTGGTCGGCAAGAAAGACCCCGATATCTCGAATGGGAATTTCAGTAATGGAGAAAAATGAGGGGAACGAAATAAAAGGGAACAAGGAATGTTTAAATAGACTGGCCTAGTCGACAGCACATCGAAATCGCAGTTAATATATTCTCTATATTCTTCTTCGCCAGCTTCCTGGCTTCGGATCTGCTTCCACCTCCCGCCCCGGGTTCGGCCAGCTCAGTTCGATTAGCCACCCTAGTTTACAGTCTACTATATCCCATGTCAGCGGGTCCGTATTTCTAACGCCCATCCCCGGAATGTTCGACGGCTAATTCGTTTTGCATCGCACACATATTCGCTAATTCCTCGCTTCTGGTGAAGAGCTCGGTCAGCCCGCCCTTCGCGGGTCTTTTTAAAGTGCTCCGGAGCGGGGTTCGCAACCTCAAGCTCGACACTAGCTCCACATCATCTCGCTTAGACCTTTACAGCTTCCACGATTACGAGTCGCCAAAAGGTGAGGAAGCATAGGTATAGCTCACACGGGAAGCATCGGAGACCGAGGTGGTAGAGAAGAAACCGAGCCACGGTTACCCATGAGGTGCTACACTGGCATTCGTATTGGTCCATTCCGTACGGCACCGATATTGGCCGACGAGATACATCCCACTCATTCTATAGTGTCGAGTAAAGCCTTTCGATATTCAAGCGAGGAACTAAAGGGATCTGCGACTATGGGTGCCAGGCACCATACCAATCAGATCACGGGGAGACGCCGTGCCGGCCACACTGCATCCATCTTGTGGAATCGATACGTAATGCAGTTGGGAAGTTTATTAATCCTATGCAAGGAAATCCATGTTGGAGCCGGGACTTAGCCATGCACCTCTCTGTTACAAAAAACTCGCATCTACGTGTGTGACTTGCCGTCTTTCGCTGGGGGTTAGGAATCTCCCCGACATTCGTTCATACCTACAACACACCTTGACTTGCTTCGTGAAACTCATCTATAAGAGATTTTGTTCGCCAGTGATGTATTCTCCACGTTCCGGGCAGCCCGGGTGAGACCCGAGACCGGGGATGGAGCGGAGAGGGAGATGAAGGACGGGAGAGATCAAGGGAGGGGAGATGTCGGGATCGTTATCTTATCTGATGATCTGATAATCTTTTCCCGGCTCGCCTGTTTACGAAGTAATTTGGGATGGAAAGGTTGGGACAAGGAATAACTCGGCACATACACACCTCGGTATGGATCCGGGCTCGGCGAGCAGGTTACTTCAAGCTAGCAGACCGATTGCGGAATGGATGTGAATTACTGGCTTGAACTTTACACCTCGCACGCACACCATCTACCTCACTGGATGTCGGCAATGATCCCACGATGAATCACCTGCTGTGTTATAACAGCTTGACCCATGACCCAGCACCTCCTCCTCCTCCTGAAAGCCTGAGCCTGTGGCAGGGGTAGGGGTTTTGATCTGACAGGATTCAAAGTTTCCTTCGTGGTTTCAACAATATCCACGCTGAGCGAGACGTCTCGCTCAGCGAGTGAATCAGTGAATGAGAGACAGACTGCGAGCGAAGAGAGCGTTTCGCCTGTAGGGGCAGGGAGATGCAAGCCACACTTTTTGCTCCGCATCTACCATCGCGAGAACGAAGGAAAGCTTTGTCCCGTATCGCTTTAGTCTGGCTAGAATGCGGCGGTGGTCTCTTTAAGCCGGCTGTATAATACCGGCTGTTCTCCTTCAATCTGGCCGATACGGATAAACTGGGAAACTCGAAGCACACAGGGATCCTAATGGCCGCCTGCTCGTTTCCTTCTAAGCTTTTACGCCTCCCGATTTTGATTCATTACAGGCTTCACCGTCTTGTCTTCATCGAAATATCAGAGGACTGGAGGCGTCGCGACTAGCACTTGAAAACCTTTGGTGTGAGGATGAGGGCCTTCATATCGCCCCTCCGTCCTAGAGCCCGTTGCTAACTCTCTCACTGCCGAAGAATTTTATATCAGGCCTGTCGCCCTATTGGCGCTCTTATAACCGACATATTTACTCACGGGCATGCCAAGGGCATCCATATAACTACGAATACCGCTCCATCTTTTCCCAGACTTTAGCTTCCTCAGCGCAGTTCCCAACTGCTTTCGCCCAGCAGAGAATAAAAGACGGCCGGCCGGGAGGATGGAGAACACAGCCCGGAAATCGGATTAATAAAAGCTCATCTCTAGTTCGTGGAAAAACTAATTCCTCTGCCATGTCCGCTCCGTTCTCAGGAACCGTTAGCCGTGTGGAATCGTGGGTTTGAATGGCCCAAGAGAGAGCGTGGCTTGAGGATAAATGGGATCGCCATTGGTATTTAATCTGGACATATGAACTTATCCGGAACAATCTCTCTCCCAAGACTTTGAAAATTTACTTCTCAATCTAGACCACGGGGAACGGGGTCATTCATTTCCAAAACGAGCCATGACAAGCAGGAGTTGAGATTATAATACAATACAGGAATGGTGACCCTACTCTTTTTAGACGATGTTCTTGCTCAGCTCCAGGGCGTCTGTCTGTTCCGGGGGTTTGTTCTACACGTTCTTTTAAAGGGCGTCGAAGCAAGTGTGTGAGAAATACACACGAGTCGTTCATTTCGACGTCTCGAGTTATCACGCTCCCGACCCTTCTACCGAGCGTCCGTTGAAATCGACGTAAAGATGTTTGGCGGTCTCCGCCTGGCTGCGACTGTGGCCCTGGGCCTCGTCGCATCCTTTCCTGGAACCCTAGCTCAGAATGTGACGGTCCCCAACTGGCTCATCTTCGACGCCGAAGCCGACGGTCTCCAACTCGCAAGCGCAGGAAAGCCCCCAACACTCTTCGTCTCAGCCGACGACTTCACTGGCGTAAAGAGGGCCACTGACGATCTCGCCGAGGACTTCAACCGTGTCCTCGGCACCAAAGCCACCGTCTCGGATACCAAGACTCTCCCCGAAGCCGGATCCCCCCGCATCGTTATCGGGACCATTGGGAAATCGGCGCTCGTCGACGAGCTCATAGCCGCCAGCAAGGTCGACGTTTCCGAAATTAAGGGAAAATGGGAATCGTACGTCGCCCAGGTCGTAAGCAACGACGCCGATGAGCCCGTCGCGCTCGTCATTGCCGGCTCCGACATCCGCGGGACAATCTTCGGCATCTACGACATCTCCGAGCAGATTGGCGTGTCTCCTTTCTACTGGTGGGCTGACGTGAACCCCACGAAGCGCGAGTCCATCGTCGCTCCCCTGACGCCTAAAGTCGCCGGACCACCCTCCGTCAAGTTCCGGGGCATCTTTCTCAATGACGAGGCTCCTGGTCTGACAAACTGGGCGGCTGGAAACTACCCGCGAAGCCAATATGGAAACCCTTTCAACTCGGACTTTTACGCCCGTGTTTTCGAGCTCATCCTCCGTCTCAAGGGTAACTACCTCTGGCCCGCCATGTGGAACTCCATGTTCTACCTCGATGATCCCAAGAACGGCCCGCTCGCCAACGACTTCGGCATCTTCATGGGCACGTCTCATCACGAGCCCATGGCCCGCGCTGATAAGGAGCAGGGCCGCTTTTGCCAGGGCAGTTGGGACTGGGGCAGTAATCGCAACAATGTCCAGAAATTTATGACGGAGGGCGTGGACCGCGCCAAGGACTGGTATACCATCTATACGGTCGGTATGCGAGGAAGTGGAGATGCTGCCTCGGCGACGCTTAACTCGCAGTCCATGGAGCAGGTCATCAAGTTCCAGGAGTCGACGCTCCAGTCTGTTACCGGCAAAGACTTGGTTGATATTCCGCACTCTTGGATGATGTACAAGGAAGTCCCAGGCTATTGGCAGAAGGGAATGGATGTTAGCGATACAGTGACTCTCTGCTGGACGGATGATAACCGCGGAAATATTCGACGAATTCCTACAGCTAAGGAGAACCAGAGATCTGGAGGTTCTGGGATGTACTACCGTAAGTTTTCTTCTGAATTTCTTCTCTGGATTCCTTTTCATAGTCCTAACGATATCGTAGACTTCGACTACGTCGGCTCACCAAGGAACTACAAATGGATCAACACAATGCAAAACCAAAAGACCTTCGAGCAAATGCACCTCGCCTACGAAAGAGGCATCGACCGCATCTGGATCGTCAACGTCGGCGACCTCAAACCGATGGAGCTTCCCATCTATCACTTCATGTCCATGGCCTACGACATGTCCAAGTTCCAGGACCCCGCCTCCACCGACAAGTGGACGCTAGAATGGGCCGCGCGCGAGTGGAACGCTGACGTGGCCGTCGAAACGGCCGACATCATGAATAAGTACGGTATGCTCTGCGCGCGGCGCAAGTACGAGGATCTAAGCATCTCGCCCTTCGCTTTCCACGCGACTAACTACGACGAGGCTGAGAAGAACTACAAAGAATGGGAGGATCTCGTCGTTCGCGCGCAGGCCGTGTACGACGCTTTACCCGAGGACGACCAGGTCTCATACTTTGAGATGGTCCTTCATCCCGTCCTCGCCGGCAAGACCGTATTTGAGATTTACTCCAAGGCTGCCATCGGTGCCCGGTATGCTAGGGAGCACAGCTACCGCGCTGACGAGATGGCGCAGGAGGCCAGGGACGCTTTCGAGCAGGACAAGGCCATCACAGCGCGGTTCCACGGTCTTCTCGGAGGAAAGTGGAATCGTATGCTCGAGCAGACGCATATCGGATATAACAACTGGCAAGAGCCCGCGCAGAACTCGATGCCTCCGCTGACCACGGTCGGAGGTGGAGGCGGTGGTGGGTTCGGCGGCGGGTTCGGCGGGTTCCCTGGTGGCGGCGGCGGAGGTGGAGCAGGAGGTAGTGGTAAGCTCCTCGGTATCGGCATCCAATACTCCGACAACAACGCCGCCACCGATGCCGCGACCATCACATTACCCCCCTTGAACCAGTACATGTCGCCCGACGAAGACCGCTACATCGACGTCTTCATGCGCGAAAAGGGATCCCTCTCCTACACGATCAAGTCTAACGCATCCTACGTAACCGTAACCAACGACTCCGGTGACATCAGCACCGACGGCCCCAGCTCCCGGTCCCGCTCCATCATAACCGTCGACTGGTCCCAAGCCCCCGAAGGCAACTCCGCAGCTGAGCTCACCGTCCAAGTTACCACCCCCGCCAATGCCCCTGGCTCCACCGTTATCGTCCCCCTCCGGAAGAAGGAAGCCCCGCCAGCCGATTTCGCCGGCCACGTCGAATCCGAAGGCGTTGTGTCTATCGAAGCGAACCACTTCTCCTCCGTCACCGAAGGCGCCAACAACGCCAGCTACGCCGTCATCCCCAACTACGGCCGCACCCTCGCCGGCATCAAGCTCTGGCCCGTCACGACACCGAGCCAGGACCCCGCCACCGGCGCAGCCGTCACTTTCCCCTTCTGGACGTACACCCAAGCGGCCAACGTCAAAGTCACCGTATACCTCTCTGCCTCCGAAAACGCCGACTCTGAACACGCGAACCGGTATGCCGTCGCCATCGATGCCGGGAACCCTACCGTCGTGCAGCCGACGCCCTGGGCTTCGGACGCGGGACAGGAACCGCCCGGTTGGGATAACGCCGTTACGAGGAATGCGTGGATCAAGGATTCGCAGCTCGGAGCGCTGAGTCCGGGGAAGCATGAGTTGAAGCTGTGGTTGTTGGAGCCGACGATGGTGGCGACGAAGATTGTTGTTGATTTGGGTGGTGTCAAGGCTAGCGAGCTTGGTCCTCCCGAGAGCTATAGGGTTGTTGGTGAGTGATGGAAAAACGCCAAGTGGAAGTGGTGCTCGTTTGCGTGGACGGACTAGCATTCTGCATATGGTAGCGTAGGCTCTTGTATCAATGTAATGACTACGGATTCGGTTCTGATGGGTGGTTATTGTGGTTCATCTTGAATTGCACCACAAAGTACATTGTTGACTCTCAGTGATGAGAGACTTGGAGTACTTCAACTCCCTTGACGTTTTGAAGATCACATCCCGGCAAAGGGGATGAAAGAAGAACCATAAATCTTCTTTATGACATAACCTCGTGAAAAAGCAAAACGAAGCGGTTATACAAACGCCGGCCAGGGGAAGCCAGACGGGAGAACCAGTAGATGGCTACTAGATTTAACCTTCCAGACCGCCCCCTTCTTCGGAAGAGTTTAGTCCCCCTCAGCCTCTCGAGGCCTGGATATTCCGACACCACTCCCTCCCCCGCGAAACCTGCCAATCGCAAAGCCACGTCTCAAGGAAGATACTAATCAACCCTGCAACACAAATCCCTCCACTATCACTAACACTCGTAGCACCCAAGCTAAACTCCCTATCGTGGGCGGGCACCTCCTCGAGGATATTCGCAAAGCAATTCACATAGACACCGCCGCCTAGCAAGCCCTCCCAAAAGATGATGATAAAGACAATATAAACGGATGGGATGAAGAAGAACATGGCGTGCAGCGCGAGGACGATGAGGTTTCCGAGCTGGAAGAAAGACGGGAGGTAGAGGTGGCGGATGCGGATGAAGGGCGTGGAGGAGCGGGAGATGAAGACGCCTAGTTGGTAGAGGAAGCCGTAGAAGGGGTAGAACTCGCGGAGCTCGCTGAAGGGCGTTTCTTTGAGGGGGAAGAGGAGGGTCGGCGCCACGCCTTGGTTGATCGTGTATTCGGCGACGTAGACGAGGAGCAGAGGCGCCATGTAGGGGACTATCAGGGCTTTGGTTCGCTGGAGGTGGGCCTTGATTCCCGATGGGTGGTGTTTGGGATGGGTAAGCGCCGAGTACGCCGTGGCGGCCACCGAGGGACCGGGGGCTAAGAGCGCCGACGACGCGGCGGACTGCGACAGTTGTTCCACCTCTTCCTCCTCGAGGTCGAGCTCGGGCAAGACGTCATACCCCTTTTGGCGTCCGGCGTGGAGAGGCCCATGGGGTAGAATGAGGAAGAAACTGATAAACATGATGCTCGGCAGTGCAGCGGAGAATAGCAACGTAGTCCGAACCGAAAAACCAATCCAATCCGTCATTAACACGTAGAATCCCGCGCCAATGAGCCCCGCCGCGCCCGTTCCGCTGCCCCAGCCCGCGAGGCTCACGTGGCCGTAGTAATGGGTCAGTCCGAGGAAGCTCAGCTCTCCACCGCCACTGCTCAGAGATGCCAGCACCACACCGATCATTTTCACCGCGACTGGCTTGTGTCCTGGCATAAGAGCCACGAGTAACATGCCCCCCGTCGACAGGGCGATGAACACGAGTATCCGAAACCAGTACGGCACCTTGTGGATGAAGTATGGCGCGATCAATTTCGTGAGGAAGGACGGCATGACGTCGGCGAGTAGAACGACGCCCTTGGGGACATTTCCGACGAGGTCCTGGGCGGCGGAGAGGATGATGACGTAGAGGACATTATTGATGAGACCTTGGAAAGGCCAAAATTAGCGAACGTTCCCAAATTTGCGGCAGCAGAAATGCGACATACCAAATAGCCAAAACGCAACGACGACGGCGACGTCAAGGTTCGACAGAAGAAGCTGAATCCGGGCCCGATACACAGCCCATGACGAACCGGGGGTCCCTGGCATGGGCAGAAGCCCCGACGAGGAAGGAGAGCGGCCTGTCATCTTTGGATCGAGTCGGAGGGGAACCGAAGTCTGACGTCGAACAGCATCAGGTTCGCCGAGCCGTTGGCATAGCAAAGTGTCGACCCTTGATATGGACTGGACCCCGACTTGGATGTGGTCGTGTGCTGTCTGCTGACGTCAAGTGTGTTTCGCTAGAACTTACAAGGGATGAAGTTAGTGTCGTCCAGTCGGTTTGAGACGGGGAGGTTTTGCAGTGGACAGATACGAGATAATGCTAGGGACAATCGATAAGAAGTACTGTGACTTTCTTCGATGGGTGTTGAGTGGGGAGGAAATACTGTACTCGTCGGATCGACGACATAACTGGTTATATATGTCCGCTAGTGTTAGCGCCTAACCGGACAATCTGGTGATTTGTACCGGTACATATCCCCCCTAGTCAATGCGCTAGGGAGAATCCACTTTTGCGGTGTCCACAGTGTCAGTTTGTACTTCTTACTTCTTGTCGTCTCCCCGAACCGGCTGGTGATGTTGACACACTTTGAAAAAGCAACACTCAAGTGTATTCCAATCCCCGTTCTCTATAAAAATAGCTATATTACACTGGTGAAACCATTCCCCCCCATTCTCAAAAGCCAGTTCATGTACGAAGTAATGTCGACTAGAGGACAAACGGATCACCAGCCCGCAGGGTATTCCAACCAACGCCAGCAACGCCAGCAACGCCAAGATAACCATCAATCTATCAATCCACCCAGGAACCATTTCAATTTCGACTAATCACGTCCTGAAGAAACGGTGGGCACTCTTCGGGGTCTTCAAATACGTGCCAAACCTCCTTCGGAATTCCCTTGAAAGCTACGTCGAACCTCTCCTTGGCATTCTTTTCTTCGATGCCCACAGAGGAGATATCCGTCGCCTTGCGGATCAAGATGCACTTAACCCAGCCGGGGTACAGACGATATAGCTCTCCGTAGGCTTCGGGGTCGGACTGCGTGGAGTCGCCCACCAGGATCATCTTTCGCTTGGGGAACCAGCCGTGGATCTTGGCGAGTCGCTCGGACTTGTACTGTTCGGTGCCCGTAGTCAAGGCCCTGAGAAGGCCGGCAATGGTCCTCCAGCTCACTTCGCGCAGGAGAATGGCCCCGGGAGGGTAATAATTGTTTCGGAACTCTCGAAGGAACGGGTACAGGTTGTAAGGCGAGGCTGAGAGGTAGAACCACGGCGTGTCTTCGGGAAGCATGGATTTAATCGTAGCGAAGAGCTCGGGCATGCCTCGAATGGGCCGCGGTTCGTTGATGAAAGTCTCTCGGAGAATACCGATTGGGTCGTTGGTCAGAGTGACTTTGATCGTGTCGTCGACATCTTATCAACGTGTTAGTACAGAACGCATTAATTCGTAGTCAGATTATGATGAGAAAACCACATACCGGAAACGACAGACCATCCCTCTGGCTCTGAAAAGTACGTCCAAGAGGACAGGATGCCAGTAATACCGTTCGACACAACCGCCTTCGTCCTCGTAAGCGCTCCAGGCGTACCAGTCGGTAGCTTCACGAGATGACCGGCGATACCGTTTGGGCCAGTGGGTCCCAGAATAAACTGCTTGTCACCATGGGCTGCAAGCAGCTTCCTTCCGGGGCGAAGATCCCACACAAACGGCAATAACCTCTCTTCCAGCGTCTCGAACTCGTGGTCTTCGTCTGCGAGCCCAATAATGCGCGCAATCACGGCCACGAGATCGACGAGCTTTTCCTTGGACTCTTTTTCAAATACTGCTGTGACAAACTCGGCTTGCCAGCTGCTGAAGAGGCCGGGCTTGAAGGCAACGTTGTCGAGCATCCAAACGACATCGCCGTATGTGACCTGGCGCGCAAGCGGGTTTCGGCTCCCCAGATGAGAAAATAGGGCGGGGACGTTGAGTAGCTGAGCGGGTAACGAGGCTTGTACTTTTATTACGGGGAGGGCGGCTTCTGTTTCGTCGAAGCGTCGGACTTTTCTTGCTTTGGCCTGCATTTCGTCGGCGGATAGCTTAGCAGCCCAAGAATCGGATCTTGCAGCGGAGGACGCCATGGTGCTGGTCGGTTTGAGGTCACCTAAAACACTATATATGATGGGGGAGTTGGGATTGTACGAATGGGCAATGACGCCGAGAAAGCCTAGGCAGACAGCTGAGACAGTGGAGGAAAGTTGAGAAGTCACGAGCGTGGAAGGAGGGAGGGCGAGATGGGCAAGTTATAAGGCTGCGTGATTGTGGAAGGTGGCAGTGTCATACAGGAGGTTGCACCACGAGGATATCGATGACGGAGAAAGTTTCCGAAGTGGACAGGGGTCGAGGACACACTCACGCAATATTACTGATTTTGATCACTTAGGTAAAACAGGGGAAGCCAGGCATGCGACATCACTTCCAGGCCCCTCGGACGCTAGGTTCGTCCAGGGCAAGCTGACGACCTCAATAGTCTGAGAACTTGACAGGGTTCAGCGCAGCGCGCAGCTTGATCAAGACCCCGGCCAGGCCAAGCCTCGAAGCCTGTCAAGGTGGGCATCACAACAACATTGAACACTTCTCGTAGCTCTCTGAGCGGACGTAGATTAAATGCCTTGGGGCCCCAAAGCCACGTGGACTGACCTTTCCTTCGTTCTTTGGCAATCATAGTGACGAAATGTCTAGGGTCAGCAGGCGCAAGTTGATGAGAGCTGAACCAGGCGGAGGGACGTCCCTGGCAAATCAGGGACGGTGAAAGGCCCGACTGCCCCCGACTGGCTGGCGGTGACCTGCAGCCAGTGACGTGAGCGTGACCCGGTTTGGGCGATCGGCATTGGGCGGAATCTGGGGCAACGGTGAGGGCGTCCTGGTTGCAACGGCTAGTCCGATTTGGGAATCGAGGCGACAAGCCCACTGGTCGCCCTTGTCCTCGTGGCTTCCTCCAAAGGCAACGTGGGAAGTCGATGAAGCAAGACAAAAAAAAAAAGACTTCAGAGCACGAAGCACAATTGTTTGAACTTGCATTTCTCCAGAGCTGCATTGTTCCATTTCATTTGTGAACTCACTTTGCTGACAATGAAATAAGCGTCTTACATAACCTCGGGACATTCCCCAATGCAGGTCGAGGTTGCCCCAGATTGCTGCCTGCTTCCCACGAAAGCAATATCCTATCATACATCTGGATCTTCAATTTCTTCAACTCTTGCTTACACGATGCGCGAGACACATCGGCATCGCCTGTTATGTCTTAGGCGGCCGATTTGGATAAAACTTTAGACGGCTTCCGTACAGCGCAGCACGCCCGTTCCCGCTCCCGTTCCCGGCTCTGTCGTAATACCTATGGAGGAAGACGGGCTCCCATTCAATCTCTCGACATCTCAGGACTCTGTTTCTCTGAACCCTTTCCCAGGGCGTAGTTATCATACACTCTGCTTCTTCCAGTGTAAATCACCCCGAGCCATCGTGGATCAAGATTGAATCTTTGAGGGTTTTCAAGGACTGGAGCCGGATAGGGCTGCATCACGTACCTAAAGAATGCGGATACTAACAAAATAAAATAAAATGGGTAGTTTTTCCTTTTTTATATTTTTATTAACCTAGTCTAACTTGCCCAAAAAGAAGGATGGCCGTCACAAATCATTGATACATCAGAGAGCGAGATGGCAGCGTTAAGCAAAGTCCGTAACAATAACCTCCCATCAGCAAAAAAAGCCCCAACGCCGCCATCGTGATAATCCTTAGAACCCTCGAAAGGCCCACATCCCCGCCTTTAAAATTTGAGTCTACACCGTAGCATGTTGTCTAGTTCCCCCCCTTGTCATTCTATAGTTGACGTGGTGTGTTGTTGACTGCCTTGAAGGAGCACATGCTCCTCGAACACCTTGTCATAAATATTGGACCTTAGCCCTTTATATACGCTCGGCAAAGTCGCCAGATCCTCGCGAGTAGTATTGACGCTGTACCGTTTATATATCCAGCATGCTCTTAACGCGCTGAGGCTTTCCGTTAGCCATGTCGACGGTGCTATCGCTATTGGTGGTCATCCTGCTAGCGCGTCTCGTAGTTTCGTCGTACGATGGCGGCGGACCATCCAAAGTCAGCTCAGCTTCCCGCTCCTCTCGCGAGGGCGTCGAGCTCTCGGCGTTGGGGAAAAGCAGGCTAGCAGCATGTTGCAACGTCCTTTCCGCCCGACGTCGTTCAGACTTGCCAGCGTAAGGCGTGAACGTGGATGCCCGATTGGCTGTGACAGTCGAGCCGGAGATTGTCGATCCATTCTGGCTCGCGTCGTCAGCGAAAGGATCTTTCTTGGCAGGATCCTTGAGGGCCGTGCCGTCGTCCTTCACGCCGTCCTTGCCGTCCTTGCCGTTGACCTCAGCCACATTCCTGGCAATGATGTCCCTCATGTGCATCGAGTGCCCGCCGTGGATACGTCGCCACCAGGAAGGCTTGGGTACGATTCCGAGCTCGCGGTTGATGTCTTCTCCCCTCTGTCGTCTCTGGCGCAGGAGCTCACGGTCTTCATTGGGAGTAGCGAGACCGTGGGCGCATTGAACGGCGAGGATGAGGAGGGAGGGGAGATAGCCGCCAATGTAAATGGAGACAACGTTTCCAGTGGCATTCAGCGGCGAGACGTCGAAATCAAAGGCACACAGAGCCTGGAAGGCAATTACGACGAGGGCGAGAGGGAGGATAAGCGCGAATCGGAGAGGCATCGCAGTGAAGAAGTCGAAAATCTTTGCAACCATTCCCGAACGACGCGCTTTATAATGCTTAATGGAGTGGAAGGCGGAGATGACAATGGTAATCCAGCAGACCAAAAGGCAAAAAGCCGCGACCTTGAATCTCGTGTCTGTCGCCGCAGGCTTCGCCCTAATGAGGGTCTGCTCGGGCGAGCGTTGCAGTTGGATACTGGTCCACGAGCGCGGAACAATGAGGAAAAAGTTCTAATGGAAGCAAGGTTAGCGTGAACACACGCCAAACGCACGTCAATTGAAATTAGGGCGAGGGAGGGTTCCTTGTTTCAAACATACCAGCCACCACCACAAATAGAACCACAGGGGAGCGTAAAACTCAAACTTGGCTCTGGGATCATCATCCTTCAAGGCGTAGATGTCGGCGTCGCTGATTTGCCTCTCACACCAGCTTCCCCAGTGACGAACGGCTTCCCAAACCAGAGCGATGATTGCCATCTGCATCAAGTACCAGAAAAAGACGGTCAAAATGATGGGAATCTGCATGACATAGTAGCGCTCGACATCAATGTTGGTGAAGAGACTGATGAGAGCGAAGGCGCAAACCATCGAGCCCCAATACCACTGCCACCTACGGCTGATTGGGAAATAGCGTTTCGTCTTGGGCAAGAAGAGGCGGCCGTGCTTGCGCAGGTTGACGATGATGAAGACGAGACAAAGCGCGAAGAGGGGAGCGAAGGCAACGCCGGTCTTGCCGCGGGCGCCGACGGGATTGAGCGATCTGTAGCACGAGGTCGAATTCACAAAGGATCCATTGGGGTAGACGTAGGCAGCGGCATACGGCTCGAAAGCGAGGTAGCACTTAGTTCCGTTGGACAGAGTCTGGTTCTGGAAAAGGTGATACTCGAACTCCCGGAGAGTATCGAGGTCGAGGTGACCGCCGCCAATTTGGGTGTCGGTGTCATTGTCACCAGGAGGAAAGGGGATCGTGCCCCAGATGTCCAAGTCAGACATGGTGATGATGGTGGTGGTGTTGACCGCAGCGGGCGAGTATCAGATGTAGGTGCGGGTGACCATATGATATTGTGCGATCTTGCAGCTTGGAAACCGACCCGTGAAAGCCAAGAAACAAGAACGAGAACGAGAACGCGAACGCAAGGATTGCCAAAGATCCAATCAATGTTGGAAAAGCGTCCCTGTTCTCATCCCGTCAACACAACAACTCGGAAGTGAGAGGAGAAGCCAAGAAGGAGAAAAGGCTTTACTAGGCGAGCGCGGAAGAAGGGAAGAGAAAGGTGTAAGAGTAAGAAAATGAGGTGAGGCGAAGGATCAATTGAATACTACTCATGGTCTGGTCACCAACAACCATGCCACGGATAAGACGGAGGTGGAGGAGGCGGCGGGACAAATGGACGCAGCAAGTTGAGAGAGACATCAACTGAATGTGTTTTGCGCTATTTTGATGAAGTCCCGACCGTGCCGAAGACGCTAAAAAAGCTTGCTTCCCTTCCTGGTCGGACCTGCCGCCCAGTAATATCGCCGCCACGAGACTTGGTAATGGCGCTCGACCGTGGAAAGGTACGAAATACTCGCATATCTACTTCAGCGGAGCACCATCACGTCACGGTTCCTCAGGTATCAATTGACGCATGGTCATGTCACTGTCAGTGAGCATTGGTTTTGCGCGTGGCTGAAGACGTTAAAGTTTCCATTTCTGATCAGCAGGAATGCAAAATGCAAAAATATATCTCAACGACATCCATAATAGTAGAAGAAAAAAAACTGCTCTTGAATGGAAAATCTCGATCTGATAATCCCGAGCTGTGCCATCGTTAATTGTCTCCACTTCGTATCTCTGTTAATCCCAATTCCCTCGACTTGACCCAGGCTCAAGCTCTGGGAAAGTTCCGAAGAACACGAGAGGAACACCACGTTAACCCGAACAATTGAACCAGGTGTAACCAGATGTTTAGTGGGACCTAGCAATACATTGTAGTTTACCCCTCCATTATCATGCATCCAAGTTTGAGCTCGTTCAAATTGTTGCATTCAATTCTCTCTCTACCCCACAACACTGGGTCTCCTAGGATGTACCATTGTACCAGCCTTCTCCACACCACACAGAACCACACAAACCAAGCTTCACGATCCTGTCCGAAAGAATACGATTGATACGACCATCCTCACCGAAAGATCGGCATATGTCCACCGACCCGTCGAAGTGATTATTTCCTGCTGCGAACTCAATTCATCCGATCCACCTAGCTCTCGCTTCTCCTTCGCATTCCCCTCTGGTTTCCCAACCACCTGCCGCCCACAATGGCCACCACCGAGGAGGAAGAACCCTCCTACATTGACTTCGATACCTTCCTAGCCCCCGACTTCAACGCCAAATCCTTCGCCAACTCCCTCGTCCTCTTAACCAACAACCCCAACGACCTCCCGCTCGACCTATCCACGCCTCTATCGAGGGTCCTCTTCGATATCCAGGAGATCGACTCTCACATCGACGTGCTGACGACGAGATCAGCCATCCCCCTACTCGAGTATACACGCGAGCAAAACGAAGCTAGCAAACGCATCATCACAGAGCTAGATTCCCACGTAAAGAGCTTGAACGATAGCTACCGCCAGCTCGAGAAGGAGGTCATCGACAGGCACGCCGAAGCCGAAGAGGTAAAGGTCGTCGCCACGCGCTTGTGGGAGACTCTTCGGCTAGGTCGGTCAGTCAGTCGCTGTTTGCAACTTGGTCGGCAGCTAGAAATACAACATGGCGAGATATCCAGTTCCGGAAGCACCAGCGGCATTTCGTCTACTGCTGCAAATAAAAAGGACGATCACAAGGCGCTCATGCGGTGTTCCCATACAATTTTACTACTCCGCGAAGTCATGGAGCGAAACAAGCCGGGCGAGGAAGGTCACGGCCTCGACAAGGTAGATGTCATCCGCAGCTTGCGAGAAGCCGTCATCGCGCCCATAGAGCGATCGGTCCGCGAAACGGCGGAGCGGATCCTCCGAGACTTCAACATTCCCGACTCCGCCACCTTCAACCAGGTCGACGAGGCAAAATCCCGTCTTTTGTCGGCACTTTCTACCTTATACCTCCTGTCGCCTATGAACTGGGAAAAGCCTGAAAAATGGACCCCGAAGTTCCTCCTCCAATCTCTCGAAGCCTACCTGCGGTCTAGCCTCCAGACGAGCGCCACCACGTTGGGGCGGGCGCTAGGCCAGTTGCCGACTTTGGACCGAGCACTCGCCGAAGTTGCGGCCAAGTGCCAGAACATACTCGCACTGGAGTTTGTGCTAGACACAACCAAGGCGCCTCCTCACCCACTGCTCCAGTTCCACCCTGCCATTGCTAGCAATACCACCACCACAACTACCACTGTCGCCTCCTCTCAGCAGAAGCAGCAGAACCTACTCCAGCCCTTACTAGCATACCTGGAGACGGGGTCGCTGGCTTCGTATTTCTGGAGGTCGCTGGCAGGCAGCATGGTGACGCGGGTACAGGAGATTTCGACCCGCGGCGGTGCTGTCACGAGGACGCTCAAGGCAAACAAGGCGAATGTGGGCGAGGCGATTCGGGAGTGCGTTATTAAGGGATCGAAGTTGCCCAGGGCACTAGCAACGTCTAAGCATAGGAAGGGTGCGAAGCCCGAGGAGGGGAAGTGGGAGAGGGAGATTGCCGTTATGGTGGGGAGCGTGGTGAATAATTTGGGGAGGTGATGGGGCAACTGGGATCTCGGAAGTTGATGAGGCAATGTGATGAATGAAACGGCGTTTATGCGTAGATCTAATTCAATGTTTAGAACGGATAGAGATACCCGGAAGACGGAAGTATGATGTCTTTGATAGCCGTGGTTAGAGAGAGCTCTGGAATAGAACTGCGAGGCCAGGCCGTTGTAAGCCAGTGCTACCCCGTCTGATTCGTCGAGCCATCACTTCGACCTTGTTACTTGAATTAGCCTCGGGAAATGTTTCAAAACCACACCTTATTCCATCCCAGGAATCTCTCACCATGAGGGATTATCCATCATGTATTTCGAAACGAGGAGAGTGAACCTTTGGGACAGACTCCACCTAAAACTTAAAAAGAGCTGCGTTATCCATTTCGAATGGTCCACCTATGAAATCATCTGGTGGTTCTAGATCCAGACATGCTTCTGGAGGGTTTTCCTGGCTGGTTTGCAAAGTCGTCCACATGGTGGTGCCAGAGATCCTTGGGATAATGCCCCAACTCAAACTTATACAGGAGGGAAGAGACAGAAAGTCACACCGAGTCAAACCTCTCCCGTAATTTCGTCTCATTCGTAACTCTGATTGAACTAGTTTATTTGCTGCTTCGCCCGAAAAATATTCATGGATATCGGATCAAAATATGTGCATACATGTGAGTGCATGTAATGATGGCGTCCCATATGTACATCCCACCGCGGATCACCCATCAATCACTCTCAGCTTCCAAGCCCTTCATGTTCCTTCTCCCAACCTTCTCATCTTCCCCCCCGAACATAGTCAACCAATTCCTCAAAACCTGCCCCGTCACGCTCAGCAAGTACTCTTCCCGGTCCCAGTAAAGTTCCCAGCTTGATACGCCCCATCCGGATCATCCAGACACTCCGCAACAGTAACCATTTCCAGATTATTCTGCTTCGCCCAATTAATAAGCCAAGGCGTAAGCTGCTGCACCGTACTAGCATACGTCTCATGCATGAGCGGGATGTGGCCGTTCCCGGCGGCGCCGGCCTGCTGGAAGGCATTCTGGCTCTGCTGGGCCGACCAGCCGTTCCAGTCCTGGGCGTCGACGTCGTCGGTGATGACCTTGTAGCCGAGCTGCTTCATGGTGGGGAGAACTTGGCCGCCGGTGGCGAGGTAGGGGGGCCGCATGTAGGCGGGTTTGATGCCGATGAGGTTGACGAGGGCTTCTTCGACGCGTTGCATTTCGGTGGTGAGTTGTTGGGCGTTCATGTTGCCGAAGGATTGGGGATGTGTCCTGGGTGAAGAGAAGGTGTGTTAGTCGGTTTTTGGGGGGCTTGGAGTCCCCTTTGGTTATGAACTTGGCATCACTGAGGAGCTTGTCTCGGGGTTCTTACCAGGTATGAGACGCAATTTGATGTCCAGACTCATAGGCCTTCTTGACAGCCGCCGCCTGGCCGTAGATACATCCATACAGGGTGCCCGTCCAAAAAAAGGTCGCCTTCGCTCCGCCCTTATCGAGGATATCGATCAGCTCGCCGGTGTATTGATATGGGCCATCATCGTAGGCGAGGGCAATGACGCCGGGCTTGGCGCACTTGGTGATGACGATGCCGGCTTCGGGGGCGCGCTTGATGACGCTGATTGGGTTCTCAATTGGGATGGCGGCCGTGGTGATGGCAAGGGCGAGGGTGGTTAGAAGGGAGTTTGCGAGCATTTTGGGTGTTTCTTCGGGGGGGAAAGGAAGGAGAGGAATGTGGAGAAGGTGAAGGAGTAGAGGAGGATGAGGCAGGAGGATGAGGCAGGAGGAGAGAGAAAAGAGAGAAAAGCCTGTGATGTTCTGTATAAAGTTCGCTACGACAGCGGGCATATATCAATATATCAATTGTTACATATGGACCAAGCTGTGGGCTCTTCTTCCTTTCCGTTTTACCTCTACTCCGGAGACAGCCCAGACCCTGGTCCCTCCCATGGCCGGCAAGATGAAGATCCCCACCTACGATCAACAAGTTATAATTGACCTGTACAAAGTAGTAGTTGGGTAAATTGCCGGTTAGAATGGGCCCTGCGTGAAACGGGCACGCGGGCGCGATGTGGCTAGAGGAACCAGGCAGTTGGTGGGTTGATTAATGTCTGTCCCTACTTGGTACGGCGAGTACGTCCCTGGCGGTGGATCAATGCTAAACCCGGCGGCCGGGCGGCGGACATTAAATGTACGTTGGGTTGCATTCGCCGCAGATCGAAGAGGGAGCGGAACAGAAGAGGAACAGAAGCGGGGTGGAAACGGGAACGATGAGACAGGATCGATCTGCTTGGGAAACGAAGAAATCGGGTCGTTTTGGGGCCAACGGCTGAATGGAGAGCAACCCCAAATGTTCAGTCTGATCATTGAACCACGATTAATACTCTATATTCTACCAGCAATTTGAAAAGCAGTGCAAGCCGAGGTATTATCCCGGAGACGAGATTCTGGGTCCATCAATAAAGTGCCCCGACCACGCATTGTGCACCTGGGGGCAGGCTATAACACTGACCCCGGGCCTTATTAGATTATAGCCGGATGGAAAAGACCATGGGGCAATGGTCGAGTGGTCAAGGTCAACCTCTTTTGCGGAGACGAGCAAAGGCCGGATCGGCGGAGGGTATTGTGGCCCAAACTCGACATCTACACAGAGCACTATTAACTTCGTTGCCTTGCTTTACATCTCCATCATCTAAGTCTCGATCGCAAGACGTCAAACGAGCACAAGCGCCGCAGGGGGTTCCGTTTCTATTGACCTCTAATGTCCAAGTCTGTAACTCTCCCCAAAGCCAACCCAAGCCAGGAAGAATAAGAGGTCTTATATCCTCCCCATTCACTTTAGCCGCAAGGGGAAGAACCAGGCAAGTCCAATATCCCTATATATAATTAAAGTTAATAATTTATTCCAGAACAATAATCTCGAGCCAGAGAAGGAGAAGGGGGAACAAAAAAAAAGAAAAAAGAAAAAAGAAAAAGAATTAAATTCTTTTTTCTTGCCTTTCCGCGCCTTACCTCCAGGCCCTTCCCCCTCCTACTTTTGGGGTCGCGCCTCCCGCTGGACCACTAGCTCGTCTAGATGGGGATGAGGGAAGAGGAAAGAGGGAAGAGGGAAGCAGCGACAGTGATGGTGATGGTAGGTATCGGGTGTTTGCTGTCTGCTGTTGGGTTGTGCAAAGTACTCTCCCTCTCCCTCTCCCTCTCCCTCTCCCTCTCCCTCTCCTTCTCCTTCTCCTTCTCCTTCTTCGACAGGTGTATATCTATTATTAAAGTAAATATTGATATAAGAAAAACTACCACACTACAAGTAGGCAACGTGGGATGAGGAGCTTCGCCTAGCTTAACCGCCTCCCCCAACGGCCGAAAGGAACTTGTCGGACAAGGGTGACATGGAGAACCCATCAATATTGACCCTTCCTGCTGGTCGCGGACATTGCTCCTCCCTCCCAGATTCAGCAGATCTAGAGTCCGTGCCATTGTCTAGTTGGGTTTCCGTGTTCTACTCGAACGTGCATTGTACGGCCATGCCTGAATATCATAAATACCATGTATCTAGATGGAAATTATCTCGGATCCCCTCGCAATTCAAGACATCTTCGAGCCCACCGAGGGAGACAGGAGACACTTCGATCAATGTCTAACCTGAAGCCTGCCTAGGTTGGCTGGCCGCGTTCGAGGTCGCGTTCGAGTGCGAGAGTGAGGAGTGAACCGAAAGAGCTGCGCGACTCCGACGATCAACAATTGGTATCATTGTCTCACTTAAAACCAACCCCCCTTTCCCCTTCTCTCCCCCTTTGCGCCTACGGGGCGCTTAGGGGGCGCTCCAAATCAAATCCTTCTTCAATCTCCAGCTCAGCCTCACTATCTCCTTCATGCTGCATTTCAACTCTCTTCTTAACCTCTTCAACATCCAAGCCCTCTCGCAACAAGATGCGGCCATGTATACGCGGCGGGAATGTAATTTTGATGCCAGCATCCCAAAACTCGGTCTGCACAACAGACCTCAGCCATCTAGAACGAAAAACCCTATTGATTTCGTCTTTGCTTTCGGCCCAGGTGGGCGGTCGGGAGGGGAAGCAACTACACCCCGGGAGCGTTTGTTCGGGAACCATGGGTGCAAAGCGTATAGGGCATCTCCTACAATCACGAGGCTCTGCAAAGTGTAGGCCACTTTGGGACATATCGATAGTCTGTGCGTAGCGCACGGCAGGCACGCAGAGGTAGAGATCTGTCAGGTTTGGGCAGTATGTATAAAGCTCGCGGATCGCACCTGTCCAGAAACGCTTATACTCAGGACTGTTGGTATCCTGGCGAGCGTGGAAAAAAGCCCATTCGACAGCAAGGTGGCGGATGCGGGCGAGATGATGAGGGTTTTCGAGAGGCGGGGGAGGGCCTTCTAGATCAAGGTGAAACTCCGAATACCCTTGGCGAAGCTCAGTCCAAAGGACGATATCGTCTATTCCGAAACGAAAATACGCAGACCGGGGTTTCTGATGAGAGATATCAAGCCAGACATCTGAAAGGGCGCCACACTTAAGGGCTATTCGGCGAGACTCGCGGCATACATCGAGAATGGCGGGACGCTGTATTTGACTTGGTGCTGCCCAGGGGAAGACGAGCAGACGACGAGTTATCGCACAGGGAGGGGGTCTGTCTATGCGTTCTCCACGGGCGGTAAATTGGGCAGTGTCAGAGGAGAACATATAGTCAATGCAGTCACCGTGGTCCTCGTGGTATTGTTGGTCAAGGTAGGCCTCGAGGATCAGCGGTTTATCCATAAAGACAGCTGCTTCCCAGATCTGAGCCTGGATTTCAGGCGGCAGACTAGAAAATTGAGGAAACGAGTTGGCCATGATCAAATGGGTTTCGATTTTGGCGATAGGACGAAGAGCTGCTGCAGAGGTGATGAGGCAAGAAAAAAAAAATAGCGCTGAGGCTGGGAGGAGAGCAGAGAGAGCAGAGAGAGCAGAGAGAGCAGAGAGAGCAGAGACAGACTTCAAAGCTGATCATTCTTCTCGCAATAACAACACTGAAGCCGAGGACGAAGGCCGAGATTAAACTAGCTCGATGCGCTTTGTGCCACCCACCACCTGCCACCTCCAAACAAAAGTGCCTCGCGTCGCAGTCAGACTCGGAGTCGTGCAGCACAGCGGTTCCCCATTCGATATTCCTACCAAGAGGATCAACTTCCTACTTCGGGCTTCGTATGATTACTTGGTAGCACAAATAAATCGAGCCACACCTAATTCGGCTCGCCAAGACTTTGAATTTTCTTCTTACAGGGGATAAGGTTGCACTAATCTACTTCGTAATCCTACTGGCTTCCCCGGACGGGTCGGGCCGGGGTCGATCCCATGTCAGTAGTACAAAGAGATGAGGAAAGAGAACAGGAGAGAGAGAAGAAGAAGAAGAAGAACAACGACAGACAGAAGAACGAAAGAAGAACGAAAGGGAGAACGAAATCCACCACCCCTCAGACAACCGCCTCTTCCACCGCCTCTTCCGCCACCTCTTCCACCACCTCTTCCACAACCCCTTCCACAACCCTTTCTCCGTGCTTTGGCCTACTAATCATGTACAACCCTGTATCACATTCTCAGCTTTCCAATCCGCCCCGATTATGTTCCAATGGGCCAGGTTTATTTTATCGGTGTTGTACGACCTGATCTCGGCGTCCCAAACGCCTCGCGCATTGAGCCGTCTGCTCGCCGAAATGTCGACGTAAGTTAGCGTCCTTCCCGCGACCACCACAGTCCCTGTTGTGTATAACACGCCCTTGTTCTGCAGGTTGGGTATGGCGCAATACGCCCACGAATCACTCCGGAACTGGCGGTTCGCGACGACCGAGTCTAGGGCCATGTCCTTGATCGCATTTCTTGCTGCCATCTGCTGGGTTGTGCCCGTGTTGATCGTGGGCCAGATATCATTTTGCAGGTGGGTGGCAACTTGTTTTATGAGACTGGCCGCATCATGGCGACCGGAATTGACGATTTTTATAGCCTCGTAGTCGCGGCTTTCTGCGCTCCATCCGGCGTTGTACAGGGCCCGGTTGATTTGGTGGATGTCCCCATTGGTGCTGAAGTTCGGCCTTGGAGGGTTTTTTTTTAGTGATGTATTGGATGAATTCGTTGAAGTTGCAAGAACCACCTGGGCCGGTGCCTCGACAGCCAGACGCGATCCATGTGGAAGGCCCATTGCCACTGGCGTCAACGTCCAGCTGGTATATGGCCCAGAAATATAAGCGCTCATAGCCACCGTATATACCTCTTGCCAGAACAGCTGGGGTCCAGCAGAGCGACAACAACAAAAGGCTCCATGCAGAGGGCCAATGCGCATTCATACGAAGCGTTGCTACAACTTGGTCCTTGGCACTCACCTCGCAATATATTGCTTTGCGCTTCGCTCGTGTCAAAGGCAAGAATCCCGAGGGCCGAGGAGGATCAACTGACCATGTGCATGGCGATGGTTATGGCTATGGCTACGACTACTGCTACGTCCCAAGCATCAAACGTACCATTGGCATCCTACGAAATACGGCCAATTTCCGAGAGGAAGCGAAAAGCCGCAGGTATAATCAGTCGCACTCACGCCATATCGAGGTGTAATATCCTCCAAAGTGCCAGTCTCCTCGCCCACTTCTGCTTGGCAGGACGGTCCGCCCAGAGTCAAGAAGGACACCACCAGACCGAATAGCCCTCCTGTCCAAGCTGCCCTTTCTTTCTTTCCTTCTTTCTTCCGTTCTTCTGCTCTCCTCTCCCGAGCTTCTTGGATCTGCGCAGCTTGTTCTTTTCCAATTTCCCTCGGCGGCCAAAACAAACCTCTCACGATGGGATGGGCATGCAGGCGCGCAATACCCACATGAGAAAGGTCAATAAGGTCAAAAGCCCCCCATAAACGCCCCAGGAATCTTCCCCCGGCCCGGCTTGGCGCTGGGAGCGGAACCCGGCATCCGTGTAACGTCTCACATGTCTTCTCTCCTCCCGTAATGCCCCCTACTTGCGGAATATAATAGATGTCTGAGCCATACGCCCCAGCGAGTTCGCTCTGTCTCTCTCTTCCCCTTTTCAAAAACTCATGGTATTAGCCATTGCCGGCCCAGTTTACCTCGTTTGCAACAGCCATGACGCCCAGCTCTCTATTAGCCACGCTTTGCGTGGCGGCGAGCTCGGTAGCTGCCCATGGGTTCGTCCTTTCCTCACCTCTCAAGGCTTGTCCAGTGCCGTGCAGTCAAGCCAAGCTGCGCGACAACTGGTCAGTCTATAACTCTCTTGACCGTCTCAAATTCTGCCCTCTTCCCATTCTCTTCGACACTTCTCTTTATACAAGCTTGGACAACCCAGGCCAAACCTTCAGTATTCGAGCATGCTCCGTCGGGAATCTCCCCGAGAAGAATGCCACCATGGCAGAAGACGCGCCTGGCATTCTGGTGCTGAAATCTGGGGTTGGTACTCAGAGGATCGCCACCCCGGCCGCATGTTCTAACAAAGCCTCGGACGCGAAGGCGAAGGCTCAGCTGATCCCCTGGAGCGACGGCGGCAGCAACTCTGTTGGAATTGGGGTCGCTGTAAGCGCCGTACGCGACTTTATCAAAGACAACCATCGGTGTGAGGCCTCCACGGCAGTGTTCTCATACTACGAGGGCGTCGTCGTGGGAGCATATGCCGGTTCCAAGATCACGGCGGATTCCGCTGCTTCTTCTCTGCAGATAAAGGGACCACAGCTGCTTCAGATTTGCGGTGACGGCCGAAACTCGGAACACGTCCTCGGCATTGCCGTAGATACTGAGGCCGACTTTCGCCGAATGCAGGAGGCTGTCAAGTCCTGGAATGAAGCCACGTGTGTGCAAAGTGGCCGAGATGGTGGGTCGTCTGTCTCGGAGGTGACGTTATCCGTCTATCCTGAGGGCGTCAGCGGCAGGGAGAGCCTGACGCGCCGTCTTATGCCCCGTTGGCTTGAGCGACGAGCCGACTGTAGGACGATCCAAGTCGTCTCTGGCGATGGCTGCGCTTCGCTGGCAAGTCGTTGCGGCATCTCTGGCAACGATTTCACCAAATATAACCCCAAGGCGGGCCTGTGTGCGACACTAGCTGTTGGACAGTACGTCTGCTGTTCGGCTGGCACGCTTCCTGACATGACACCCAAACCCGGAGCCGATGGTGTGTGCGCTACATATCTCGTTATGCCCAATGACAACTGTCACCAAATAGCCACTTCGCATCAGATCACGGTCGACAACCTTGTGAGCTTCAACAACAAGAAGAGTAAGTCTATCCCCAAGCCACACACTAGCCCTTCACGACGGCCCTCCCCCTTTGTTCGGCGGCTGACACTTGGTCTCTACAGCGTGGGGCTGAACGGGGTGCGATGGCCTTCAGGCTGGAATCCGCATCTGTCTCAGTACCGGAAACCCGCCCATGCCTGCTCCCATCTCCAACGCTGTATGTGGTCCCACAATGCCCGGGACCGTGCAGCCGTCGGACGGAAGAAACATCTCGACACTTAATCCATGCCCTCTCAAGGTCTGCTGTAACGTTTGGGGTCAATGCGGTATGGACAAGGATTTCTGCGTCATCTCCCCGTCCAGCAGTGGCAACCCCGGCACTTCGGCCCCGGGGAAGGATAGCTGCATCTCCAATTGCGGCATGGATATCCTCATGAACACCGGTCCGCCAAGTGAATGGAGAGCTGTTGGATACTTCGAGGCCTGGAACGGCAACAGGCCATGTCTACACATGGACGTAGACCAACCCCCATCCCAGGAATATACCACCATCCATTTCTCCTTCGCTGTCATAGCTCCTGGCACTTGGGATGTGGTTATACCGCCTGATTCGCAGCATCAATTCGATCTTTTTGTCACCCGGGAAATGCCTGGGAATAAAAAGGTATGTTAAAAGAAAGAAAAATAGGGCCCAAAAAAAGAAGAAGAAAAAAAAGGAAAAGGAAAAGGAAAAGGAAAGGTTTCCGTACCCTTCATCGCGGCCTGCAACGAATATAAACCATGGTCGAGCTCTACTAACAGGCTGGTCAAAAGGTTCTTGCCTTTGGTGGCTGGACATTTTCAACCGATCCCTCGACGTACAAAATCTTTAGAGACGTCGTCCTGCCCGGAAATCGCGATGTTTTCGCTCGCAAGGTTGTTGATTTTATTAACCAACATAACCTCGACGGAGTTGATCTCGACTGGGAATATCCGGGAGCTCCAGACCTCCCCAGATTCGACCCAGGCGGTCCCAACGAGGGGTTCAACTACCTCATCACGTTACTGACCATCAAGAGCATGCTTCCTGCTGGCAAGACGCTTTCTATTGGCGCACCAGCGTCCTACTGGTACCTAAAGGCGTTTCCTATCGAGGCTATTTCGGCCGTTGTTGACTATATCGTTTACATGACGTATGATTTACATGGTTGGTGTCTCTCTTTCTCTCGCTTTCTCTCTCTTTTTCTAGCTATTCTTGTTCTGCGAGGTTGTCATGCCGATGCTAACCCCGGGAATCTTTTCTAGGACAATGGGACTATGATAATCGATGGGCCAGCCCTGGTTGTCCTGAGGGGAACTGTCTTCGCTCCCACATCAACATAACCGAGACGAAGCTTGCCTTGGCCATGATCACCAAGGCCGGCGTTCCCAATAACAAGATCATGGTCGGCGTTTCTAGCTACGCCCGAACATTTAAAATGGTTGACGGCAACTGCGCCGGGCCAAATTGCCACTTTGTCGGCCCCGAGTCGGCTGCTGAGAAGGGTTCATGCACCGACACGGCAGGGTATATTTCCAACGCAGAAATCTACAGCATCGCGGCGAACGATCGAGTCACCTGGTCAGAGTCTCACCTCATGAACGTGGACACCAGTATGACCGACATTATCGTATACGATGGCGATCAATGGGTCGCCTTCATGTTGCCCATCAACAAGTGGTTCCGTGTCGGCATTTACAGCGACTTGAATTTCGGAGGCGTCGCGGACTGGGCAATTGACCTCCGAGTCTTCGACGAAGGCAGGATCGGTGATCCGGACCCGGACGGCGAGGCTAACATACAGATTGGATGCGACGAGACCTTCAACTCCCTCGAGGATATAGACAAGGCTAAGGATAAACTTACGACGGCCTGCCGCAGCGTCTACGTCCTCCGCCTTCTCAGCAAGATGCAGAGGTCGGCATTGGATTCGTACAATGACTTGATGGCCCACGGCTACGACCACAAGTACGACCTTTACAGAGACCAGGTGAAGAAATTGGCGCCCGCTGCCCTCGCCGCCTTCATCAAGAAGCGTGGCAACGACTTCTTCGACTGCTATGTCGAGGAGCAGATGCTCTGCTGCGACTGGTGCGAGCCGCGGTACGGCAAGGCGAAGTGCCGCTACTGCGATAGAACCTGCAGCGGCTATCGCGATACCACCCGGTTTATGCACGAGCTCTGCCCGCCTAACGTCTCGCAACGTGGCGTGTTGGTGTTATATCTTGAGCAGGCAACGGCCAGGTACAACGTGCGCTGGACACTCAAGCCCGGGAAGCAAGATGCCTTCCTCGCGGCCGCTCTCAGCGAAGCTAACATCCCTAATGACTGGATTGGCATGGTCAAAGACCAGCAAGCGCCGGTGCCGTGTGCGGGGATATGGGACTGTGAGTGCGGCCCTAGCGCCAACCCGGAGACCTGCGAGCACACGGGGTACTGGTACAACGCGCCCTACATAGCCCGTACCGACGACGACGGCGTCTCGAATCCAAAGGACTTTGTCCAGGAGGCCGTGTCCAAGCAGGGCGATATCGGGACCACCAAGGAGGAGCTAGCCGACCAGATAGAGGCTTACTTCTACATGGGCGAGGCTTCCATATCTGACATTATCGAGGCCGCCGCACTACCCATCCTCATGCTCGACGAGGCCGTCAGCACTATGAAGGAGGTTGCCAAGATCGGCGAGGAGATTGACGAGAAGAACCAGAAGAATTTCATCATCCTGCTACTGACGTCGCTCCTGATGCTCGTGCCATTCGTCGGCCAGACCGTGGGAACCATCGCTCGTCTGGGGACCCTCGCTCGCACCCTCGCCTTGATTGGAGAAGCGGGCCAGGCCGCCCTCGATATCTACAGTATCGTAGATAACCCGGACAACGCGCCCCTCGCCATTTTCGGACTCGTCCTAGGTGCCGGGGCGTTGCGAGACATCACCAAGGTGGCCCCAGCGGCTAAAGCGGCCCGTGGTACGAAGGCCGACGACCTTGCTAAACTCGGGGGCAGGGTAGAAAGTAGGATGAATGCTGTCAAGAGCATCGCGGGGCATTCTTGCGCTCGCTGACGACGTCGCGTCTCAACTCACCTAGCCACAATGCAACAACCAGACACCCTTTCTTTTCCAACTACTACACCCAAAATCACCGCCACGCCTTGTTCAGTTCATCCCCCGATGAAACGATCCCATGGCAGCACATAGCATACGAAGAGTTATGACGCCTTTCAGTTACAAGTCGGGGCCTCCTAGACTATATTATGCTTGAGCGATATAAGAGGTGCTGCACACTTTCAAAAGTTTACTAGCCATGATTTGTTCATAACCCATCCGCAGATAAATAGAAATACGCTGCCTCTAACCATCCGAGGCGAATGGAGATCCTCTCCGCTGTTATTATAACATCGCCAGAACAATTGAACGCCCCACTAAGCTGGAGAAAGGGAATTCAGCAACATCTCATCTCCAACGGGATCAGCCCTCTATCTGGGTAACACGCGTGGGGGACACACGAATATGCCGGATTGAGTATTGAATCTGCAAGGCAACATGAGAGCCAGGTTATCAGCCGGGTCGGAAGAAGTTTGTCCACGGAATCTCCATCGACTCTGCCGGGGCGTTGAGAATTTGAGAATCCCAAGTGGACTATTATTACCAGGTACATTTCATTAGCCTTGCGCAAATGTCAGAGTAGAAGGGAAGATGAGTCTCACCCAATCCAGTCCAGGAACTGTCTCGCCCATCGGCTCCGCCATAGGCATAGCTGTCGGCTGTTCCGGCCACGGAACCGGCATGGCTGGTTGTGCGACTTGCGGCGCGGCCCAACTCATTTGAGTCTGGCCCACGAATTGCTGGCGAGAATGTTGCTCGGCAAAGTCTCGCAGGTTTATACCTAAATTTTATTGAATGCGCGTTCAGTAACGAAAAAAAACCTCAGATAATTGTGGAAGAAGAGAAAGAGAGAAGTACACTTACCATGGGCAAATTGGTATGATGGCCGTTGCTCCGGCCGAATGTCCGCCATCGGACCCGTATCCGGCGCCCCGTCGTACTGGACGCCCGTAGAAATCGTCAACATCCTCGAGAGAATCTTGAACGCGCGGATGGCCTCCGAACTCTCGTGGCATCGCACCTGCCAAATATTTCGAGAGGTACGAATAATGCTCAGCAACCGTTCCTTATTGATGGGCTCGGGCGTGGTGTCCATGTCATTATTGTCCTCCTTGCGGAGCAGATACGAAAGTTCAAGACAGAACATCATGTTCGCCAGTAGGAAGTCGTGTGTGCTTAGACTGGAAAGGAACCATCGCTCCTTCGACAGTCGGCCGCCCGGTAGCATCTCGTTGTGGATGTCGAATTGGTGCTGCAGAATCATGGTGGATGCATCGATGCAAGCAAAGTGACTGTACCTGTATCGGTTGTCCGTGCGGGCAATCGTAAAGTAGCGCCGGTGCAACACAATGCGAGCTTTCTGGTACATGAGCTCAATCCAGAGACGCTGCATGATGAGATCCACCGGGTCGGGTATAGACAGGCTGAAGGACCGCATCCGGAGAAGAGGCGGAATGGCTTCGTGAGCATCCTCCAGTTTCTTATCCAGACGGAGTACTTCCCCATACGTAGGCTGATCGCGGGACGTCACCGTAGACAGAATGTCGGCGAAGGCCGCAACCAGACGTGATTTGACTATGGTGTAGAGAGCCGGTGTCCGCTCGGTCTGGGGCCGCTCGGGTGGGAGCTCCGTCGTTGACTCGTCAAAGTCTTCATCCAGGAGATTCCTTGGGAGGCCAGTATCGAAATACCGCGGCTGAACATTGGCCGGTAGTCCAAACTGGAATGCAACGAGAAGATCAATCTCGGTTAACAGCGTCCAAAGCCGACGACGCATCTCCGTCTCAAAGATTGAGAGGTCCTTGTAGTGCCTCGGGTCTCGGTGAAGTCCCATATGCATGGCAAGACGAACCGTCATGGTCATGAGGATCGAAGTGCCGCGGGAAGCATCGCTGAGTCGGAGGTACTCGATTCCAAAGTAGAGAATCAAAGCTTCGACTTTGTACTTGCCAGGCTTTGTGACATCGTCCAAGGCTAGGCAATGGGCCGACCTAATGCGATACACATCGCACACGTTCATAGGCGGGCCTAAGTTGCCGGGAACTTCTTCGTCTCCCCGAAGGCAGAACAGCGCGGCATGGGCAATCATGATGAATAAGAGCCCTACCCACGTCAAAGAGTACGTGTGGGGTGCTTCCCAAAATTCCTCATACTGGTAAGAGATTAGTTACGGAATTTTCGGCGCGTTTGTCAAGACTACTAGTGGGGAGTTTAGTGCACTCACTTGCTTCATGAAAGTCGGGACATGAAACATAACTATGATCAGTGTCAGCAGAGCAGAAATAAGGCACAGAGAGCATTGCAGTCTTTTTCTTTCTCGTCTTTGTTCTGTGGGTGTTTCAACGTACGCCAAGCAGGTTCCTTGCCGCGGAAGAAGCGGGCGATCAGCCGGTCCGTTACTTCACGCGGAGGCATATAGTCGTACAGCATATCTGTCACGGAGGCTTGTACCCACGATCCGGATAGAAGCACCGGACCAGATGCACTGACGAATGGGTCGGCAGATGCATCGATATCATCAGGATCATCATCTGTGGTCTTAAGCTCATTCGTGAGAGTTGTAACCTAGATGTAGACAAGAGGTAATGGTAAGTAAGGTTTTATCCTCTGCCAATGTAACTCGACGTTTCCTAGTTGTGGCCAGTTTGTCGAGGGGGGCAAACTTACATCATCAAGAATTGCCTCCCAGTTGGCAGCGTCCACAAAACGCAGGTCCCCGACCAACGAACCAGCCGGCGTGGTAACCGTTACACCAGTCAGGTCTCCAGGGGTCTCCGGCAACTTTGATTCTGCAGTAGCCCGCGAGCCCCCTGACTTATTACTCGGTGTTTCGTCTGTATTTACGCCCCTCTCAGCGAGCTGCCGACGCATGACGGCCACAAGGTGCTCCAAGTGCCTCAGTCTCTCCTGCCCACTGATATCAATGGGCGGCGAGCGTCCGCCTCGCTGAGAAGCTGCCGCATGAGCCCGGAGGACATCCCGAGGGTAAGAGTAAGGGACATAGACACAAGTGGATGTGATGTTGCGCTTCACGCATTGGTCACAGGGCTGAGATCGATTGCACTTGAGTCTAAGAGATGTATCAACAGTCAGTACTACCGACACCGACATTCTAGGCGATAACAACGTGAGGCGGGAGACGACATGGAAACAGTTCGGGATCCATCGAGTGCACATATTAATATGGAAGGGGCTCACTTTTTCTCACGACAAGTGGTGCAAGAGAACCTAATCCGATTCCTCTTTTTCGGCCCAGACTCGCTCGTCGTCTGAGGCATGCGAGACCGAGCAGCCGAACCGACACCTGGTCCTTGGCTCACAGCAGAAGCCGGGATTCTTCCGTCGACGTTACTCATTGTTTATCAGGTGGGAATCCCAATCTAATCGATGTCTCTTGTAGCGGCCAAAATGATAAGATGGAGCAGGAAAGAAGAAGAGCAAGGGAGAAGGATCAGAGGAGAGCGGGGAATAAGCTGGACAAGAAGAAGAGAAAGAAGAAGAGGGAATCTTGCAAAAGCAGAGACACACAGCGACTGTGGGCATCAATTTTGCACAACTTCTCTAGTCGTGGGCGATTCCTGTGTGTGCTTCCCACATTTCTCACTTGCCCTGGGTAAGACTGATAGTCGACTGATGCAATGACAGCAGACCAGGGTTGAACACCTCTTTTTACAAGAGAAGCCACCCCTGGCTTTCCTGCTATTAATTGCCCTTCTCCACAGAATCAGCGGGCTGCATCTTTACACTAGTGCCGTCGTAGTCGCGAGGAGGTTCCAAATCATAGTTCAAGGAGGCATGGACAATGGAGAAGGCAAAGAAGAAACGTTGCGGAACTCATCTTCTCATTCGAGAGAACCCGTCATGGGCAGCAACCTGCCGCCAACGACAGGGCGAGAAAAGCGCCCCATTTCACGCGGGTTACTGCTTTTGTACCGGCAGCTGCGCGGCGGTGCTTTTCGAATCCTTCATCACAGGAGTTACGTACTGTGCCGAGAAAATACGCCCTCCCGAACGGCGGTCGTCCACACCCGGCGACGGAAGCCCATCTCTTGGAAGGCCGATCCCGAGAAACTAACCGTCTCGTATTCAGTCCATGCGGGTCCTCGGCCCCGATCAACTACCGTCTTCGGCGCCGCAAATTAATTCCTGAAGCGGCTCGTGAGATTCAAACAAGGTGGGCTCATTTTCCCGGGACTAACGAGTATCTCCGGAGTCATCGTCTCGATAAGTCTCAATGCACTGTGTACTTGTGCTTGAACGGCGACCAGTGTTGCAGTGACATGGCGTGATCCCCACCTTCTGTGAGAGATTGGCCAATAGGATCACCGGATTTATTGTTGAGCGCCGGATTTATCCCTGCAGCCATGCCGGGATTCACTGTAGTACAGATCGAGATCGGCGCGTGGTTTATTGGACAGCTGTCACATCCGTTAACACTTGGCCTTATTCTTGTCAACTAATCTAATCTAGAATTGAATGACGCTGCGGTGCTGTCATTTGACAACGGAACATCCCGCATCGCCGCACCTGCATTTGTACTGCCAATGAGTGACACTAGATCCATTTGATCCATTTGATCAGGCATCGGTCAAGCGGACTTGGACTCGGGAGCCTGGGACATCCAACATCCAACATCCAACAATCCAGCACCATAGTGACGGAGGAGATTCTCATCTCACATCGATACATCGATGGAAGCTCGCAGCGTCAATACGACTCCAGGCTGGGGCCAGCATCAAACACCATCCCAGCTCGAAGCTCTCCTGCAGCCTCTCCACAGACCAACTTCCCATCTCCGGCGGGCAGTCGTAGCGGCGTCATACCCTTTGCGTGGTATATGGTATTTTCTTCGGCATCGCGAACTGCATCCTCTCTTATATGGCCGCTTATTTCCTCTCACCCTTATCTCATTCCTAATTTACTTCCTCCTCTTCGCCTTCACCTTCCTCCCACAAGTTGCATTCTTGGCGATATGGCAAGGATGGAGTGCTTGGATCAACGCCGTTTTCCTTGTGCTTGGCGAAGGATTTGTAATTATTCAGGTTCGTTCCTGCATCACTGCTCCCTTTTCAAGCTTCCTACAAGTATAATATAGTACTTTCGTGCTTACGCCCCATTCTAGGCTCTTTTTGAAGGCTTCTTCGTAGACGAGGCCCGAGTAGACATCTTTGATGTAGGCCAAGACTCACACCCCAACGTTTTCATGGCACATCCCCAGTACTGAACTTTTTTGTTTGCAGGCCGTTCTCATCAATCACTCACTTAGCTATCTGGTCAGTCCGCACCGGATGTGTAACCTTGACGCGCCCGACTCTGTGAAGGCGCTGGGAAAGCCAACCACACCCGCTGTTTACACTCCGTGGAGTATGAAGCAAATGCTGGAGCTCGTCTTCTTTCTTCCTCTGAACTTCATCCCCTGGGTAGGGACGCCCGCCTTCATCCTCATCACCGGCTCCAGACTCGGGAAACTGGCCCATTATCGATGGTACAAACTACGAGGGCTTGATAAGAAGCAAACCAAGGCCGAAATCAAGAGGCGATCGTGGGAGTATCTCTGGTTCGGAACCGTTGGGATGATTCTGGAATTCATACCTGTATTCTCCCTGTTTTTCTTATTGACGACTACTACGGGCGCTGCCATGTATGCTGCAAGGTTCGAGGACGAGATTCAAAGAGGACAAACTCCCTCCCGACAGGATTCCGAAGCGCATGTTACTCCGTCTCAGTCGTCGGGGCCTCCAGACAATCAGTACCACGATTAAATAGTCGAAGCAGCCATACATTTCTTTAGAGCAAGCATATTTTAGGTGATTCTTGTTCAAATCGATTTTGGGGGGGGGACTCTAAAGCTCTTATTGAGTCAGCCAATTAATAACCCGAGAGTGCGGTAATGTGAACCCCAATGTGGTAGATCTCCCGGGTCCCTCCATGTACAAGTATGAGAAGGCGAAACCATACTTGCGCTCACGCTAAGAAATGTATCTGAGAACTGTTCCTTCATCGAGATATTTCACCAAGGAGACGTTCAAGCAGGGCGCTTAAAAGAGGGGTGTGACTAATCGCCATTTTCTTGGTTCATCGTTGCGTGTGTCTGGCTCACCAAATGATGCAGCTGGTGCAATTGAGTGCTTTGCAAGCCGAAAAGTAAACAAGACCCATCTTCAAGCACGACTCTTTCTGACCGCTCTAGCTCCAGCGTCGCCTGTTATCGCGTTCGTATGGCTCAATCCACCCAGCTCCAGGGGCCGCCGGCGCCATTTGTTGTTGAACCTACTGCGGTTCATACGGGCACCTTCATCCTCCTACATGGTCTTGGCTCGAACGGGGAGAAGTTTGGGAAAGAACTCCTGGTCACGGGGAAGACATCAGGTGGGCTAACACTCCCACGGCTCTTCCCTAGCGCTAAATTCATCTTCCCGACATCCAAACGCCGCCGATCAACTGCCTTTGGTCGATCCATCTTGACGATGTGGTTTGACATCGTCTGCCTGCAAGACCCGTCTCACCGCAAGGAGCTGCAGTTGCAAGGCTTGGCCGAGTCTGGTAGAGAGCTTTTAGATCTCATTCGGCAAGAACTTGAAACAACCAGCATTGGCCCCGAGAAGATTGTCCTCGGCGGGTTGAGCCAAGGCTGTGCACTGTCTCTTTCCGTGCTGCTCTGCCTAGACCACCCTATCGGGGGGTTTATCGGAATGAGCGGCTATCTCCCTTTCCGTGAAGACATCGACGAAGCCATGGCAGAGCTCTCTGATGCCGAGGATAACCCATTCTCTCATGGTGACGACATACACGACGATCTCGACCCGGCGACCAAAGCGTCTGTGTTCGAACGAGATCTCTTGGCGCTACCACCAGTGGATGAAGTGGATAGCGAGAAGACGGCCCAATCTACTCCAATCTTCCTCGGCCATGGGGGCGCCGATGAAAAGGTTCCGTGCTCGCTGGGAGAGGCTATGGCTCGGACGATGCAGACTGCGGGCTATACGGTCCGGTGGAAGTATTACCAAGACCACGGGCACTGGTATAAGATCCCTGACGAGATTGATGATGTAGTGGAGTTTCTCCGTTGCGATGTAGGTTGGCAGGTGGAAAATATCGAGGATGCATGAGATGGAACAAAGTTCTGCTCCATACCCTACATTAGAACATAAGAGCATGTTTACCAAACAATCTCTCGCGTACCTCACACGACTGATAGTTTCTTCCTATAAAGCTGAAAGACACTTCAATCTCCAACTTTGAACGCTCTTGCTCTAAGATCTGTCCCGAATCCACAATCACACACTTTGCCAAGCGCAGCCCCGATCGATCACTAATCACTGGAAGACTGGACGCCGCTTCCCAATATTCTCCCATCCCCCACGCCTCCAGTCACCTTTACCTGCCATTTCATGCAAAGGACTTTTCTCACATGTGAAGTCGTCTTATGTACTCCACCTCGCCATCGATGGAACCATCCGGGTGGAGTGTTTGGCTTCCAACAGTGAACGAAGCAGTAGCTGCCATTGCTGCTATCACTTATAACCGACTTAGTCGCCAGCTCTTTCCCCATTTTCTCGACTCCGAATCCAACCGTCTGTATTCTTCATCGACGACTGGCATAGTGCCTTCTCAACAGGCCCAGTCCCCGCATAACGTTTCAACGCAAGGGAGATGTCATTGAAGAGTCCATATCATGTCGTTTGAACGTAGAAGGCTCTCCGGAGGTGAAAGGCTCTCTGACTTGAGCCTTTCATCTAGGCTCCGTAACTCTAATTGATCCGTCTTGCCCTGTCTTCTGGCTATGGAATCTCTCTGGCTCCAGCGAACGCTTCATAAAATCTTAGTCGGCCAATTCTAGCAGCTCTTGACAAGCTTTTTAGACCGATAAATACTTTCTCTTTTTCCTGTTCCAGGCAACTTTTGAATCAATACCCGGTCAAATTTTCAACGTCTTAACGCCATGAACTTGACTACTCTCACGCCGTGGATACTTGTTGTTATCATTGTGCAAGGGGTGGCGACGACAGTAGAGCAAAGGTTAGTTTACACAGCTAGATGACGATTCCTTTACGAACATCACCGATTAAGCAGTGATTCAGCAAGGAGAAACCAGAGATTCGCCCACATTTAGAGACCGTATCTGTGACTGCAACCGCTACCCCCCTTGTGCGCGCGACAACCGATGCGGCTATCACCTCGACCCGGCCGGACTTTAGCTTCACGTCTTTTCCGCCTGTCATACTTACACCCATAACCAAGCCCTTTGGAGTCCGAAGGGCAGATGTTGAATACATCTCGCAGCAAAAAACTGTGGGCCCGACGCAAGCGTCGGTATGGCGATGCGCCTGCCGTACCGAATCTCCCAAGTCCGAAACGTTACCAACAAACCGCAATGGCGGCCCTACAAACACCAACGGAGCACTGGCCAGTAGCGCCAGCCTCTTGCAAACGTCACGGCTTCTCGCAAGGACTGAGACCATCTCATCAACGTCGACCTTCGATCCTTCATCCCTGAGTCTTGACCAAGCGTCTCCGTTGGGCAAGCCGTCAACTACCGTTTCGGAACAACGAGGGCCAGAGCCAACGGTCTTGGAACAAATAGGAGTTATCCCATTTCACACCGCCCGATTTGCGTTCCCAGAAGTACCAGGGTATCATCATACAAGTCGCCGTTGGACACCAACCCAGAATGTAGACTCGGGTCTCGAGACAACAATTGTACCAACCTCTATCACAACCATTCGGAAATCACCTTCAGAAACCATCTTATTCTCTGCAACTAGTAGTCTTGGTTTGTCATCTTAGTAAATATTACGAGTAACTGTTAGCTGACGACCCCTCACTAGAAACCCGGACCGTGATGAGCTCCTCAACCCCTTCGAGCCAGCTATGGAATGCTGATATTAGCCATGTCAGCACTTTGGAACCCTCAACTCAGAACTTCCCCTCAGTTGAGGCTTTCAGCTCTAGCCCACAGTCTTCCTCAGTCCCGATTAACGTAACCTCTTCTTCCGCGCTTCGCTCAGTCTCGTGCAATCAATCCGTCTCAGTCACGTCAGCTTGGACCGCTATTCCATTTACGACTGCCACTCCCTCCCTCTCCCTGATCTCCTTTGGAAAACCCTCAGCCTCCGCGTCTTATTTTTCTGAGAGTCGATCTTTTAATAGCACAACGGTACCCCCGTTATCCCTAATCACAAGTACCCGTTCGTCATCCTCTATCGCAGGATCGGCAGCGAAATCCATGGTGCCACCAGTTAATGCATCCACAAACACAGGCAACATGACGTTTAATGTGAGTTTCCGAGACTGGAGTCGCTGTATTAGTCTGTCTCTAATCAGCCGCATCTAATTCATGCCTAGTTTGATGATATCCCCACTGGACAGCTCCTCAATCCCTACCTCAATTTTTGGTTCTCGGAAGGTTTCCTTGTGCAGAGAGCCTCTGAATCTCCGTATGAGTCCGTAGCCGGAGCACAACTGGCCGAATTCATTCCTGCACCTCTTAGCAATGGCCGGTTCAACAGTACGCACGACCTCGCCATGATTAGTGTCGGCCCTCAAAGCTCCAACACATGCTTCCAATTCAATCTGCAAAGCCTGAGCCTGGGCTGCGCGTCGAACAGAACCTTCCAAGACTGTCACTTTTGGATCTGGGGCCTACGGCACAACTCGACCACAGGTCGGGAAGAAAACGTAGTAGCCAGCCAAGACGTTCCGACTCTAGCATGTACGAGGCCTCGGTGCAATTTGACGACCAAGGAATTCTACGGATCCTATAAGAACCTCACTTCGATTATAATCCAAATCAGGTCAGGCGGCAAGTCGAGACTCTGGTGGGCCGATAATTTGGTGGTGGAATGGGCTGACGATAGTTGTGCTGCGACGAAGTGCCGTGAGAAGGGAGTGTTTGCTTTGGAGGGGATCTCGAGCTGACCGGGGACGAAACCCATAGTTTGAGGGACACAGAATGCATGCTACTGAGCCATCACAGTGATGCCGGAAAATCATGTGAATTATCATCATGTTTATTGTAACTTTTGAGCGGTCCCACGAGAACAGAATGCATTCTACGCTATACTACCTGATAGCTATCATGTGTGGCATTAGTGGCGCTTGATATTCTAAACGAACCCGAAAACAAAACGGAAGAAGAGGGAAAAACAGAAGGAAGAAGAAAGAAGCAAAAATAAATCTATATCATTACGCTCTGCGCTCTGCGCTCATTGTCGCTGAATGTGATAGTGGAGCCCCAGCACAATAGGCCCCAGATGGGAGAGCGGAAAGGAAAAGAGCATGGAGTCGGCGTATCACGTATCACGTCACGGACCAAACGAGTAGGTTCACATCTTGTCTTTCCACCCGCGCCTGGTCTTCTTGGATCTCGCCATCCGAGCAGCAATCATGAATCCCATGCCGATCAGCAAGCAGCCGCCGGCGAAAGTCTGAGCGCCGAAATACCGGCCATCAGCAGCCTGGATCAAAGCACCGGCGATAGGAGGGCCGATCAAGGTAGCGAAGCTGACAATGGTAAATACCATGCCTATGCGGGTACCTTGTTTCCTAGGGTCATCCGTAAGAGAGCTTAGGCCGGCCGGGAAGAGGCCCTGGATCCCACCGCCGACCATGCCATAAAAGACGGACCAGGCGTAGAGACCAGCCGAGTCAACGACGGCGATCCAGCCAAAGACCACGATGGCTGATATCAGGCAGACTGGGATCAAGACGTTGACGACGCCAACTTTGTCGGCGATGTGGTTGGGAATGAGGCGGCCGGGGGCACCGACGGCGTTCAGGAGGAGAAGGAGGTTGAGACTGTTTTCGTACGACATGGTCGGCTTAATTTGAGACGTGGCGAAGGAAGCCAGGAAGTAAAAGGGGAAGTAAACGCCGAGGAAGAGGAAGAACGCGCCGACAGCATAGAAGGTATACTCAAGGGTACGAAAAGCGGCCCAGTCGACGAAGGGACCGGCTTTGCGAGGTGGGACGCGCTGTCGTAGGAAGAAGTTGCAGAAGACGAGGCCGACGAGCTGGACGAATCCTATGGCGCGGAGGGTCCAAGCCAGGCCGGCGCGTGGTATGAGGAAGCGGGCGATCAGGGGGAAGATGACACCGCCGGTGGCGCTACCGCATGCCCCGATGCCGATGGCCAGGGAGCGCTTGGAGGAAAAGTAGGTAGATAGGGTTGCTATCGTCGGGCAGAAGAGGAATCCGTTCGCGAGGCCCATGCAGATGCCCTGGGCTAGGAGAAACTGGGCGTATGTTGAGGCGAAGGACGCAGAGAAGATACCGAGGAGTTGAAGGATGGAGCCGCCGGCTAGGATGATGCGGAAGTAGCCTGCATCCGTGAGGCGGCCTGCTACAGTGCCGATTAGGAAGAGCAGGAAGACTTGTGTGGAGCCGATCCAGGAGATGGTAGAGGGAGGGAGATTGAGGAGGTCGGCGTAGTAGGTCTGGAAGATGCCAAAAGAGTTGATGAAGCCCCTTTTGTCCGTGTAAGTCAGCTGAGGTTAGCCTAACGGCGCAGTATTACTCGAAAACACTAGTATTTACCATGAATTCATAACAATTAGATGTGCGCATATCGCTAACGGCAGGTAAAATAGACTTAGTTAGCCTTGAGGGCAAAAAGAGGGGCATAACCGTGTGCAGGCTCATAGTCTCACCTGTTACCCAAGCTGACCATCCTCCGTCTGGAGGCGGGCCAGGGTTTATTGAATGTGTTGAGGCAACAGTGCTCAGGACACGGTTTATGATGCTTTGCGCGCGGGATTGGACCGGTTGGATCTCACCGGCGTCCAAGTCATTGGACGTGTCAGAGTCATGGTCGCCGTCGTCGTCGTCGTCGTCGTCGTCGGCGTCGTGGTGGTGGTGGTGTCCCCTAGCGTCGTCTCGGCCGGAATGTTTCTCCGGGTCGGACCCGAACTTTTCCAAATCCGTGGATTTGTCAGAGTTTGAGATGGCGCCGGGGCTTATTTTCTTTTCTGGGTCTGGGGAATCCATTATAGGTCAATGGGGGGTTAAAATGTTAATGCCCTAGAGACTCTCTAAAAGTCACACCTGGTGGAACTGGCTTTTGTGAGGAGAGGTCATGCAATGAAGAGAATTCAAAGTCTTCAACTTTCTTCAGGTCTTAATCACAGGAAGATTCTTAATGCCAGAGGGGAAGAAAAGAGATCAGCTAGGTCTGCTCTGCTTGTAGCTCAAAGGGCGTCCAAAGAAAAGTAGAGGAGCAGGGAGGACCTTTTGTATGAAGGGTCACAATGATAAGAAGAAGGGGAATTGTGGAGTGGGTCGTGATCATGGCGACATTCTAGGAGTCATATTAAAGCTCAAGAGATTTTTTGGCCGTCCGGTCTGGGACTCTTCATGGTTCTTATTATATGTAGAAATAGCTTGCTCCATATTTCGGAGGTTAAAATTCTGATGCTAATGACCCAGCGCTTGCCAAGGACTGGGGGGCATACGAAGTACTCGATTCGGCGGCCGAATGCGGGACCTCGGACGCGAAGACAACAACTGAAGCCAAACAGGTGGAGCGGGGCGGCAAGAACATTGCCGGATCATGGCATATTGTGACAACAAATGACAGGGGCCTACGGAAGGAGACCCTCAATCTACGCTAGGTTGGAAGCGGTCCAGAAGCTAATGGCAAGGTTCTAATGTTGGTGTTTTCTGGTGTCGGCGAAAGGGCGTGCGTGGAACTTGGTAATATGGGGGCATCAATTGGGGCGGCAGTGGAAGAAGATTGATCCTGCCCGTGTCGATCAATGTACCAGCGTATCCTCCTGCCCGCATTGACCTTTGACGTCTCAACACTCCTTCATCCAAGGACGCAGTACACGAATTTTCGGTTTTAGGTTCCTTCTTGACTTTAATATGTCTGCAGAATGGGAACCACGGGCCTATCTTGAAGACATCATCGCAGATTCCAAGTCTTGTCTTGTTGGAGAGAGGGTGCGATGGAGCCGGTGAGAGTAGCGGGAAGGGGATGCCAACGTTGGCACATGGGAAGTGGTGGGATTCGCAGTCGCCGTGACTTGCATTTTCATCCGACCATGACAAGCTGCGACTGGGTCGTTGCAATCTCGATGTAATTCGCCCATTATCATGGCTTGCCTACTTCGTAGGGTCGGGATCAGAGAGGGCAGGAGCAAAGGCGGAAGAAGTTGCACATGTGCACGACCAAGTACGAAGTACGAAGTACAGAGAACGGGAACGCGGAAGGTTCGAGGATGGGAACCTCCCACAATTGCACACCCTACTTTGTACCTGCTCAGCGGGAGGAGCGACCAAGAAGAAGACGGGAAGGTATTCCCGGTACTAAGGTACTCCGTACCCCAGTACGTGTAGTGTCGTGTTCGTAGACTTGGATAAGGCAGGTGGGCCCTTGGTTAAAGTTGATCGTCAAGGTGGCTCCAAGTGAAATTTTTGATGTCGAGTGTACACGATATTGATTGATACACTACACTACGCAGCCTCCGGATCTATATGGATGGCCTTATCCATCACCTCCAACGAACGAGTTCGATCTTCTTTGCCCGCACTCTACGAAATCCACTCCGATACGAGTTCCCCCTTACGCCCGAGGTCTAGGCTCAAGCAGAGTTCCAGATCAGAAAGGACGGAGCAGGCTTAAAAGCGAAGCGCGAGTTCAGTTCGTGACCTCCTTGGAAACCTATTCCGGTAAAGAGCGGATGATTAACCTCGTGGTGAATGGCCAGGAAGAAACCGACCCGGTTGTAGTGTATATCTGGATGCCCTAATGCAAAGATGGCGGGCTTCTTAAGCGACTCGTGGTAACTCCATGCCGAACTTACTTCAAAGCTTCTGCTCCCGGCTACACTAGTGCCCCTAGTGAGGTTGTGAGTCAGGGGCCATTCGTCCGCAAGTTGTGGAGTTGTGCCGTCGTCTGTCTCCCGATATTCCCGATATTGCCGATATTCCCAGCCCAGTCACGGCCCTCTAACGACGGCCTGTCGGTCCCGACTCCGGTCGAGCTCCGTTCCGAAAACCTCCATGAGCCGGGACAACTTTCGTCTGTCCTCGGGGTGAATGGCCAGCCAATAACACAGCTGGTCGAAGATTCCACTGGTGGCGGCCTGCTTTTATCAGGCGACCGACTTTCCAAGCCGCCTTGACGCATTTGTCGGGCGCTCATCTTTTGAATAAATAGAGGTAAGTGCCAGTTGAGCGACGATTGCCTCCCCTCGCAACCCTTCGAGTGCCATTGAACTCTTGCCCCTGGAAAATCCATTGAAGAGAACATAGACTGTTTCTACATCGTGTCGACCTCTCTGTGGCGTAATCAGAGCCAGCCTCAGCCCAGAAAGGCCCGGTTTCGACCAGTAGCATAATGCCACAACAAAACTTGCTGGCCGCCTTGTTTTGCGCACCTCTTGCTAAGCCCAGGCGAACGCATTTCTCCCCGACTGTGTTATTTTCCCAAATCACAATGCTCCTCCTATATCAGTTGGTTACACCATTCTCTGCATTGGCGCCAGCCTGCTTGGGGTGGCAGCCCAACCTGACAATCTGCCAAAGGTGTTTGGAGTGTTTATGGAAAGAGTCTCCAGTTGGTTCTGTAAAGTCTTCATCTGATTCGTTGACATTGATGAGCGAGAGCCTTGCCATCTCCAGGCAGCTTTTATGATGCTCTTGAGGTGACCCCCAGCCCATCACAGGCACAACATTTTATATTTTAACATCCCCCATCTCATGTCCATCATTCTGAATGAGTCCTGGAAGCATTAGAATTAATTTTTCCAAGGTTCTTAGCCATTTTAGAGTAAGGGTAGCTTTTGTAAGCCTCACGTCTTCGAGCTTGCCCCTGCGAGGGATCATCACGGCAAGGGCGAATCCCTGCCCCAGCTCGATGTTTGTATCTTCAGGATCTTCTGTATTTCTGTCAGCTCTTTGAGCGTCTTGCTTCCTTCCTTTCTTCGTGCATTGAGTTTGCTTACCCCCAACACGAAATGCACCTGTTGCCCTCACTACCATCTCCTCAACATCATTGAGAGAAAGCGGGGTTTCTGTTTTCATCTTCTACAGCACTCTGTTCTTTTGGGCCTCGTTTGAGCCTGCTTCGAGCTTGCAAAACCCATTACGGCGCATGCAACCGCCCGAGCAAACGCACGCGACCAGGAGCCTCCAGTTCCAGTCGTAGACATTCCCCAACATTCTCTTCTCTTTCTCCTTCTTCTTCTCTTCTTCTCACCATCCCGTCTCTCATCTTCTCCGCGCGTCCGAACACTCCATACCTTTCTCATCCTCTCAATTTTGACATTTTCTCTCATTTTTAGGGACGCCGACTGTCAGATTTGGTGTTGGCAGCATGGCGCTCCCGCCAAACGCTAGGGGTATCGACCCTGCGATATCTCTGTTCAACCATCTCGTACTGCCAGGACAGCTTCCCGGATCTTTGGATCCTAACTTGCCCGAACTAGAGACTGAGCTTGCGGACCGTATCCTACAAGTCTCGTGTTTCATGCGAGTTAACGCGGGCGACAAGTCATCTCGGTTGTGGGAAGCCATTGGCCGTTCAATCACCAGCAGCAGGACGATTAACTCAAATGGCCGTATTGAGAGCGCAATTCTCGAAGAGGCCATGGCGAAAATGGAGCCGTCTGACTTCCTCCTCCTTCACATTCCGCGCCAGAATGCCGCTGTGTATATCTATTTTCCTTCGGAGTGAGTTATTCCAATGTGTTCTTGTTTGGTTGCATGGTTCAATGCCGTTTGCTATGGCTGCTGACATTCAATTTTATTTTCAGCTCGGAACTGGTTGGAAATGTGGTTTTCGAAGCATTCGAAGCCTCGCCACGCAACAAGGACGTGCAGGCTAGCCTAAGTGCTCTAAAATGGGAGTTTCCCGGATCTGCCGTTGCAGTCCCCATCTCGACGCTCGAAGATGAGTCGTTCAGGAAGAACCTATCGTCATTTCTCGATAACGCCTCTGTGGAGATCCCCTTAGAGTTCTCGGCGCACGCATCGAAGGCTGGCTCTCGAACCCATGAGTACCGAGATTCAGACGACCCATCCATCATCACGTCCCTACTAATGACCATTCTCGAGGGAAATGGTCGGAGGATCTCGACCAAGAAATTGTGGAAGAGGGTACGTGATGAAGTCTGTTGGGATAAAGGACCCAAGCCCTGGCGCCGCATGCCGTACTGGCTTGTTCTTCGCGTTGCATTGCAACGCTATCTCTGCCATCATCTTGGAGATGAGATCGGTCGAGTGGAGTATAAGTTCGCAGTCTGCTTATTGCTGTCCGAATTCGCGCATTCTGTCGAAGCATTCTCGGATAGCCTTGATAGAATCGCTCTCCTCCGAACCAAGCTCTGCCGGAGACTGGCGAAACTTGATATTGATAGGGCACGAAGTCAATGCCCTTCTGTTTCGGCGCATTGTGAGCTATTGTTCGGTACCGTCGGACCACGAATTGACAAAGATATCGCCTCTATCAACACCTTCATCGGAGACACCTGGTCTGGGTTCTTAGCGGATACTAGAACTCGCCTCCCTCTGCTTCAGAAGCATGCGACCCCTGGAGAGCTCAAAATGAGTCTTGATAGGAGTCGCGCTAGTTTGACGCAGATGATCGAAAACCACCGCGCTCGCACCTTAGAGCAGAATGGCAAAGACTCTGACGACCCAGTCCAAAGTCTCTCAGTGTCTCGTTCCGTCGTTGGAAATGAGTTCGCAAGAAAGCACTTGGATCTCTCAAAATTAGAAGTGCAAATTCAAGACTTGCTGGCCAACCTTGACGCCGACCATGAGACCACTTGTCGGGCAATTTCCCGGATGACCAGTCTTTACATCGAGTCTTCTCTTCCTTTATACCAAGGTAACGCCGAATTGCTCTCAGTCATGGTCCTCAACGTCATGGACCTCTGGGTCGAACTTGACAAAACTGCTTGCCTTCTCTATCCTCTCTTAAATGAGTATCACCCCATCTTCACCGCGCCAATGTTTGACGGCTTGCTTCTTCCGCGGCTGTTGGATATGATTCGTCTTCAAAAGATCCAATTGTACCTTAGACAGAGGGTCGACGCCAGTAGCCAACATCGTCACACAATCCTAGATCACCCTCGACCAGGCTGTTTTGCCGAAAGGTTTGTCGCAGACGAGCCTTTGAAGAGTTCATATGTTGGCCTTTATCAGAGCATCGAGGAATATGCCGCCGGCCGACTTGAAGAAAAAAGACGCGAATGGGAGCGTAAAACCCACGAGTATCAAGAAATGATACGGATAATAAACACCACGTCCTGCACCATCCAGTTCTTGGACAGCGCGGACTCGCGGTGGCCCAAGCCCATCCATCGCCCTTCGGAGTGCTTGCGATGTATCACAAAAGAAAAGGCCGAGGGGATACGCATTGAACTATACGAACACCCGTTGCCCTCTGACCCTTCGTTCGCAAAGGCCGTAGTTTTCGAACTTCTCCTCCCACGCTCATTTTCTTTATATCGCGATACGACATGGTTGATTATACACCGCTTGGGTACCACAGGGTCCTTAGAAACGAAGTTACCAAAGTGCACCCTTCTGGATTACGGCCCTCTGAAGAGATTCCTGAGCCAGGATACGATCCCCTCAAAGGTGACTCTTGCATCGACGTCAAAACCCTGTATGTGATGCTCTAATATATCAAATCTCTATATCCCATATTTCTCTTGCTCGGAAGCTAACACTCTCTCCAGTTTTGAGAACGCATTACAGACACGCAAAGTTTCCTATCGAATGGGACAAAATCTGCAAGCCCAATGGCTTGACAATGGGATATTGCGATGTGACTTCGTCCACGTGGATGGGGAGGCACCGGATCGAGCCATCCTTTCACCAACATTTCAGGGTTTCTTTCCCCGAGAAGTTTCCCTGCGCACAGCTTTTACAGGCATCCCTCAGCCCTGGCGGATCCCGATCATCCTACGAGATTATGGCAAGTCAGTCGAGATGTCCGGTGGGTCTCAACATGAATGAATTTCTAGCTCTCCAAAGCATATCCTCAGGCGAGTCCCGACGATGGATGTCTATCTTAGTCGAGTTAGGTTCTACGAATTTGAACTTCTCGAGTGAGGCCACCGCCAGCCTTGTCACTTACTTGGCTGTCCAGGCTGGACCTGCTCATGGGACAGATGAGCCCTACCGCGCTCTCCACGGTATCTTTCGAGACGAAACCTTCGGAGAAGCCCTTGCGAATCAGCTATCCTCTAGGTTGGATACTATGGTTTCCAACTGGAGAGAGGTTTATCTGATGGAGTTGGTTATTTCCTTGGCCCTTCGACTGTTTGAGCTCGCTGTTTCACGCGAGAAAGCTGCCCAACTCATCCTAAGAGCGAGGTCTATCTGCCTCAAATGGGTACGAATACTTCGAGGGGAAACATTCCGCTCGAAGACAATTGAGGCAGCTCAAAGGCTCCAACGATACACCCTCCGGGCAGCCCTTCTGTGCCGCCGTACCTTTGAAATTTGCCGTGGCTGTTCCATAATCAATGTGGACGACCTTGCCGCGTACATTGAGGCTAGCATTTCGGTAAACGACAACCTAACAAGCGAACTCGACGGGCTACCGGAGCCGCTCCAGTATGCGATTGCCAGAGATTTAAAATTGGCGTTTGACCTTGATCACTCGGTCATTACTTCCATGCTATCTCAGCCCAATGGCCTCCTGCTCGCTCTTTCTGAGATTTGGCCTGATGCCGGAGATGATGAGAGACGTATCGGAGGACCCATCACCCCATTTTCCGGGTCTTGGATCACTTGTAGTACCCCTCCTACAAGCGAACGAATTGGCCAAAGAATCAAGTATAATCACATCCAAGGTATATTACTCATTGATGACCATCCCATAAGTGTAAGTTCTATGCCGAGCTTGATATGTGTCGTTTCTCTACTAGAAACGGTTTTCCAAAACACAACTCCTTTACCGCGAAGAAATTGCAACTAATTATTTACAAGAAACTACCTGAAACTCTGGCGTACAATGCGATCCTTAAGCTGCTATTCGGAGACCAACCTCTACTCACGGCACCGTCGTGGTATAAAGGGATGAAATACGGTAGGTCTCTCCAAAACCCACACACGCGTTTTGGCCATCTTCTTGATTCCCTTTCTACACCTAGGTTGTGTAATTATGCTAACACTATATAGTGCTATGTATCACGCCCAACAGATTTCGTATCCATATCGGCTGGGAGGGTGATGAGCTTGTAGTCCTGGCTGTTGGAAGCAGCATGTCACTCCGGTTTGTGCCGGGCAAGATACTTGCGGGCGACCTCCCACAGCCCCTGATTGATGGGCATGTCCACTGGCTGTAAGACATCGTAAACCCGTCTATGATATTGTGGTTAAAGTGGTAATGGTAACTAACACTACCTCTTTTTTTTCCTTCTTTTTTTCCTCCGAATAGAGATATCCACAGAAGACTGGTCTACATAACAAAGGTAGAGCGCAAGTGGTATCCGAAGCCCAAAGACGGTTGGGTATTGGATCTCAAAGACAGCGTCTGCAGAAGACGAAGCTCAAGGCTGCTTGACCCTCGTGGATTTCTCTTTCGTCAGGTCATGAGAATTCTCTCCCCTCTTGAAGACCCGAGATACATATACCTACAGCAGCCTGAAAATGGCAACGTGGAGGCCTTCTTGACACGGCACCATATGAAAATCTGCGTGGGCCGAAGCTATTACCTCTACTTTCCTCAGTTGAAAAGTGAGGTTGATCCGAATCAAGATGCCGGGACATGGTACGGCCTCACAAGTAAGCTCGTCTTACGTGATGTTCGAGATCATTCGAAGAGGTCCGTTCTTGTCCCCTTTGGGGAAATGAGGCAGAAGCGACACAAGGGCCATGTCCTCATTGAAATTGCCTCGATGGGCGAATTCGGGAGATATTTTATCAATCGAACTCTCGGCAGGATGGATTGTGCTGCGGAACCTCGACTCATATACACGAAAGCTCTTCTCCATGCCGCCACCTCCTTCATCCTCCCCGATCCTTTAACCAATCATACAGGTACAGAGGAGGCACTACGTTGGCTCGAGGCAGGAATATGTCAACCCTGGGCACCTTTATCGCAGAACCTGGCACGCATTCTTAAGAAAATTGCGGATCTCTCTCCACAGAGGACATACTACCCTGCTCATCTGGCTGAGATGAAGGTGGATTCATGGAACCCTGCCTTGACTCCAACAATCCAGCATGAGGCTCTACGACCGCTCGCCCTCGCGATTTTGCAACGCTCAAGAAACTTACAAACGCTTTCATCTGTGGCACCCAACGAATTGGCCCAGGAAGAACCATTACTTCAGTCACACCATTCCCACCTGGATAGTCGAGCATTGCGCAGACGACTGGTATACGAACGTCCCTTAGGAATCGAAACGCTAGAGAAACAAAGCTCAGTCCTTGATCGCGCTTATGAGACTCGCCATCGGATTCTTGACAAGTGTGTCAGGCGTCGGAATACTCAAGAAATCGTTCATCTCATCCGTAACCGACCCTCCAAAATCAAGACCCCGCAGGATCTCGCGGACTACTTGTCAAAATCGGATACAATTGGCGGCCGTAACTCTTCTATTGAAGATATGGCACTCAGTGATCGGCTTGGAATCGATCTAAGGAAACACTGGGGGTCCCTGGTAGATCTTGCAAGGGAATCCACTAATCCGTTCACACTCATGTTCAAGCTTGCCCCAATGGCGTACAACAGAGAGGCCGACATGGAACTGGCGAGAACGGTGGCGGCATTCGCAATATTTGACGAGCTGAAAAGGATCGAAGCTCCAGACTGGCCTGAGTATCATAACTTCAAACCAGGGAAAGAACCTGATCTCAACTATCTTCTAGAAATGGTTCAGCCATATCGCCAGCCCCTCCCTACCACCGATGTTGACGTACTCGAGAACCTCGCCAGTGGAAAGCAGCGCCGAAAAGCTCAGAAGGAGGCCGATGCTCATCGAAGAAGAGTTGATGAAGACTGTAAGAAGTTTGTGACACTTCTGATGGAGCAGTGGCCTTGCTTACAACCAAGGATCCCCAATCCTGACAAGGATCTACTCCTAGACGTTGAGCAAGCTTACCGGGCCATTTCGCTGGAATGGATATCTCTCTACCAAAACAGAGATTTTTCGAACTACCTGGTGGAAGTTCAGGCCGTACTAAACCAGCGAAGAGCGGAGGATGTGTTCGAACCCGAACAGTTCATCCCCGTCGATGAGTATATAAGGGAACGCACAAGAGGCGGCGAGGTCCTGTCACTTATTGATCTACTCCGAAAGCCTTTTAAGCCTCCTATGTCGCCGAAAGAACTAGCTCCGAGCGGTACCACACCTCTAACATGGCAACAAGTCCTCGGAAAGCACAACCGCACTTCTCCACACACCCGGCGGCACATTCCTTCACCGCAAAAGAGGTACTTCACGCCTTCGGCATCTAGAGCTGGAGTTATGCCGAAACCCAACTATGAGTCCCTCAATGAACTCCAGACCATTGCTACTCGCCTCTGTGCATCCGGGTCGAGGGTTCGTCAACGATATGGCGAAGATTTAGCGCAAAGTATTCGGGGTTTCCGCTACCGAGTACATGAAAACTCGAACCATGGAGGGCGGTCAGTTCAAACCAATGGCGGTGCTGGCGACCCATTTTCCGAAGTAGATACACAGTTTCGCTCCATTCAGACATCATTCGAAACCCCAGATGCCTCACTTACTTCGCCCCAAATTCGGTGGCTCAAGGCAGGACACCTCTGGCCTGCTATAACCCAATGCACTCTCCTGGGATACCTAAGATCGGAAGAATCAATGAAACTTCTGCATCAGACAATGAAATCTGCCTTAGTTGGCTATGGTATCTTGATTACCAAGTGCCAACGGGAGCTCCGTATCCACAGTTACTTGGGCTATAACAGCCACCGAGCGAGTGAGGAAGAGGCCAATATCGGCCATACTAACTGGAGCCCCGAACAGCATCCGTACTGGTTACTCTTGGAGATCGAGGCCGATGTTCTCATTCGACCGGACCAAGTCGATGTCGCCTTGGCTACAATTAACCCCGCTTCAGGAGAAAACTCCGTTTTGCAGATGAACATGGGACAGGGTGCGTATCAAGTGGATATGTCCGAGCAGAGAGAGACCAGATACACTAACTCCATTCCTAAAGGGAAAACTTCGTGCATTATTCCCATGGTTTCGGCGGCCCTTGCTGACAAGCGTAACCTCGTCCGAATCATTGTTCCGAAGCCTCTACTCCAACAGACGGCTCAGATCTTGCAATCACGACTTGGAATCTTCCTTAACAAACGGCTGGGTTATGTACCTTTTTCAAGGAAAACTCAAACAGATCGGGATACCATAACTGCCTTCTTCAAGTTCCACAAAGACATCCAAGAGAGCAGGGGTGTCATGATCTGTCTACCCGAGCATAACCTATCCTTCATGCTGAGTGGGCTCCAGAGACTCTTAGATGGAAAATTGGCGGACGCAGAACGTATGATTAAGATCCACCGATGGTTCGGAACCGTCTGTCGCGATGTGCTGGACGAGTCCGATTATACCCTAGCGGTCAGGACCCAGCTTATCTACCCGTCCGGCACACAAATGACGGTGGATGGTCACCCTCACAGGTGGAAAATCGTCCAAGCCCTGCTTCGCCTAGTCGACTTGAATCTTCACGACCTAGCGAGAGAGTATCCTCACTCCATCGAAGTGTACCGCGGCCACCAGCGAGGGTTCCCATTCCTGTATTTTCTTCGCCGCGATGTGGAGGATGAATTAATCAATCGACTTATCGCCGATGTCCTCAAAAGAGGCAGTGCGCTGCTTCCCATGGACGACCTTGCGACAACGGAACGTCATGCTGTCGAAGAATTTCTGAGATGTACCAATGTCAAAAAGGCAAGTGTCAAGGTAGTCCGTGGACTCTTCCGGGACAAACCAAGCGTCCGCCACGCCATTTACCTCCTACGCGGTCTCTTGATCGGACGCATCTTGATCATGACGCTCAAGAAACGGTGGAACGTACAATATGGATTGCACCCTAGCCGGGATCCCATTGCCGTGCCGTTTTATGCCAAGGGCGTGCCGAGCGATCAGTCAGAATGGGGCCACCCCGACGTCGCCATTCTGTTCACCTCCTTGTCGTTTTACTATGGCGGACTCTCAATGCCACAGTTGAAGCAGGCTCTAGAGCAGGTTCTCAATTCCGACGATCCGTCAATCGAGTATGAGAAGTGGATCAACGGATGCGAGAACTACCCTGGCTCCTTGAAGAGCTGGAACTCGATTAACGTGGAGGACGAGGTTCAGCTGCATCAAGTCTGGAATGCACTACGGTACAAGACTGCGGTGATCGATTACTTTATGAATACTTTCGTTTTCCCGCGGCATGCAAAGCAGTTCAAGGTGAAATTGCAATCCAATGGTTGGGATATCCCCGTCTTTCCACCTCCTTCGGGACAGCATGAGAATTCGAGTACAAGGTCCAAGGCGAAGGCGTTGAGCACCGGATTTAGTGGTACTAATGACAACCGAAATATGCTTCCTCTCAACATCAAGCAGGAGGACCTTGCTCGTCTGTCTCACACAAACGCCGAAGTGATGACATATCTGCTGCAGCCAAGATCCCGGGAGTGCGTTATGGCCTGTGATGCCGACGGAAGGCGGCTGACGGAAACCGAAATCTTGGAGCTGATGTCTAATCTGAAAATAAGAGTGTTGATCGATGCTGGCGCCCAAATCCTAGAGATGGACAACAAGACGCTCGCTCAGAAGTGGCTGGAGATCGATACCTCTGCCGACGGCGCTCTCTACTTTGACAACGACCGGCCCCTTGTCATAACCCGGTCCGGAGCAGTAACCCCACTGCTTGCCTCGAATTTTGCAGATGACATGGCCAAATGTCTAGTATACCTTGACGAGGTAAGCGTGGCAGGTGGATGAACGGCTTTGATCATGATTCTCAACAGGGGCTGACTTACTTTTGTTTTCCAGGCCCATACAAGAGGAACAGACCTAAAGCTTCCGCCAACCGCCTGCGGTGCCTTGACTTTGGGACTCGGCCAAACCAAGGATCATACGGTACAAGGTAAGTAATGACCGCTTTATACTCATACGGCCTGCATCATGGTGATAGGTTTCAAGTTGTTCTAACGAGCGACAAATAGCGGCGATGCGACTTCGGCAGCTAGCGACGACTCAATCCATCAAGTTCTTTATTCCCCCAGACGTATACCAAAGTATCGCCGACTTGAGGGGAAAGTCAGTCAATATAGACTCCCTAGACGTGTAAGTATTCCTTTTTCCTTCCTATTCATCGAGATAGCGTCTGTCATCCGTTCTATTGCGCATTTGCTAACAAGCCACCAGACTTGTTTGGCTCATCCACAACACATGTGACGGCATAGAACAGCTCCAACCGCTTTACTACTCCCAAGGACAAGCATTCTGCACCCGGATGCAGGCATCTCTGGACAACCCCGATTTCCTCAGCAATGGAGAACAGAGGGCCAAGTTCATTTCGGCAATACGACAGGATGAGCTTCAGACCTTACAGCAATTGTACGAGCCAAAGCAGCGTCCGAAGATAACACAAGGCACACAAGCTCGCGACTGCAGACTCAAGGGGTTCGTCGAAGAGCTAGAAGCCCGACGGGCTGCGTTTCAGGACACTGGTCAGGCTGTGCACTCGTCTGCACTCCAGGAGGTCGAGCAAGAACGCGAGGTGGCATTCGAAGTCGAAGCAGTTCGACAGCTGAAGAAACCGATCAACTATCCGGCATTGTCATTCAGAGGCTTGAGTGAAGAACTCAAGAAATTTGTGGAAACCGGACGGTTACCGGCAGCTCCGAGCAGTGTGATGGGCATGCTCGACGCCATCTCGAAGACTCACTTGGGAGCTAAATTCCAGGTAATTCAGCCCGGCCGTCCATCAAAATTGTTCGTCTCTATGGAATACAATCGAACAGTCCAAGGACAAGCTAGTTTGGCGATTGATAACTTCCTGGTACGTATACTTCCATTCCGGTGGTAGAACGCAGAATGTGACTGACATGTCTGCGATAAAAACAGCGGCCCGTTAACTGGGTTCTATGGGGTGTGGAGTCCAAGGTGGCCGTGATCATAATCCCCGAAGAAGCCGAAGCCATTATCCCTCTCTTGAGAAAACTGGAAAGATCGCGCCGACCTCCTCCAACGCACTTGCTCACCTATTCTGCACCGGTGACGCGGAAGATGATCGAGTTTGATACCATGAAATTCTTCGCCATTCCACCCATGCCTCTAGAGTGGGAGGGACCGCATTGGTTGAAGACTCAACTGGGAATCTTTTCTGGCAGGCTTTATTTCGAGTGGAGCGAGTTTGGGCACATCTGCGAGTTCTTAGGCATCGTTCACAACGCCGAAGAACAAGTCGGGTCTAGCGGGCAAGCAGCGGATTCCAACGACTGCAGTGCGGATCCGGTGATCAACAAGGAGAATAGGAGGTTTACAAAGCGGCCGCTCACTTTCTTGCAGGAGTGGTTGGCGCTACGACGTCGCGGTCAGGACTTCATACATACGCCCATGGGCTTTGTCACACAGGGGAAGTCGCTGTATGAGGACCACGCGTTCTTCAAGCACTATGAGCCTCCGAAGGAAGAGGATTTCGAGTTTCCACTCGCAGGGGACCAGGAGGGTGGCTCGGAGGATGACAGCGATGATGTGATTTCGGACGATGGATATATACAGGGCGAGGAGGTAGGGGTCGTTCCCGATCATCTGCCCACAGGTGCCTACGATGGAGTTGAGGGGAGAAGTTAGGTAGGGGCAAAGGTTGATTGTGTTGTACTATAATGCCATGCATGTTCTATTGGTAAATTTAAGGGATCTATTGAGTGTCCCCCCATTTCACTGCTCGCTGCGTACACATATTGTTCAAGTCTCACAGTCTGAGCCTCTTGTCTCCACCGACTTAAACGAGATTCATAATCAAATGGCTCACCGCGGCCATTAAACCCTCGGATTCTGCCTACTTCCTCTTGGCCAATGCAAGGAACATGTTCGTGTTCACTCCGCCAGGCCGCTTGACGACATCTTCGGGGATATGCGACTTCTCGCCAACGACGATGTAGTACGCCGTGCTGATGTCACATCCCGCTGCCTCCAGCATGTCAAGGACCTTTCCGGAAGATAGCACCTCCGTGTTGATGGTTGCGTGCGCCTCGGGTTTTTCTTCATGCTCGTGGCCATGGTGATGGTGATGGTGGTCTCCGCGATGGTGGTGGTGACCGTCGCCGTGGTGGTGGTGGCTATGACCCTTGGGCGGCCAAGCCCCGTTTGGAACCCAGTCCGTAATGGCGATGGTTCCGCCGGGTCGCAGGCGACTAACAATGGCACGAAGCGTCTCTCCTGCATCTTCGAAGTGGTGAAGAGCCATGCAGGTGACGGCAAGATCGAACCCGGACCAATCCGGACCCTGGAGGGCCTCGGATGGTGATAGGATGTTTCCTTCAACGGCGGACATGGTAGAAGGTGGGAGGTTAGCCTCCTTGGCGCGCTCGTTGTACTTGGTCACCATTCCAGGGGCGATGTCGATGCCACGGATGGTATCGACATAGGGGGCTAGGGACTAAAGATATCATGGTGTAAGTCAAACACGGATTCCATTGAGGGGTTGGGACGAGGTACTTAACCCATGAGGCGAGACCGTTTCCGCATGCGTAGTCTAGCATCTTTACGGGGGATTCTCTAGGCGTGTCCTTGCTGAGGCCGAGTTGGGTGGCGTGCTCGCGGAGGATGCGGGTGGTGAGGTTGGCGATGGGTTTGATCCATTCTTGGGCGAAGGCCTGGTCGGCTTTTTCGCTGCGATTGAGTTAGACGTGCGTTTTCTCTATATGTCGAATTATGAAGAATTGGGATGAGATTAATTGTTTCCGGAAAGGGATTGACGGGAAATCCATACTCCCAGTAGGCCTTGTTGATGTCGGACAGGGACTTGGTAGCTTGCTCGGCCATGGTGGATGGTGGGTGCGGCTCTATCAACTAGGGATCAATGGCAATATTTGGGTAATTGTAATAATTTAGTATTTGTAGATGGATTAATTCTTCGTGATTGATGGTTTAGGAACGATTAGAGTCTCCTTCAGACACGAACGAGGCATTCCTGCTCTTTTATACATGGTCCAGAAACATCTGATGTTGTGGGAGACTTTTGGGCTGCTCGGCCACTTTCACGGAGACTTTGCCATTTCGATTGATTCCATCTACAATTAAGAACCCATCCAGATCGATTCTCTTTTTCAAGACTTACGTGCTACCATGGTCATCAGGGTGTGTCTAGATAGTAATATTGTTAATCCTGTTGTTCTGTGCAAATGCTAAAATGCTTTGGTATATGCAAGCATCAATGATATATACATCTATAGTTTTCTTGTATAGGATAATGCCGCCTCCGTAAAGTGTTTTGGATGGATCCATCGATCCATCGCCAAGTCTATAGATTGCGCTGTTTCCGACCTTGACCAAGTTCATACATCATCCATTCATAAACTGCCCACTGTACAGCATTGACCATAAAAGCTCGGACACTGCAGATCGTGAGCCCTCGAAAGAAGACATTCATCCCACCTTCCCGATATGCGAGTTTCGCGGCATGAATGGCGCCGTACCGTTGTGGCTTCTTCTGCTGGAGGGCGCCATCTTGTGATTCTATATTTGAGGATGTCGCCGATAGCAAAGGAGCCCTCTCCGAGCTCCGAGCTGCTACAAGCGGCTGAGTCTGGACCCGTGTTTTTATGACGTCGAGAGGGAAGATGCTGGCCCACGTGGCGATGCCGGCTAATCCGCCGCACAGCAGCACCTTGGTAGCCTCCTTCGCAAGCGTCGATTCGCCCTTGTCAAGTCCGGAAAAGGTCTCGGTGCACAACTCGTAGGTCCAGAAGTAGAACCCGTAGCCTATACTGTCCCTCAATGCGGTAACAACGCCGCCAAGATAGAGGCCTCTGAGACCCTCGGTCCTCCAGGTCTGTTTGGCGATGGCCCAGCTTGATACGCGCGGGGTCGCCGTCTGGGCGCGGCATTTGATCAGCTCGGTCGGGGTGCTGACGACCCAGGTCGCCAAGCCTCCGACGGCGCCAGCGATCCACGCTGACCAGAGACTCTTCTTCGTCCCGAAGGCTTTGTTCAGGGCAGCTTCTGAGCGGTTGTAGGAGACAAATAGGAGAGCATTTAGCGCCCCGTATCCCAGGATTGGCGCGGCGGTGCCGGAGACGAGCGACGAGGTGCTCTGGAATTGGCTTGCGTAGGACGAGGCACTCTGGACGGCGATGACGTCCTTGGCCTGCAACCGGACTTTAATGAGGTCCAAGGGGTTGCCGATGATGATCCCTACGGCCCCACTGACGTAGCCGGACCAGAAGTCGGCCGACATTTCCGCGGTCCGTAGTGGGATCGCCCACGCTTACCTAGTCCAGTGCGCCCCTCCAAGTTTCCCTCCTTCCAACAGCAGCAAAGAAGGATTCCCGAACGAACGGGAGGCTCGTCCGCGGAAAACCGTCGCCCTCTTTCTTCCCCCCTCTTTCTTTTTCTTTTATTATTTTCTTGCGAGGAATTGCGCGCCTTTTTTTCTTTTCTTTTGTTTTTATAGAGCGCGAAGCCTCTTGCGCTCAGCGTAGGTTAGAGCAGACAGGACGCCGAGGTAGACACACCCCCAAGCGGCACCATAGAAGCGGAAGATGCTCTTGTGGCCGAGGACAGAAGGGTCGAGGCGTCGAAAGTGCGTTAGGTAGCGCCAGTGGGCGAAGTGACCCAGGACGGTGCCGCCGACGATGGAAGAGCGATACTCTGCGAGGAGGAGTTGCAATTGAGGGGTCGTGGGCGCCGCAGAGAGGGCAACCGAGGGGACGGCAGAAGTCGGGACTGACATTGCGAGTTCCGGAGGGATTGGAGAAAATGTCGCAGAAATTTTTGGAGGGGATTTTCCTTGTGATTTTGATTTTTGATTTCTTTCTGTCTTGTTTGAGTAAAGCGCCAAGTCTTGATGTGGGTGTAGTGCAGTGATGTGCAGTTCCTGGATGTGGGCGGAAACTGGAATGCGAATGGGATTCTCTTCACTGAATTCTCAAGAGAGGACAAGCCGGGAAATATAGGCAGATGGAATATGGGAATAATAAATAAATGGATCAATGGGAAAAGAAGGAGGGAATTAGGAATGAGGAGAAGAGATTTCCTGGAGCGAGGCGAAGAAGAAATAAATATCCGGGCTGCCGCTGCCAAGTTTTCAGTTTTCACGAGCCGCTTGTAAGTCGAGGACTGCCGCGGATTTAGTTTTACATCGCAGAGTCTAATAGCCGGGCTGAACGAAGCACGAAATAGCTGTAACTGTAACGCTCCACGGTCCACGCGGTCCACGCAGCACGTTCCTTCCAATGGATGGATACGAAGCGATATCAAATCAAATTCAAATGCTTTAGATGAATCCAGTGGAAGGACCGGGATTTCCTACATTGCGGAGCATTATCGGAGTGTTGACGCCACCGCTCCCTCCCTTTCCGGAAAAGGTGGAAGTTCGTTTTGAGTTTGCAATTGGTCCCTTTTGGATTTTTCTTTTTTTCCTCTCTTTTCTTTTTTTTTTTTTTTCTTTTGCCCCGGCATTCGTCGATCGCCGGTTCGGATTTGGCTTGAGAAGCTTCTTGTCCTAATTGGAGTGACGCTAGGAGATCCAAGCCAGATCTAATGTAACGGTGCTTAGTCACCGCCAGGGACATTGGCGTTGAGTCGTTGATGAAGTACACAGGTACGAAGCACATCGCACATCCTCGATGACCCCGGCTTGGGCCCTCGATGGATATGCATCAATTGATCTCAACAATTGAACCTTGGCCTGGCTCTGAGATTATGGATGTTAACAATGCGCATCTCCCCCTCGCTTCAAAGTACAAGAGAAACTTTGTCCTGATAGCAGCGATTATTATATGCTCGCCCTGACTGAAACGTATACATCCCATCCTGATTCATGGTGATGGAGTGCGGCCAATTCCGATTGCTTGAGGCCGTGCTGTATCAATCTGCAAGACAGTGTAAAGGTCGCATTCCAGGTCTCCTTTGGATCCTTGCAGGTCACGACAGGGAAAGGTGAACAGAAAATAATCGAGGTTTGCCTCACTAGATTTCAAACAATATCTCATCAGTTCGCCAGCGCATTGATGATAGTGCACAAAGTAAACGGATTAACATCACCCACAGGGTATTTCAATATCAGTTGGTTCGTCTTCTCCCTCTTCACAAATACGCAAGTGCCATGACGGCGTCTCGGACAGCAGTGCGGCGATTCTCCAGTCTAAAACCAACAGCCTTCCTCCCGTCGCCTTCAGCCTCATGTTTCGGGTGCCGAATGCGGATGGCTTCGTCATGGTCGCTCAGCGGCCTTACCGCCAAGCTGGGGCTGTTTTCGACGGCGCGTCCACGATCTGAACCGCGAACCTTTCCCTCTCAAGGATTTGATCTCATCGACAAAGACCGCCCCATGGAGGAAGAGGGACTGCCGGGATACAAGTCCGGACATTTCTATCCAGTTCGCTTGGGCGAAGTGTTTAACAACCGGTTTTCAAATTGTAACCAAACTGGGCTACGGCTCTTCATCTACAATATGGCTTGCGCGTGACCTCGAGTGAGTACGATGCTAATGTTGAGGGTCGTGATGATGATGATTAGTTGACCCTCCAAATGTAGAAATCACCAGTATGCAGCCCTCAAAATCCACGTACATAATTCCCTCCACCACCGTGAGTTGCCTTTTTATGAGCACTTGAACAAAGTCCTGCCTAGCAGACATGTGGGCGCTGGTAAGATCAGGAGGCTCCTGGACTCTTTTGAAGTCGTCGGTCCTCATGGAAAACATATTGCGCTCGCTCTCCAAGCTTCGCAAATGAGCCTCGGTGATCTGAATGCCGTGTTCATGGATGGACGTGGCTTTGATGAGGATTTCGTCAAGGCTGCTATCAAGGAGCTCCTAGAGGCCGTCGAGTTCCTTCATACAAAGGTACAAGCGGTGCATACTGGTAAGTAACACTTCTCCCTCTCACTCTTCTTTCTTGTAAATACATCCTCGTAGACTATAGATTGTGTTGTCAAGACTGATCGGTGGGGACCAAAATAATCAGATATACATCCGGGAAACCTCCTCCTTGGCTTAGACGATAACTCTCTTTTCAAAACAATGGAAGACACCGAGCTTTCCAGTCCCGTTCCCCGCAAAGAACTCTCAGACCGAACTATATACTTCTCTCGTCTCATGAAGCCGAAATTCGGCCCACTCCTTCTCTCCGACTTTGGAGAGGTGAGAGTGGGACCTGGTCCTCATGCTGGAGACATCATGCCGATCCAGTACAGAGCCCCCGAATGCCTCCTATGGATCCAATGGAGTTACCCTGTCGATATTTGGAGTGTCGGACTCACTGTAAGTCGAACACCGCTTACAATTGTAGCGCTTCATTGTGTTCCTCCCAGTTGACATGCTCACAATCGCTAGGCGTGGGATCTCCTCGAAGATAAGACGCTGTTTAGCGCCTGCAAAGAAGATGGGAGCCTTTCAGATGGGGCTCACTTCGCTGAACTCATCGCTGCCCTGGGCCCACCACCTCCTGAGCTCCTGAACCGGCATCACAAGAGAGCGCTGGAGTACTGGGATAAAAACGGTATGCCTGTCGATGAATTACCTATTTATTCCCCTTCATCCTTACCTTGGGAAATGACTAACACTTGTTTCCCTTCTTAGGTAACTGGGGAGGGTTTGTTCCTATTCCAGCAGAAAGGACCTTGAAGATGGCCGAGACGAAGCTGAAGGACAACGCCATATTTCTTCAGTTCATGCGGAGGGCCCTCGCTTGGGATCCGAGCAAGCGCCCCACTGCGAAGGAACTGTTGCAGGACCCGTGGCTGGTGAGCTAAACTCAATATATGGAATTGTCTGAAGCACATGGATCTGAAGCACATGGGCATGGACGTTTACGCATCATGTACAATATTGTAACAACGGATACTCGGTTAAATCGCATGGAATGTCTCTTCACAATGTCGTCTTCACCACTAATGGATCACGTGATACCGCGATCTTGGTGGGGTGGGATCAAGGGCCTGGAGAGAATTTGACCAATCAGACGGCATAAGTGGGGTCTCCCTCTCTCCTGAAGGTAATTCAGCAACGCGTTCTTGGTGTTTTGTTTGTCGTGCCTGCCTGGAGGTCATCACCATTTGCTGAGAGACTGTGTATGTTATGAGGCGATTAACCTAGCCACCTTAGTTTGTTCCCCAACCTATATGACACCTCCCTCTCAGCAACAGCTCCTTCGACGAGAAAGCCATTCCCTGTTTTGCTTCGTCAAGACTCCCTTCGCCAAGACTCCCTTCGCCATCAATTGTTATCACTCGATAATATGATCGTGTTTTCTACATGAATAACAATGTAGGTTCCTGTTAACGCGTCGCAGCACTGTCAAGGCACCCTCGAAACTTGTCTCGCACTCTCTTGCATCTCGCTAACAAAGATGAATCGGTGGGATTCAGGAACCAATCTACAGCATCCACCCCGAATAGGGAATCCCGGCCCGCGGGGAAATGGCCTTCCCAACAATCGCTCGACCGTCTTCATAAGCCATTCAAATGCCCTGGGTCTGCAACTCGGACGTCGACTTCGAATCGCCCAGCCCGCAAGAAGAGAAAAGTTGATTATTCCGGAGCTGACGGTGATACTTCCAACGACCAGTCCTGGACCAGCATCGAACGACTAGCACTCGCCAATCGAGATCCGAACAAGTTCCCAGTATTTCAGGTCAAGGATAAAGACACCATCTTCAGGAAGCGGTTTTCTGTGCCTTTGATCAACAAGCAGGTTGGGGGCTACAATGCGAACCGGCCGCCCCCTACACTGGGTCTTCGCCAGGGCGCCGTTTTTGTTCCCAGACCTTTACATGACCCCAGCGGCGAGTTCGCCATCGTCTTGTACGATCCCACCATACATGACAAGCCGAAGCCCAAACCTGCCGCAGAAGTTGAAGAAAAGAAGCAGGAAGCTGCGACGAAGCTCGATGCCCCTCTTGTCCACAAAAGCCTCGCCGAAATTCTTGGCATCAAGAAGAAGGTTGAAGGCGAGCATCCGCGGGTTCCCGTTGTTATTGACCCTAGGCTTGCAAAGGTCTTGCGACCCCATCAGATCGAGGGTGTCAAATTCATGTACAATTGCGTGACAGGAATGATTGATGAGAAAGCCAATGGTTGCATCATGGCTGACGAAATGGGTCTTGGGAAAACCCTCCAATGCATCACGCTCTTGTGGACCCTGCTGAAGCAGTCTCCCGATGCTGGAAAATCGACTATCCAGAAGGCAATCGTGGCTTGCCCCTCCAGTTTGGTGAAAAACTGGGCCAATGAGCTGGTCAAGTGGCTTGGTGAGGATGCCATTACGCCCTTCGCTATTGACGGAAAGGCGAGCAAGGAAGAGTTGACGCGCCAGCTTCGGCAATGGGCCATTTCGTCCGGACGCTCGGTCACCCGTCCGGTCATAATCGTGTCTTATGAGACGTTGCGTCTAAACGTCGAAGAGCTCAAACACACAAAAATCGGCCTCATGCTGTGCGATGAGGGCCATCGGCTGAAGAATGGTGACAGCCAAACTTTCAGTGCACTAAACAACCTTAACGTGACCCGCCGTGTCATCCTCTCGGGAACGCCGATTCAAAACGATCTATCAGAGTACTTTTCGCTGATCAGCTTTGCCAACCCAGATCTCCTTGGTTCTCGCCTCGAGTTCCGAAAGAGATTCGAGATACCCATTCTCCGGGGTCGTGACGCTGATGCATCAGAGTCCGAACGAAAAAAAGGAGACGAGTGCCTGAGCGAACTTCTGGGAATCGTCAACAAGTTCATCATTCGTAGGACAAACGACATTTTGTCCAAATATCTCCCGGTCAAGTACGAGCATGTCGTTTTCTGCAACCTGGCGCCGTTCCAGCTCGATCTGTACAATTATTTCATCACTAGCCCGGATATCCAAGCGCTCCTGCGAGGCAAGGGTAGCCAGCCTTTGAAAGCCATCAACATTTTGAAGAAGCTTTGCAACCATCCTGACTTGCTTAACCTGGCCGACGATCTTCCCGGCTCGGAGCAGTGCTACCCTGAAGACTATGTTCCGAAGGAATCGAGGGGTCGCGACCGAGACATCAAGCCATGGTACTCTGGAAAAATGCAAGTCCTCGACCGCATGCTCGCTAGAATTCGACAGGACACCAATGACAAGATCGTCCTTATCAGCAATTACACCCAGACCCTGGATCTCTTCGACCGATTATGCCGCGCGCGCGGTTACGGCAGCTTGCGCTTAGATGGTACAATGTCTGTCAACAAGCGCCAGAAACTTGTCGATAAATTCAACGACCCCGACGGCCCCGAGTTCGTGTTCCTCCTTAGCAGCAAAGCGGGTGGTTGCGGTTTGAATCTTATCGGCGCCAACAGATTGGTGCTCTTCGATCCCGACTGGAATCCAGCGGCCGACCAGCAGGCGCTAGCGCGAGTATGGAGAGACGGCCAGAAGAAGGATTGCTTTGTGTACCGCTTCATCGCTACCGGCACGATCGAGGAAAAGATCTTCCAGCGTCAGAGTCACAAGCAGAGCTTGTCCAGTTGCGTAGTTGATTCTGCCGAGGATGTCGAGCGCCACTTTTCACTCGATAGTCTGCGGGAGCTCTTCCAATACCGGCCCGGCACCGCATCCGATACGCATGACACTTTCAAGTGCAAGAGGTGTAAGCCCGATGGGAAGCAGTTCATTAAGGCTCCGGGAATGCTGTACGGAGATACCAGCACATGGAATCATTTTGTCAACAACGGTCTTGCTTCTATCCAGGATCTGCTGCTGAGACAGGAGACTGGGGAGAACGAGGTATCTGCTGTGTTCCAGTACATCTCGCACTGAGGCTACCTGGAAGATGGGGTGGAGTGGTTGGTGGAGTGGCGGGAGTTGTGGGAGTCGGTTGAAGAGAGTATTATATACCTAATGCATGTTAGATTTAGTTTACGACTATGATAGATCAATTGATATCAATGAAGACTTGTAGGAGCAAGACAGAATCCATCTTCACATCATTAAGATCGGATAATTGTTGTCATCTGTTCAATGTTGCTTCAAAACAGTCAAATTCGTGAGGCGGGGTGGGCTTAATTTTACAGCTGGCGGTCAGCTGTCGTGGCTAATACCCGGCTAAATACCCCTTTGAAGCAGTCGTCCCCGACTCGACTGCCCACATCCCACACTTCAGCGACATGCCACGCTGACCGAATTGAACCTTCCCCCTGCTGGCCTGGGACCTCTAAAAGTATAGCTGGTCTCTCTGGTCGCCTCTCCGCGTCACCACCTCGAGGACCGGTTTCCGCATCTCGCTCACACCTTTCTTCTTACCCAACTGTTCATGATACCGTCTTCTTAGCGGAGCGCTTCTTCTAGAGCCAAACCAGAACCTCCAGGTCGGCTCCAGCTATCCCGCCCTCCGCTGCCTGAAGCTCTGGTTCCCCACCACACACACCTACCACGATGTCGACTTCTGGTATGCTGACCAAGGTATAGAAAACCTCATGCGCAACCCTGTGCTCTAATACTTTGGGCTACTTTGTCTAACTAGAAGATCTGTGTAGTTCGAGTCCAAGTCGTCTAGGGCAAAGGGCATCGCCTTTCACCCGAAGCGGTATGCGCATTAACACGTCCCCCCTTTTTTGCTTTCCTTCCCGACGTCGTCGCCTCTAACTGTGATGCAGACCATGGATCCTCGTTTCCTTACACTCCTCGACTATACAACTCTGGGACTACCGCATGGGCACCTTAATTGACCGCTTTGAAGAGCACGATGGCCCTGTTCGATCCGTCGATTTCCATAACACCCAGCCTCTTTTCGTTTCTGGAGGTGATGATTATAAGATCAAGGTCTGGTCCTACCAGAGCCGGCGATGTCTCTTTACTTTGAATGGTCACTTGGACTACGTCCGTACCGTCGTGTTCCACCACGAGCTTCCGTGGATCTTGTCGGCGTCCGATGACCAAACGATCAGAATATGGAACTGGCAGAATCGATCACTGAGTATGTTTCCGTTGCGCCCTCTCCTATTCCCTTTAGAATATCCGATTAGAATAAGTATGCTAACGTTGCCGTCTGTAAAGTTTGCACCATGACTGGGCATAACCACTATGCCATGTGTGCGCAGTTCCACCCCAAGGAAGACTTGGTCGTCTCCGCTTCCCTCGATCAGTCCGTTCGAGTCTGGGATATCTCTGGACTGCGCAAAAAGCACTCGGCCCCGACTTCGATGTCCTTCGAGGAGCAAGTCTCCCGTGCGAACCAGAACCAGACCGACATGTTTGGAAATACCGACGCCGTTGTCAAGTTTGTTCTCGAAGGCCACGATAGGGGTGTGAACTGGGTTGCCTTCCATCCGACCATGCCGCTTATCGTGTCCGCCGGCGATGACAGGCTCGTAAAGCTCTGGCGCATGAGCGAAACGAAGGCTTGGGAGGTCGATACCTGCCGCGGGCACTTCCAGAATGTGTCTTCCTGTCTCTTCCACCCTCACCAAGATTTGATCATTTCCGTCGGCGAAGATAAGACTATTCGCGTTTGGGACCTGAACAAGAGGACCGCTGTTCAGTCGTTCAAGAGAGAGAATGATCGATTCTGGGTTGTCGCTGCCCATCCTGAAATCAACCTCTTCGCCGCCGGCCATGACAACGGTGTCATGGTTTTCAAGTTGGAGCGCGAACGTCCTGCCTCGGCCATCTTCCAGAACACCCTCCTGTATATCACCAAGGATAAACACGTCAAGTCTTACGACTTCAAGAAGAATGCCGAGAGCCCCACACTCCTCGTGCTCAAGAAGCTCGGAAACCCCTGGACACCGCCTCGGACCCTTTCTTATAACCCTGCCGACCAGTCTATTCTCGTTACTTCCCCAGCTGATGGAGGTTCCTACGAGCTTCTCAAGCTTCCTCGGGATGGTACGGGCGCTATCGACTCCACCGATTCGAAGCGTGGAAGCGGTAATTCCGCCATCTTTGTCGCCCGAAACCGATTTGCGGTATTGAACACCGCCGCGCAGACCATTGACATCAAGGATCTTTCGAACAATGTTACCCGCTCTTTCAAGCCTCCTCACGGCACCACCGACATCTATTTCGGCGGTACGGGAAATATTCTCATCATCACCCCCACGGCCGTCTATCTCTATGATATTCAGCAAAAGAAGACTATTGCCGAACTGACTGTTGCCGGCGTCAAATATGTGGTGTGGTCCAACGATGGCAGGATCGCGGCTCTTCTGAGCAAGCACAACATCACTATCGTTTCCAAGACCCTCGAGCAGCTTAGCACTCTGCACGAGACAATCCGGATCAAGAGCGCCACTTGGGATGATGCCGGCGTCCTGCTCTATTCCACTCTGAACCACGTCAAGTATACCCTTCTAAACGGCGATAACGGTATCGTTCGCACGCTCGATCAGACAGTCTACCTTGTCCGTGTGCAGGGCCGTAATGTCTATTGCTTGGATAGGTCCGCAAAGCCAAGAGTCCTCCACATTGATCCCACCGAGTACCGCTTCAAGCTCGCGCTCGTCAAGCGAAACTATGAAGAAATGCTTCACATCATCCGGACCTCGAGCCTTGTCGGCCAGTCCATCATTTCCTATCTCCAGAAGAAGGGCTATCCCGAGATCGCTCTTCAGTTCGTTCAGGACCCAACAACTCGGTTTGAGCTAGCGATTGAATGTGGCAATCTAGACGTCGCCGTTGAGATGGCGAAGGAGTTGGATAAGCCAAAGCTCTGGTCTAGGCTAAGTACCGAGGCCTTGGCTCACGGAGCACATCAAATTGTTGAGATGAGCTATCAGAAGCTCAAGCAGTTTGACAAATTGTCTTTCTTGTACCTCTGCACGGGTGACAACTCGAAGCTCGCCAGAATGGCGAAGATCGCCGAACACCGCGGCGATTATACCTCTCGATTCCATAATGCACTTTACCTCGGCGATGTGGAGGACCGCATTCAAATGCTCAAGGAAATCGATCTCTGTAAGTGCAAAAAGGAAAAAAAAAAAAAAATCAAATCCCCCCTTTTCCTGATAAACCTGCCCGTCATCGGGCACGCAACTAATACTTTTTTTCCCCCTCTCAGATCCCCTAGCATACGTGACTGCTAAGTCCCATGGACTTGAGGAGGAATGTGAGGCGATTCTTGAGGCCACTGGCCTCACGGAAGACCAGCTTTCCATCCCCAGCGTCGGTCAGGGCTTGACACCACCGAGACCTGTTGTCCCCACTTTCAAGAGCAACTGGCCCACAAAGGCGACCTCCCAGTCGTTCTTCGAAAAGGCTCTCCTTGGTCAAGTTGAAGGACTGTCCCTGGAGGATGAGGCCGCCGAGGGAGAGGCCATCGATGAAGATGACGAAGATGCGCACAAGCACAATGGCGCTGCAGCGGATATCGTTGATGATGAGGATGTTGCTGGTTGGGATATGGGCGATGATATTGTTCCGGAGCTGGAGAATGACTTTGTCAATGTGGAAAGCACAGAGGCCGTCGGTTCGGGAAGCAGCGAGGCGGAGCAATGGGCGCGCAACTCACCTCTGGCGGTTGATCATGTTGCTGGTGGATCGTTCGAGTCCGCGATGCAACTTCTTAACCGCCAGGTAGGCGCCGTGCACTTCGCGCCTCTGAAGCCGAGGTTCTTGGAGGTATACCAGGCCTCTAAGACATACCTCCCCGCGTCCTCTGGTCTGCCTGCTCTTGTCAACTACGTTCGCCGCACGATCGAGGAGGATGATCCTAGGCAGGTACTCCCCATCGTCCCTCGGGATTTGGAACATTTGGCCACAAACGATCTCCAGAGGGGTTACGACGCCATGAAAACCAACAAGTTGGAGGACGGTATCCGCTACTTCAAGGGCATTCTCCACGCGATATTAATCAATGCCGTCTCGAGCGAGAGCGAGGTTGAAGAGGCAAAGAAGCTTATCGCATCGGCAAGCGAGTATGCGGTGGCCATGTCAATAGAACTGGGCAGGAGGCAGTTGGGTACCCCCGATGAGGTTTCGAAGAACCCCCAACTTCTCAAGAGGAGCCTGGAGCTGTCTGCGTACTTTACGATCCCCAAGATCGAAGTCCCCCATCGCCAGCTTGTCTTGGGAAGCGCCATGCAGCAGGCGTTCCGTGCCAAGAACTACGGTTTGGCACTGAGCTTTGCGAACAGGATCCTCGCAAACGGCGGATCCAGCAGGATTGTTGAGAACGTAAGTACACCCAGGATTGTCCTACACACCTACCTTGAAAGGGCGAACTAACATAAGACCTTTCTAGGCGACCAAGACGAAGAGGCAATGCGAACGCAACCCCAGCGATGCTATTGAGATCGAGTTCGACCAGTTTGCGGAATTCGACGTTTGCGCGGCTAGCCACACACCCATCTACAGCGGGACTTCGTACGAGGAGTGCGCCTTTGACGGATCCAAGTACCACACCAAGTACAAGGGTCAGGTTTGCAGGGTCTGCGAAGTCTGTGAGATTGGAAAGCACGGTAGCGGGCTGAAGCTCTTTTTCTAAAGCACAAGTTTTTGGTCGGTAGTCTAGAGCTGGGGAGTCGCAAAAAACAACATAGTGAAGAGGCGGGTATTAATTAGACCATCCCTTTGATAAGTACCAGTTTGCTTGGTCTGCTGCGTAGAGGCCCGAGAGAGGAAAACAAGAGAAAAGCGAAAATCCAGGGTTACCGGGTTTTTAGAGATGGGGACTGGGGAGTTTGATGTCTACGACGCCTGATGATATAGTACGTATGAGTAGTCGCAAAATGGATGTCTTTCTATTGTCAATCAAATTTTTGGAGCACCGTGGTTTTTAATCGGTCAATCCATCACGAATGACGTCCTTGGTTTCAGGATGGTGGAGATGTAGCCCACCGCTTTGATGGTAAAATCCATTTTAGCAAAAGTCAGACTCTTGATACAAGCCTGGAATAGCATTCTACGGTGGCCTCTTATCTCTACCAAGAAGAGGGCCCATCATAGAGGCATACCAGACAACGCTGGCGACGACAACCAGTCATAACTTTCTTTCTATCCCATCTTTCCTTTCCCTTCTTCTAGACAACAATCCCCGGCCCCCAAAACCCCGTCCCCGCCAAGGCATCACCTCCCATCTTCTTGGTTTCCGCCCGTCCATCCTTAGACAATAGTCTCGAGTTCGCGAGCATAGCCGAGCGTGTTTTCTATGATAGTCCTGCTGAAGTCCTTGTCCTGGGCGGCATCCTGCTCACTGGTCGTTTCCGCGCTGTCGGGGAAGTAAATGTGGCCGTCGCGGATGACCCAGCCGCGCTCGCGAGCGAAGTCGATGACGGCGCCTTCTGAGTCGAGGAAGAGGAGAGATTTCGTGGAGCTCAGGGGTAAGTTGGGATAAGCTCTCTCCGAGCTGCTGGCGATTTCGGAGCGGATTTGGCTCGTCAGGATCTGAATGAAAGAAGAGGTTAGCTCGCTGGAACGGAAGCTTTGGGACAAAGATAGAGAAAGAAGAATAAAGGAATGACATAACATACCTCTGAGAACACGCTGTATTCTTCGCATGGTACCTCGCGGCTCTGCATGGCATTCCACACGCGGTCGTAGCTACCTTCCATCAACCACCTCTCCAAGCGGATGGGATAGCCCAGATATTTATCGGTCTCATCGCTACCACCCTCCCTGCTCGCTAAGCTCTCGAGCTCGGTATGGAACGCGCCGTACTTGCCCTGGGTAAGGAGGAGGAGCAGGTAAAGACCCGTCACCTTGTTACGCTCGGCGGGCTCCGGGGGAAGCACGGATGGGGGAAGATCGTAGAAGGGCTGGAGATGCTGGACATAGCGCGAGAAGGCGGCGGCGTCGCGGGCGCGGATGGAGGCGAGGGCGCCCTGCTCGTAGAGGGAGCGGGCGGCGGAGAGGAGGTGGGAAGGGGTGGTCGGCGTCGGGGTGAGGGCGTTGAGGTGGAGGAGGTGGATCTTTGCGCGGGAGAGGAGGGAGGAGGCTTCGGGGTAGGGGAGGGGGGAGGACTTGAGTTGGGAGATGATCTGGTTTAGGTTTTGTTCCGCCATCGTTAGATCGTTGGATGGGACCTGGCTAGGAGTCGTTCGAGGTATATATGTCGCCGCGGGTATTATGATTATTATTTTTTTCTTCTTTTGCTTCTTCTAAGATATTTGGAGGGTGGTGGTTCCACGACGCAACGTTAATTGGGACGGCGAGATGTCGTTATGGTGATGGAGACTGCAAGGCAGACGGAGTGACGTTGGTACTTGGAGCTTGTCTGGAAAGGCTGACAATGCAGATGAGCTGAGTGGCGGTGACTAAGCAATATCCCCTTTTTATTAGTCATTTTTTTTTTTTCTTTTTTTTTTTTTTTTTTTTTTTTTTTTTTTTTCTATGTCCAAGACGCGGCAGCCGGCGTAACTACACGCGTAATCCAGGAAGCCCAGGGGTTAATAATAGCTGCGTGGATGAGGGAACATCGAAGCCGATGAGTACTTCGTACCAGCCCGACCATGACCCATGAATGAGCCAGCATCATTGATAAATATAACGGTTGTGTCTTTTTTTCTTCCCTTTCTTTCAAAGAAGAATGAGAGCTAATTGCGAGATGGGTTTCAATTGCCAAAAGGTACTTAAAAGGGCCGAGCAGAGGTGTATTTCTAATAATAATAAGTACATCAATGTACGAAGTAGAACCCCGACTTGGAATCATCGGATCATAGAGAGAAGAAAAAGGTTCAACTGAAATCGAGTCTATGAGCTTGGCAACGCTTCATCAAATGTTCCTCCAGGCACTCACTTGATTGGAAACTGGCACAAATGGCGGAAGAAGGGCACAGAATCCACGATGGATTCGTCCTTTGTAGACTGCGACGTACAATTGATCAATCCGTTGCGAAGCAGAATTCCCCGTCGCACTTGACATTCCTAGGATCTAGGGAAAGCCTTTGGCTCCACTCATTGCGAGGAGTTTGTGATCGACACCAACAACAAAATGAGGTGCCTTCGGCGAGGTGATATTCGTGCTAGATGCTTCGTACTGTTTCGTACACTACTACGAAGTACATTTAATGCTGATTGGTACTTCAGACGGTCCGGGCCTGCCCAGCCTTCAGAGAGCAACCAGCCTTCAGAAAGCAACATCAATGAAGCATTGAGTCCTACGGGTGATCCGCCTCTTCCATAGACAATGGCAGTGTACACGCTTGGCAGCTTCCGAAGTACGTACTTCGTAGTCTTCCACGTATTTACTTACACGACACTACTTCGTACATTGGACTTGGCCAGTCCAGCCAGGACGAAGCGGTAGTTTAGATTAGTGTGTGCTTCAACGGTGTGAACGATTGAATCCCGGCATTCTGTCCGCTGAGGATTGTGGGGTGCTCTTGCGCTCACCACTCAACTGCACTTGTATTCGTACATCCTCCCCCTGAATCGAACGGAGTAATAAAGCAGAGATGGTAAACAACGGTCTTGGCATTCCTTGCCGTTCCGTTTCCGTTTTTCTCTTCTTCGAAGGACTGTACGAAGCAAGAATTACTTCGAAGTCTATTGAACCACCACAACGAACGACACTACGATGTATTGGGGTGCTTTGTACAAGTACAGTCTATTATTATCACAGACTATTTTCCTGTCGCTCCATTGTCCAGGGATCAGGAATCTCGAATCTTGATATGAATGTAGTATGATTTATTGATTTTTTTTTTTTTTTTTTCCCTCGCAAGATATCGTCCGCCTTGACCGTCTTGGCCGTTGCCGAAGAGGAGTGCTTCCTACACTTGACACTTCAATGACAATTTACTGCCTCCCTCGTCCAAGGATCAATTTCAATACCCTTTGTCTTCAAGCTGCCCTTTTTATTTTCTCCCCTCCCCCCTCCCCTTCCCTTTCCAAAGCCCCCACCCGCTTTGTGCATTGATTGCATCGAATCTTCTTCGCCTTGCTCCATTCGAGAGATTTGATCAATCATTTTAAGTCCGCGGTTTCCTCGTCTGTGTCGTGTATGAGTACACAGAGTACAGGCAGTACAGGCACGGCACTGCGCTCCACCGTACTACTTCACCGTACTACTTTCACCGTTCTACTTCGTACTTTCCATTGTCGCTACCTCTATTATTCATCCCTCCATCCAAGTCGCTCCCTCCAATTGTCCCCTCCTCCATCATCAGCCCCACCACTCCCAATGGATTGACCCATGTCCGTCCATGTCACTGCCATCTTTGACGCCAGCCCGTCCCCGCTAATCCCCATTTGCCCTCCACCTGGCGTCGTCCTCAATTCTGTCTGCCTTCTTCTGCCTCATTGATCCTTCCTCAATACCTCCCACCTTAAGTTAAACCATCAGCGCCTCACTGTCGAGCTCTCTCCGCTCCACGCAAGAGACCACAGTTCTCTGCCCCCTCGAGCTCTCACCCACTCTCTCCATCTCCTCCCTCTTTCTCTCTTTCCCTATTTCTCCCTCCCATTTTCTCCCCGCCTCTTAACCCTGTAATCGCCCACTGGTGTCTCCTTTCCACCTCACTCTTATAATAGCTTGAGCTGGGAGCTCCCCCTCTTCTCTTCGCCTTTAATCCCTCCCTCAGAGGCCCAGGGCTTCAAGATATGGCCAACTACTATAACCCCCAAGGGCGTGACGCCCATGGTGCTACTCAACAGCAGTATGCTCCGCAGCACCCCCATTCATGTAAGTTGACAAAGTCCGCCCTGTTGCATCTGATCCCTTGCATCTTGCCTCTTCATTCTATGGGTATAGTTGTGTGGGCTTTCTACCTGCCTCGCAACGCAGATGTAGCTATTATTTCGAAACCCGCTGTGGGAAAGTCGCACCTTGAGTTGCATCACACAACTTTCAGCGTGCCCATGTTAGGCTTGACAACGCTCAACTGCAGCCCCGCCCCTCGACCGAAGCCTAAGTTCTACTACCATCTGGATAGCTCACCATGGGCCCCCCGCGAACCCGCACATCTTTTTGTTTTGGTCCCGCCCCTTTTTTGGTCTGGGGAAGCGGGGAGGAGGTTAAACAGCTTGTGGGGGTGTCCTATACTAACACGCTGATGGCTAGCAAACCCTCCTAGAACAGACTCTTTAGAACCTCCGCAGCTCGGCGCAACCTTCGTCCCAGGCGGCTTCGACGACTACTACATGCCCGAAGTTTATGCGCCCTCCCCGCAGAGGTAACAGTCGTCGCTCATCGCTCTCTTGACGCCACTCACGCTAACACGCCTGTGCCCGCGTAGGATCATGCCTGAAGTTCCTCAGAATATGCAAGACGACATCCAGCGACTGGAGTCGGGCGCGAGATCGGCCGAGTTCCACACCGTCGGCGAACCGACCCAGACTTCCACGCTCCCCGGTGGTGGCTACACATCACCACCTCCTGCCGCTGCCCCTCCAGCCTTGACCACCCTTCCGGCTGCTCCGGCAAAGGCCACCCCCGACCACCCTCCCAGCCTGCCTAAACCGAGCACCATATCAAGCGATGCGCCCACTTTCTCCCCATTCCCAAAGGTCAAAGGCGACGGGATTCCCCCGAGCTTCGAGGAAATCGAGCAGACTCTTTGGGACAACCGAGAGCACACACTCCACTCGAATAACGTCACACTACAGTTGGAGTGGGCCAAGCAGGTGCTCTCGTGGGTTGAGGTCATCATGGAGGAACAGGATCGAGAACTCGACGGGAAACCCCGACCTCCTACGCCTAATGCCGAACACCAAATGCGCATAGACGCCCTCACCATCATCAACCATCTTGCTGGACAGGAACACCCCGACGCCCTCTTCCTGCGATCCAAGTGGCTAGAGTTTGGCAAGTTCGGCCACCGCATCGACAAGAGAGAAGCCTACAATGGCTATAAACGCGCTGCTGAGCTGGGCATGGGGAGGGCCGAATATCGGATGGGCATGCTATTCGAGGCTTCCAACGACATGAGGAACGCCATCCAGCACTACCAGCGCGGCCTAGATCTAGGAGATTCCGCTGCCTCCTACCGACTCGGTATGATGAGCTTGATGGGACAGCATGGCCAGATCAAGGACTACCACCACGGCCTAAGTCTCATCGAGGCCGCCGCCGATTCTGCCGACGAGGACGCACCCCAGGGTGCTTACGTCTACGGCCTACTAATTGCCAGAGAACTGCCGGACATCACAATTCCCGAAGGTCTTCTCCCTTACCAGCTTCCCCTCGCGAAGCGCTACATTGAGAAGGCTGCACTCCTTGGCTTCGCAAAGGCTCAGCTGAAGATGGGCCAAGCCTATGAGCTTTGCCAGCTAGGATGCGACTTCAACCCCTCCTTCTCTCTACATTATTACGGGCTAGCCGCCAAGCAAGGCCAGGCGGAAGCTGCATTGGGCGTAAGCCGGTGGTTCCTATTCGGATACGAAGGCTTCTTCAATAAAAACGAGCAGCTAGCCTTCAAATACGCCAAGCAGGCGGCCGACGGGAAGCTAGCCACCGGCGAGTTTGCCATGGGCTACTACAATGAGATCGGTATCCACGTAGCTAAAGATGTCCGCGAAGCAAAGAGATGGTACGAGCTCGCCGCCGAGCACGGCAACAAGGACGCCCTCGGACGTCTCGAGTCGCTGAACGAACAAAAGACATTGACGAAGCATGACCACGAGACTACGACCCTGACCCGAATCAAGTCGCAACACGGTTCAATGCGTGGAAAGCGGCCCGAACGCTTCGCCAAGAAGGCGTCTGCAATGCCCTCCGTATCTGAGGGCGACGCCGAGCAGCCGCAGCCCGGCGTTTCGCCGAGGGTTTCACCCGGCATGCCTCCGACTGGGAATGCTGGTGGAACCGACGTGCCCGATGTGTCTCGCCTCTCCATAAAAGATGCTCGCCAACCTGCTTTCGCTCTCAACGTCGAAGGAGCCTCGGATAAACCCAAACCCTCGGCACCCTATCCCGAGGACGATAGGCCCCCGCCACTCAATCTCGCCAGGGCTCAATCGGCCGCACCCTACCCAGAAGATGATACCGCTCGGCCGCCACTCTCTCCTCACTTCGACCCCAAGATTCGCCCCTCCCAGGGCCCCACAGCAGACCGGCCTATGAGTGCGTTTGGCATTCGGCCGCTCAGTCCTGGCGCGCCAGGAGGGCGACCGCCACAGGCCAATCTCGGCCCCGGCGGCGACCAACGGGGCCGACTCAGCGGCGCCGGGTGGGAGCCTCAGGTGCCAAATGATTATAGACAAGCAAGTCCCGGGCCACAACCCATGGGCGATTACAGACGCGACCCTTACCGCCAGGACTTGCCTCGGCCGGCGACCACCCAGCCTTACGACGGACGCCAAGGTGGCCCAGGTGCAAATCCCGCTCAGAACCGCCTCCAGAAGCCCTACCCGCAGGGTCAGCGGCCGGTAAGTTCCATGGCCGGTAACCAGTATCCTGGCCCTCAAGGCCCCCGCGAACCCGCGCAACCTGGCCGGGACTTTGGCCCGAGAACGTCATCTCGACCCAGCCTTCCCGGCCAACCCCAGTTACATCGGCCCGTATCGGAGGCCTACCCGTCGTACGGACGAGGGGGCCCGGGCCCGAACCCGGCTGGCCGTCCCGATCGGTTCGACTCGCTACCTGCCCACCCCTCTCCCCAGCAAACCCATGGTGGCCCGCGCCCCGTGAGTCATATCGACCGGCCTCGGCCTTTAGACGACGGCCCAGGCCGTGTTGGCAGCGCGCCTCCAGTCCAACAGCGCCCGCAACAGCAACAACAAAGGCCTAGTTCGCCTGCAGCCTCGACGGCATCGGCACCTCCTCGCCCTACCGGACAGGGACCGGCGACGTTCGAGGAGATGGGGATTCCGCAAGGCAAGAACGAAGGCGACTGCGTAAGTCTACTACAACTTGAAATTTCTACATCCAAGGAGAGGCAAATAAGATCTAATTATCGAGATGATATAGGTTGTGATGTAGAAGATCGCCGACTAGTCGAAAGCGCTCTTACCAAAGCGTTTAGTTGGAAATGCAGCTCGGTGGGATGTAAAACCTCGGTGATTTATCAAATTATCAATGATGTAATAGAAAATACCTTCCGCTTCATATCAGCCCTAGCTAGAGTGCTTGAGATTTATCTTCCTCCCTTCTTTCTATCCACTTTCACTTCTTTTCCTTTTTTTTTTCTCCTTTCCGCTATTGTAGTTGTAGAGGGGGTCGAGGAGCATCTAATTCTTTTGGACCTTGCCTTTTTCAAGAGCTGGCTGTTAATTGCATCTCAGATACCTGTATCTTTCTCTGTATTTCCTCTACCCTTCACGATAGTGTATTATTCCATATCTATATTTTAATCTCCTCTTTTTCCTATCATTACATAATGAGTTACAATAATCCCTTGGAATAAACTGTGAATGGAGTGAATGAGGTTATTGCCATTCACCATGAAGAGTGGCATATGCTTGAAGTTTTACATGCGTGTTGTCAGGTAAAGTTTTCTTTCTTATGTGACCGATCAATTGACGCTTTATGCTACATAGACAGATTCTAGCCTATACAGAGTAGATGGGTGATATACACAGCGCATCTTTATTTAACCCTAGGCTGAGTTGAAGCTGTGAAGTCTCATTCCTAGGTCACAACTCATCCTTGATTCGTGTTAATGGCTCCTCCCAGTTCCGGCTCTTGGTGTTCCTCTCAAAGGTTGGCTCTTCATCAGGCTTTGGCTGATCATTATCACTGCCATCCTTTTCCTCCTTGCCTCGAGCCTCTTCCTCCTCCTTCTCCTTTTCCTTGATCTGCTCCTGCTCTTGCACCGAGGGCGTCTCCTTCTGATCTCCCACCGCGGGAAGACCTTTCCTCCTCCTCTCAAAGTTTGCAATCTCGTCGTCGTACACGGTCCACTCCGGCACCTGTCTCCGAGCCCTGTCGAGCTTGGGCTCCTTCGTCATCGGGTTATTGCACAAGTCGATCGTCTTGGCGTCCCGCAAGCTCTCGTCGCTGCACCACGTCTCACACCAGAGCCACTCCTGCGGAAGGCTGTGGATCGGAATCACAAACTGCATGTGGTTGGGCAAGTCCTGGTCGAGGTTCGCAAGCGAGTTGGGGTCGGCGCTAAGCGTGTGGTACTGCTGGCGAAGCCTGTCCCCGGCCGCCAGCTCCCGGAAGCGCCGAAGATCTACAACATACAAGGCCGAAATGTGGTAAGGGAGACCCCTGAGATAGTTTGCCCAGTAGCCCTGTTTCCAGAACCGGAAGCCTTCCATTTCCGTGCGCGAATCGCACATGGGCGTGAAGCCGTAGGGCGCACCCTTGAGATCGAGATTTACAAGTTCCATCATGTCGGCTCGAACAATCTGATCGGCATCCACGAAGATTACCTTGTCCAGAGAGAGGGGGAAGAGTACATCGAGGAAGAGGATCTTGTACCCCCAAATTTCCCTCTGCTTCTCTTTTTGTTGTCTCAGCCAATGTGGCCATTTGTAGGTCACCATCTCGTACTTGAATCCGTATTCCTTCGCTAGGTGCGGAATCGAGTCTTTGAAAGACGGTGACAAGAACTGCTCAATGAACCAGAACTTGACGGTATGGTTAGTGTGCTTCATGACACTCAACATCATGATATTGAGCATGCGCTCGTAGAGGTGGCCGCTGGCAACAGAGAAGATGTTAATCTCCGCCTGGTCGTCGGAAGATTTGTCCTTCTTTTCGAGGGCATGTTTCGAATCCGACCCGCCTAGAAGTTCAGCGGCGGCCCTGAATCCGCGGGACAGTAAGCTGTCCGATTCAGGTTTCGCTTCCTCGGCGCCGTACGATAGAACATCGGCCGTTTCCATTCCAGGCTTCCGTTCCAAACGCGGGTACAGGGTCGTTCCTTTGAAGTCCATCAAGGCAACCTCCGTCCCTTCATCTCCAGGGGAGGCGTCATAACCATGGGCGCCAACACTTTCTATCTCAAAAATCTGAGAGCTTCTGCCTTCCTGAAGTTGAATGTTGTAGAATCCAGGATTCGCCTTGAATTGGAAATAGCCAAGGTTGGCCATGATGATCGTATCCGACGAGTGGGGGTCCTTTTCGGTCCCAAGCACGAGCTGCGCACCACTCGGAGGGGCGGCGTCTTTAGTGACCATGCGAGAGTGACCCTCGATAAGAATATTCCGGAGCTCGTATACAGCATCAACATTGCCTTTTACGAGACTTAGTTTGATGTTATCTGGGTCATGGACTGAAGACTTCGCAGCTACCAGCCACGCCGGCGGCACATCCATTCCGACGGTGAGGAGAGCTTCAGACGGAAGGCCTCGGAAGGTGGCGTCAAGGGGCTTTACGCGGCCCGACTCATCGAAGGTAGGTTCAGAGTCCAGGACATAGCGGTAGAAGCGTTTGATCGGCAGCTCCTCGAGCCTCTCTTCGGGATTCAAGAAGAGTTTAATATAAACGCCGTCGACCTGGGAAAGTACCTTAAGAATCGGGGTCCAGCGTTGGCCTTGTTCACTCGCCGGATTGAGTATGCCGATGATATGCACAGTAGCTGACTCGGCCTCTCCGACTTCAATCGTTGTGTGCTTAGACTTCCATGTATTAAATATCGACGTTCGAAGAGTGGGCGCCGATTCAAAGATACCCTCAGGAAGATCAGAAATGGTCGACCGAGCCGCAAGACACGTAAGTCTCGCTGCTGCAAGTGGTCCTGATAGAACAGCGCCCAACCCAAGATCAGCCACGGCGGCATACACCGGGAGGATACGGTTTTTTTGTTCAAAGTCCAGAAGCTGTTGGAACTCGGTCTCGGCGAAGGCTTCGTCCTGAGATATCGGCCCCACCACCCGGCCGTTCAAGACGAGACCCTTAGTGCCGGGTTCGAGTCCGGTCGACGCTATGTATGCGCTTAGACGAGCTCCATATTGTGTATCTGGTACAGGATCTTGCGCCGGCAAAAGAGACCTGATTTCTTCAATCGACCCAGCTTCCAAGAGTTTGTCAAGGTTGGTCGCCAACGCGGCATTGATTGCGGCAGCGGCGGCGTTGGACGATGCCTTAGGGTTGTGGAGGATGTCCATCCGGACACCAGGGTTATTTGCCTTGAATTTGAGAGCAGAGTAGAGTAAGTTGAGGCCATCTTCGGTCGTCATATCCGCAATCACAGTCAATGCCGCCCAGGTCTCTTTACTTGAGTCCGAATATGCATCCAGGACCGGGACAGACTGGAGAAGGGCAGCATGCTCGCGATATACTTTCCCCAAATCTATCATGTTCAATGCCTTCTCGTCATCAGCATAAATAAGGGGGTGTCTCCTTTTTACGGCTTCATCTAGGAAAAGTCCTAGTATCCGAGTGTCTTCGTTAATATCCCCCAGCTGCAGCCCCTTTCGAAGCATCTGAAGATCGGAATTGATTTTCATTCCCATTCCCTGGAGCCAGTTATCCACCCGAGGTACCACCATCCCGTTGACGAACACAGGGAGAGTAGGGGAATTTGCATTCAGCCTACTCACCCACATATCCACATGCTGCAAACGCTCGGTGAGAGGCTTGGAGGCTAGAACTTCCTCGAAGGTTGATGGCTTGAAGCCTTCAGCCGGTGATCCAGCAGCGATAGCCTCTTCAAAGATTGCGCTATCAGCAACGGTCTGCCCGCCATGTATGGCCAATTCGACGTAAGTGAAGAGGCCTTCCAGCCCATAGTTGTCGTGCAAATAGTACAAGACCTTGCGGAGGTTTCTCGAATCCTCGCTTGAGCTGAATGGCACGATACCAAACCGCACCGGCAGAAGGCGATTCACATATGCTAGAACTTGAAGAGCGACCTTCAGATCATCAACATTGGCCACGTCCACGGGTATGACGGCATTGAATATGTTGCGTCGGATGCGGGGAACCTGGCCGGGGTAGGTACGTTGAAGAAGCTGCTCAAGAAAAAGTCGGGTGGATCAGCTTGAGGCGTCCCCGTCGGCACTCATTTACAACAAAAGAATAAGGAACTTACCGCCGTAATGCTTGTTGGGAAGTCGTCATACTGCGAGTCTGCCTCAAGATCGTTGAGCCACATGATAACTTCCCCGCCCTCTTGATTATCTCTCCAATCGAACCTCTGGGGACTACCATCCACCTTAGCAGAGGTAACATTGGGATGTCCCAAGAGGGCGACGGCTTCTCTACCGGTAAGCCCAATACTCTTGGCCTCCGTGATTAGCTTTCTTTCCCTTCTTAGCATGTCGACCAAAGAAAACGGCTCTATCTGACGCTCTATTAACTGGACACCGTTCATCCAGAGAACGTTAACACCCTGGGGGACAACGGTACCAAGGTTATCGCGCTGCTCCTCAATGAACTCTAAGGAAGCGTTGTGTGCGGCAATCCGAGCCGAGTACGCGGGAAAGTCTTGAGTAAACCTGATCAGTGTCTCGAAGGGATTCTCTCCCTTCATGATAAGAGAAGCGGCATTTAGCCCAAGGGATGAGACTTCCGCCTTCGACAGCGGCCTAAGGTCAGCGACCTCCTCCTGCTCATCGAGTACGACCTGGCTGCCTGAGCCATGGTTAGCATCGTGTCCGCGGCCGCCGCCGTCGGACGCAGCGTCCCTATCATCGATAACTATATAGTCGGTTTTCTTCAAGGCCAGTTCCACGCCGTACCCGCTGACAGGGAGAGGTGTATCGTTCTCATCTGGCCCGTTCGTGCGGCGATATCGAACGGTGTAAGAAATTTCGCCTCGACGCGCTTTCTCGACTAGCGAGTTATGGAACGGAGCGAAGGATGGCGAACTAACAACGTCTGCGTATAAAATGGCATGAGGGCCATGCCCAAGGACTCGGTCAAAGGGCAAAGAAGTGGATGTGTGTATGGCATCAGCAACAAGCCTACGGGGCTCTCCGAAGCCATAGTCGCAGTACTGAGATCCGTTGAAGAGCACCCATGTGTCGCAGGCTGAGGGAAGAGGCTCGAGGAACCTTGGCTGGACACCGGTGGAGTAGTATTGGTAGTGCGCCTCGATCCTCGGGGCGGCCGACCTCATAGAGAGCGCCAATTTAAAAGTAGAGAGCACTTCCGGCTCGGAGATGTGGCCATCTTGGACAAGAAGCTTGAGGAACCTGTCGTATAATTCCTTCTCTGTTGCTGCACCAGAGAAGTAGCCGCTTGCCACGCGATCGAGGAGTGGGAAATAAGAGGTCGAGTTTTCGGCAGCCGCGGTTTCTCTTCACCTCACTGTTAGCCACGCGTTTCAAGAAAATTCTTACAGGCCAAACACTGGAGGAAAGGGAGCATGCGCTACCTACATGAGCTCAAGAAGGTAGGGCCCAGCCTGGAAGGCTGCTCGCATAGAAACAGAAATGCTCGGTACGGCGGAGACAGGTACGGCGGCCAGCAGGACAGCCGTCAGGCTAAGCGACAATCCTTGGAATTTCATCTTGCCCAAAGGCTAGCCGTTAAAGCCGGAGTCGTAACAGGTCGGTCGGGTTCGAGAGAGCGTCGATGCTGGTTAGATTGACGGTTGCCCAGTCTGCACACGCATAAAGGCTAGTGCAATCTGTCGGCAACCATGGGTCAGCAGCGTATGGAGAGAATAGATTTGAGGACTACCATGCGTGTGTGCGTTGATTGTGGGACAGACAGATTACGGCCTAGACGAGGGAGGAATGCTGTCGCATACAGGCTGGCTTTTGGGCGAGGCATGGGTTTTGTAAACGTGGACAATTCAACTGCGCGAGGTGATTTCCTAAATTGGATAGTACCTTGTAATACAATTCAACCGGTGTTGGCCACTAATAAAGTGAAGTAACTATGGAGTACTCTAACCGCTCTGCCAAACATTCAGTGTCAATCGAACCGAACTTTCTCTCGGTTTCTCTAAATCCAAATAATGACATCGAATATCATATCAAAATACGAAGGTACCCGACTGATGCCTATCCAACCATGGCGACGGCAACGCTACAAGTGAAAATCGGTCCGCCATGAAATCCCCAAAAGACTCGAAAGCAGAGAGGCTAAGCTCGCCAGAGAATCCTGTATCTCAAAGTTTCAAGGCGTGCAAACTCATCCAGCTAATATATCATCCATATAATCGTCTAGGACAATAATCCTGAATTGCTTTCCCCATTTCAGGGTCCAAGAAGGACGCATCCACGATCGGCTAAGACCTTTCTTCCACGAGACAACCTCAATGAGCCAACCCATCTTCAGGATACGCTCCACCTGTTTCTGAAAGCCGTCGGAGTATTCCGCTTTCTCGGCGTCGCCAGTTGCGAGAACCATAATTCCGGGTTCGTCTAGGCATGCCATAGCAGTATTCCCCATCTTCAGCTGTAAAATCTCATCGACGCCCTGTTCTCGGTAACACATTTCACGTCGCGCTATACCGTAGTATTCGCCGCCGCTCTCTGAGGATGACGATCCACTAGATGACGGTGTTGAACGAGACGACACGTCACGATTCGCCCGTATAGGTTTCAGAACGCGGCGGAGAATACTAGTCTGGTATCCTAGTTTTCTCGCGTCATGGAAGTAGCTGGGTAGGTCGCCAAGGTTCTCCGGATCGGCAGCGGAGCCAACCAATTCTCTCGCGCCGACCGTTCTGCCACGTTCAAGGATGTGGGAGAGAGCCCCGAAATTTAAAGGCGCAAGTGGCGTCCTAACATGTGAAGGAATGTCCCTCGAGGATTTGAAGGTTTCATTGAAGCCAATGTATATGTTGGACATGTCAACGAATATATGGGTTGTCAGAGTTCTGTGAGGGTCATGTCGTTCTTTGATTCTGATATCGATGGCCCTTTCTCGCTCCAGTTTCAAAAAAAGGGTACCCAGCGATTCCGTTGGCTGGGGGGGTTGAAAGGAGAGCGCAGGATGGACCCAATGCATAAGCGTCGCAAGCTCCTCCCGAGTGGGAAAGATAGGTTTTCTCACTCGTTCCATGTCGGCCAGGGGAGTTAAAGCAACCACCCCAGAAGCCGCCACAACACCAACTGACTCCGGCTCTGCCCCAATTGCTCGTTTTATCTCAGATGGAGTGCGATCGCCTAGAGATCGAGTGGCATCCCGGCTTGGTAGCAGTGGCAGACCTGCATTATCACCAGAGGCCTTGCCTTGCAGAGAAGCTGTCGTCTTTTCTAGGAACGCGAAGATTTGGCTGAAATCTCCAAGCCTATTGTTTGAGCCGGGTCTCGGAGTGTATTTAGAGTTTGTAGACAAGCACTGGTCCCTACTTTGTATGCGGCCATTATTCCCCGTGGAATCAAGGTCAGACTGTATGATTCCCTCGCTGCCGATATTGTATGGGCCGGCTAGCATCGTTGTGCCTGTGCTTCTCACCGCACTGTTTGTGAGGCACTATTTCGGCTGTGATACCGGTTTTAAAGTGATAGAGGCCCTTTGTTGAAGGATCAGAAGTAGAGGATAATCAAGCTCTCCTCATACAGACAGAAATGAGTCGTCATTCAGTAGTCATATATGCACATGTATCTCGGCATGCAGAAAACCACCGGGCTCTTAACATGGTACCGAGTGCGAGTGCCTTCGTGCCTTTCAGCAAGTGAGAATAGGCCCGGTAGACAAGTTGTTTCCAGCAGGCTAGGGAAAGTAGGGCGCCTATAAATGGAGGTAACTATTCATATCAGAAAATCTGCACCTCAGCTATGGAGAAGACTCTAACAAGGGCAACATAACTGACAATAGAGAGGACGACCTAATCTGTAGCCTGGCTTCCCAGAAGAGCGGGGCAAGTCGGGCTCTTACTACAAAATCCGGACCAACCAAAGGAAATAAAGTAAGATTGAAACAGGAAAATCCGACGAGTCGCGCAAGCCGTCAAGGACAGAAAAAGAAGGTTGTAAGAAGGGGACATACGGTTTGTTACGAGGTGTCTGGTTTCTCGAGATGATGAGATGCGGTTGAAGCTGGTCCTTGTCCTTGGAAGGCAGTGTCATAAGAATTTATGACTCAGCCCAGACTCTTGTATATTATGTAAGCAGACCGACTTCCAGACAACAATATCTTTTCGGGATTCTCACCTTCCTTTACAGGATCATAAACTATGGCTTCTCCCAAAAGATCACCTTATACCCCGATATACTATTGCATTAGAACCTCAGGCTCGGGCCCTTGCATCTAACGAGTATCAAGCGTCGTCACCGAAATCGCGAAAGACTAGATGAGTTGAAAAGAATTATCACAGGAAGAGGAGCAAGGGAGTCGAGACTGAGGAGTACGGCCAAAGCTTCTTTATGAAGGCGAGTATGCGTGGGTGTATATGCGTAAGATATATACCTCTCTATGTACGTGTGCGTTCATGTGTGTGTTTGTGTGTGCGTGTGCGTGGTTGGGTATCTCTATGTATGTGTGTATGATATGTGCGCGGAGATATATAATTGTGAGATGAAGTGTCTGTCTGCCCGCCCACGGTTTGGCGGAAACGGATAGGAAGAGAGGAGCTGCGGGCCGCTTCAAAATGGAGTAGATAGAACCAGCAGGGCCGGAACGAATCTCATTACAACTTACTCTTCACGGATTGAAGTCATCTCAAACTCCACTCCACTTCCACCCTCCAACAGTGGCTGGCTCGGAGGAGGCAGTGGTTGAACTTGTTGTGCCAACGAGAGCCCACCTGTCGGTCCGGGGCTTTGGCCGGGGCTTCTGGACCCCCTACTTACTCTCTCGCTCGAGTCATTATCAAAGTCCGCTGCAGTATCACTAGTGACCTCTTGCAGCAAGGGTGACGAGCGGACACTCGAGTTGGAAAGCCTGCTTTGAGAATCCGCATTCCCTGCACTTCCGGCCCTGGACGAATTTCGCGGAGAAACTCGGCCCATCTATCGGTGGAAACAATTCTTAGCCACGACCGAATTGCAACTGACGGGGCGGCGCCAAACTCCGAGCGCCCAGGTTCAGTGGGGCGGTCACGTACCTGTTTGGCCCAGCGGAGGCCACAGCTATTGCAAAGATCTCGCTGTCCACTTGGGCCACGCCGCCACTCGGGGGTATTCCGTGTGTGGCAGTTGGCGCAATCCCGTGCAACATTCCCAACTCCCTTCCTGCGCTTGCGCTTTTTCTTATTGGTCAATAGCATACTCAGCTCCTCTGCGAGAATGCGGTTGACCTTTTCTAATTGACGAAGTTCAAATTGCCAACTGGAACATTTAGTCGTCCCAAGCTCGGAAAACATGATTTCGTCTACCGCCGGTATGCAACTAGGGAGTGGCCGAGAATCATTGAGCCCAGTAGGCTCGGTCGAGCACTGAACCCCGGGCCTTGATGGGGAACTCAGTTCATGCGAAGCGGCGCGTTCCAAGTCCCCAGCGGAGGCGGACGATCGTGATGAGGCTTTAATGAGCTTCGTCTGCGCCAGCAAGAAGGACGGTTTACCCTCTCCCGTATTTTCGGGATATAGAAAGGTCTGTGCTCGCAAAACTTGGCCCCTGCGATTGTGAACCTCATGTTTGCAAGAAACAATCTTGCCTCTACGGGCCTTCTCAATAGTGCGGCCAAACTCGGGTCGCGACTCCTTACGCATGAGGTCGTGCATGCTCGTTCCGACCAAGGCCGCGGGCTGGATGTCAAGAAGCGCCCGAGTGTTGGAAGAAACGAAGAGGAACATCCCCGATGTTGATATCTTCGCCCAAATTTCATTATCGCCGACGCCATTGGCATAGCGGTGAACAGTAGATCGACTGAGAGAGTAGACTGGACGTCTTCGCCCCACGAGTATGATACACTTGCGTCCCTTGCCTTGCTCCGAGAAAAGGGAGCCATGGCTTTCAAACCACATGTACCCACTCCGTTTCCGCCGGATCCGAAAGACAAGATTGACAGGCGTGTCTGCAGTTGCGTCTTTGAGTTCTCGTGTGACAGGAACAATGTCCGAGGGATGGCAAACGGACGACAAGGACGACCCAATTAGCTCAGTACCGTCATATTCCAGCACGCGCTTAGAAGACGGGGAGACGTATTGAAACACTCCTTTCAGGGAAATAACATGGATGACATCATCGACATTCTCAAGGAGCATCTTGTGCCATGACTGCCTATGCCAGTCGGATGATAAGCCGCCCTTGGAAATATATTGTTGCAGGAGGGTGGAAACGTCGTCTGTTCCAAGCGTCTGACCGTGGTCGGATACCCAGTGATTCGACTGAGGTGGCTCCCATATGTACTGGCCAATATCGCTGTGCTTATAGTCAACCTGGACTCCACCCCTCCCTGGCGTTGATGAAATGGCCTCGGGGTACTCCACAAGATCAATTTGGAACCCAACGAAGTACCGAATCTCTTCAGAGTCCCACGGGATTGGTATCATCGTGAGGAGATTTAAGAAGGGTTTTCCTCCTTTACGGTAGTTAATGAGGCTTTGCTGCACCTCTCGACGGGCTGAGATTTTCTGCTTCAAGGTGTAAACAGTCGCGTCATCGACAAACTCTCGTTTAACCCCTGCCTCGACCTTCCCGTCCGGTGCCTGAAGAAACCGGCAGTTTTGGCCCATGATCTCATGGCGGCTGTAGCCAGTTAGATTCTGGAAGCTATCCGATACATATACAATAGGGCAGTCGTTCATCGTAACGTCGCACACGATAAATGCGCAAGACATATCAACAGCGCCGATGTGAATTTCTGGGTTCTTCCGTGTAGCCACATACCACAGGGCACGGAGCATATCGAAACCGCTCTTCGAGTATGGGGCTTTTTCTTTCGTTCCCAGCGGGTGTGGGTCGGCCGTATTCGTAGGTACAGCAGTTTCTTGTGGTAAATTTTGGTAGTTCGGCTCTACTTGTGAGTTCAGATAGGGGGTTCTCGAATGAGAGGGTCGTCGTGATGCGACGGAGTTGCCAGAGTTACGATCGACAAACGCGTTTCCACGAATCGCGAGAATCTGGTCACCTTTAGAGGTAGAGGATTGGGACGAAGCGACGGTGTCAATCGACGTAGGTTCTGTGAATCGTTGTGTTTGCGAATTGACCGCTTCCGCGCCTCCTACCAGACCACTCTCAGGATCCATCTCCATTAGGGGTAAACCGTTGGCTCCCGCTCTAAGGCCAAAGTCACAATCAGGAGGAGCTATGTGGTTCCGTGAAAAGGGTGTTATACGGGATTGTTCTATCAAGCCCAAACCGTGATGCTCCGAAACAAGGGGGTTGTTCACTCTCATATTTGCAAAGCTATCCGGCATCATGTTGCTCATCAAGTCGGCAGAGATCGATTGCAGAGCATTCCGTGGCGGGTCAAAGGCATTGCGGGACTGTCCGGGGCCGGGGTTCGAATCAGGAAATTCGGGCTGGAGTGGACTGCGTGAGAGTTGGAAAGGCTGGGGGCTGTCACGCGAGGTTCCAAACTCCATCATCGACAGCCTTCGGCTGTCACCATCACTCGACGCAGATTGAGTGGCACCAAAGGGGGCCGGATAGCTGCTTCGCCGACGCTGAACTTCTCTCCGTGCCTCCTGTTCGCAGGTGGTGTGAATAGCATCATCGAACGTAACCCCGTCAGCTAATTGAGAGTCATGGCTAGGTGAAAGGCCCAATGCGGGTGCCGTAGATTTAGTCGTTACCTCAGCACCAAGGCTTTTGGTCTCCCGGCCAACTGCAGTCCGAGTCCCATAGAAACCTTCCATGACCACGCTACCACATTCGCGGAGGAGCGGCGAAGGCAATTTACTCTCTCCTTAATGGCCGGGATTTCTTAGCCACCTCTTCTCACACCAGGGCCTCCGAAGCTCTGTGCTGGCAAATTGCTGCCTCCAAGGAAACGGCCAAGAGGGTATTATACGTAACCCGCAAGGCCAGCGACCAGGAATATCGATAAGCGCACAACTTGATCTAGGAAATACCTAGCCAAAAGTTCATGCGTCGCACGAAATGGAGCAAGTTGCACGTTAGGTAGGCATGGTTATTCGGCGGCCTTGGCGCATGGTAATATTAGTCCCTCACTATATAGAGGAAGCCATGGACCAACAGAAAAGGGCGGCAGCGTCTGCGTCCTAGGTTTAGAGTGGGGAGGAGGTGCCGCTCCTCAACGATGCGATTAGTGACGAGAAAAATCCTCCCCAAAAAGTCGAAAATATCAGAGAGGTATGGCCGGATCACCGGAGTTGACCTGTGTTTGGGCACGGCTGGTTTGTTGTGGCTGGTCGCTGGTCAAACGGTTTGTAGTTGGAACTAAGAGTGGCGGGCGAGGGATGCTTGCAAATCTTGGGGTTCAAAAATCTAGGGAGCGGGACTAGTATCTTCCGCTCCGGCATGTTGGGAGTCCACCCTTCACTTATGCGAAGATTCTCTCAATTCCATGTTTATGCAATAACATAAATAGGACAATTAATCAAGGTTTACACAGTTACCCGCCAGCCAGTCAATCATGTTGGAGACTGGTCCTTTTCCTCAAATTTACTTCTCAATATTAATTCAACCTCATTTACCAACTTGATTGGTAGTAGCCGAAGGCAAGCAAGGACCTGGCTCAGTGAACTGGTCAATGTTTAACTTGCCTTGTTGGCGTGACTCCCAAGGCCATGGATATTGCACTATGAGGCAACCACAAACATCTTTACCTCGGTACACAATCCCTTATTCAAGAGATACCAAAAGCACTGCCTATTGCATTGCTATCAATAGAAACACTACGTTTATATTCTCGAAAGCACAGTGATAAGTTGCACTAATTTTGTTTCTTTCTCGTTTTTAAAGAGCCTCTGGAACTGGACTAAGCAAAGAAGCTCGCAATAACACCCTGGGCCTCTGGTGAGAACTGTTGGAGAAGAGGTGTGGGGTCCAAATTGGCTGTCTGGAGTAGAGTCTTTGTCGCGGCCACTACACGGCTAGCCGTTTGACCACGAAGGGTCTCTGCCTCGAGTCCTTGCGCGATAAACGTGAAGGCTTTGCTGGCCTGGCTAATCACGGCTGGGTGTTGCCTGTTATCGAGGTCCTGTTGTCAGCTCTGATACGTGGAAGCCAAACGGCAGGCGTCATCAACGGGAGACGATCCGAGGAGGATCTCGAAAATTAGGCAGGGTCGAAACTTACTGATTGATAAGTTCAGCGAGATAGGCATATGCATAGGGCGCGGCTTCCTCATCATTAGTCACCGGCAGAGTATCTACCCACTGCGCTATAACGCCCTGGACGTCCGAGACATGGCCGGGATTGTAGTGAAGAATCTTTGCAATAGCCGCGCAGGCATTTTCGGTGGCGTAAACATTATCCTCGCTGCGCGGATCGGGTACCTGGGTGACCTGGAATAAGCACGGAATCGCCCCGCCCAGGAATTGTGACCAGGGTGATCCGCCTCTGTGTGCTGCTACACCGATTCCATATGCAGCCGCCTGCCTGATGGCGGGCGAGGCGTCCTGGCATCCATTAACTAGTGGCTGAGTAATGAAGTTGGCGTAACGACTGCTCTCGGGTCCGCAGTATTCTAAGACGTCATCCATGATGCAGAGACCCCATTGCCGTTGGGTAGGGTCTTGAGAGACGAGGAAACTCTCGTAAGTTGCCAAAAGTCTTTCCCAGCTTGGGAGGAAGGAAGCTCCGTGATGCTTGAAGATCGAGTGAAATGCCTTATTCATGTCTGAGAGAAGCGTCTGGTCGTCTTCAATGGCGAGGAGGGTCTCTTGCGCCTCGTCCTCGACATCGTCGGCAGTAGCGCCTTCGTTTTCTTCCGCCCGTTGGGCCACGCGATCTTTATAATCCTCGATGGCCGAGTGTACGCCATCAATGAACTTGGCCATGTGCGTCTCGGTCAGGCAACCATTACCCATCACCTCCACCGACTCGTAGAAGCACTGGTACATTTCGGCCAGCGTGTCAATGGCTGGCTCGGCGGTTAGAACCTCAAGAAGCTTGTCAACCGTCCCGAGCCATAGACCGGTAAGTTCGTTGGATGGGTTTCCGTAGGCCTTTTTATACGAGTTCAGGAGCTGTGGGACGAGCTTGGCCGAGATGTACCGCACAGGATCGTGGAAGAAGAACGCGAGGCCAGGAATCGCAATCTTTTCCATCACCTCCGCCACATAGGGCGCAAAATTGCCCTCCAGTACCTGTGCGTAAACAACGAGCAGCTCAATTGCCATGCGTTTATCATCCATCGTGCTTGTGCGGATACCGATCATTTTTCCCTTTATGGGAACAAGCTCCCATCCCTCTTCCTGTTGGATATGTTCTATGTGATCCTCTTCCTCGAGAAGTTGGATATCCGCTTTGGCACTGGCTTGCTCCAAGAGCGGTGGCATGACAGTTGGCAAAAATGGAAGGAACTCGCTGCCGAGGACTCTACACATGCGACCCCAGCAGTGCATTAGATATTGGGTCTGCGGGTCATCCGCATCCGTAATATTTGCCTGGATGGTTCCCAAGAGCTCCACGAGGGTCATGGCATCTTGTCCGAGTCGCTCTCGTCCCACAGCAAGGGCAATCAGTGTCGCGCACTCCATAGCCTTTGCACGGAGTCGTCGAAATTCTTTGTTGTTCTCCGTCCTCAAAACGTTGACGAGAAGAGGCATCAGCGTGTCGTAATACTTCGCGAAGGCAGCTTCCGCGGCATCAGCGATCGTGGCGATGGTTGATAGCGCCTGCTCCTGGACGTAGCGCTTTTCATTCTGAAGCAACTGGAACAGATGCGACAGCAACTCGTCCAGGTACGGCTCTAGTATCTCCTTCTCTGCCTCCTCGCAGAAGTTGACTAGCGCTGCAGCCGCATGAGACTTGACTCGCGGTTCAGGCGAATCCAAAACCGGGATTATCGCCTTTAACACACGGTCGTAAAAGTCTGTTTGCATCTTGGGAGCAAAGTCGGTACTCATTTGGCCAAGAGCATTGCATCCCGCCCAGCGAACACGAGGATGCGGATCTTTGAGCGCCGGAATGACTAGATCAAGGACTTGGCTTAGCTCTCCAATCATATGATCTCTGCATCCTTCCGAGATGGCAGAAATGGCCATCAAGGCGGCGTGACGATCCCTCCAGGCCATGGACGTCATCATCCGAGGAAGCCAGTTAAACGTGGGTGGCAGAATAGTTTGTCCGCCCAGTTTGTTGGCGAGCCTGTCCATGCACTGCTCTCCGGCGACGTGGTTCTGGTCGCTCTCCTCCTGGTCAAGCTGCAGAATATCCCCGTTAGTTCTACGGGGATAGAACAAGAGGAAAACGTAGTACCACGGAAAGGGAAAGGGGGACTCACATCATCGGATGCTAGCCATTCAGCGGCATCATCGTCATCTTCGCCCAAATCCGTCATCAAGCTTAGACACTGAGTAATCATATCTTCTGTATAGGACGGATCTTTTCGGCACATTGACGGCGCATAGTCAGCAAACGTGGCCATCAGCTCAAGAGCGTTCTGGCGACACAGATTATCCAGCTCTTTATCGGAGATGACGCTAATGCTAAAAACCACAAGGTTGTGGAATAGTGGCTTGAACATCTTGGGTGATGTTTCGGCAAGATCAATAAGAGCGACAAGGGCCTTGCTCAGATCGTCCGAGTCATGCGACTCCTTGATAGGAGGTAGAATATTAAGCACCTCCGGAAGGAGAGGATAGTACTTCGGCTGAGCCTTCCTGCCCAAGCCCCTGAAGAAGGAAGCAAAGGCTTCCATGGCAGCAAGCCGAACCTGGACGTGGGTGCTCGTTAATACAGTATCATATGCGCGGTAGTGGTCTTTTCAAGGTGGCCCTGCTACTCACCGCCACGGAATCATCTTTGAACCCCTTGTTGAAGGATTGGAGCACCGCCTCTTCGTGTTGTTTTTCAATGATATCGGGAGTAGTGGCGAATACTCGGAATGCAGTCTCGCGTTTATCGGGCTCCGCAGCCAGATTCAACTGGAATAGGGCTCCAAGTAGCTCCGGCCAAGACAAATCTAGAGAGGGGGTAGGCGACACGTTAGTTTTCACAACGCACACAAATCAGCCACGGAGGAGTATGTGCTGCCCAATACAAGTGGGAAGACGAACCGCTCTCTGTGTATTGCCTAGCAACCTCGGCGACAGCATCGCTAATTTTATTTCTGACACCACGTTCCGTCTCAGAGGTGAGGATCTCGAGGAGCTTTTGGCGAATGACGGCCGCCTGCTCTTGTGGTAGAGACACGAATATATCGACCGTTTCCCCCTTCTCGTTCTTCCGCGATTTCGAGGCTATGCGGCGGAAGATGACGGCCGCAAAGGAACGTGTCTTAAGATAAACCGTTGGTTAGCTCGGCGTTCGTCTCTCCCGCGAGAATGTAACAAGAGCGGAAACGTACGGAAATATCAGGCGTGTTTTGAATCTGTTCGGCAAGACCCATGAGGAGGAGCTCAGGGCGATTAAGAGTCCAGTGGTTCTGGAGGTGCTCCTCGGCCTGGGAGCGTATTGAGTTGTCTGGAGATTGCAGTGCCTGGAGCAGCTGCGTCAGCTCCGCATGCACGTCAGCGGGTAGCATCGACATGGTGTCTTTCTAGAATGAAGTCGAGGAAGGAAAATACGAAGGCCGCCGTCGTAGCGGCACCACAGAGTATTGCCGATGGCTCGGGTTTCGTCTTCCAGGAACTTGTCGAATCGGGGCCCAAATTCAAGGCGGGCTGTTGGAGGCCGAAGACTTCCACGAAAACAGGACGAGCCCGAAGGAGGACCTGAGGGGTGCAGTGAGGCGGTAAAAAGGCAGATCTGCAAAAGGGAGGCGGGATTATTAGTCTATATGGACCACTACTTGACTCTTTACTCGGAGCATATAGGGATACTCTAAGCAAGTTGGCAAATGTCGTGGCTCGTAGCAGGAGTGGTTCTTCTACTTCGTGGTGCAAATCGCAAATCGCGGGGAGAGGAGAGATTCTTGGCGGGGTTGACTTTTTTTTTTCGCTGCCTCTAACAATTTTCAGTGTGTACAGCTTTATACTGTATTCTAGGTTTGGCAGGCGGGGGTGTTGCGTGTTCGTGTTTGGACGGCAACAACAACAACAAAAGAATCAATTTTGCTCTAACATTTAATAAGCCATCGAATCGATTAATGATGGAACAATATGAATTGTCTACAAGTGTCTACAAGTACACCAGGCCAAGCAATAAAGTACTCGATCAAGCAAGATTGAGGGCCAGATGTTAATGGAAATTTCAGGACTGTGCCCTCTTTCTCGTTTGAAATAGCAAATACCGCCCTTGCAGCATGGCACTTGGTTGCGCGAACCATTTCCACTTTCCAATATCGCGTTCGGACTTTATATTGACCCTTCACCCGCGAAGTAGGCGTACGAAGTAGACAGTAGGAGGAACATTGTTTCTCAATTAAGGGCAGCGCCTAGTATGGTCGGGAGAGTCATCAATAAATAAAATAAATAAAAATAAAATAGCAAATTAAAAAAAAAAAAAAAAAAAAAAAAAAGAAAGAAACGAAACAAAATAAAAATAACATAATTAGGATTTTTAATTATTATTATTGTTTTGGGAGAGGGGGCCGGCGTCCACAGTACCTCAGTTCGAAGGTTTCATCTCTGGGATCGCTCCGGGCATCATCAAGTTTCTGAGGGATGACCTCGTTCCGTGTTCGCGAAGCATCAAGGTGTGTGTTGACTTCAGTGAGTATGAATTGACACTGTGTTGGACCGTTGTCCCCTCCAATGTCTGATCTGATCTGCCCCGCACCACAATTGACTGCATTGTATGGCGTGCCGCCGCCCGCCACCAAGAAGTCCAGGAATTGCAAATGATTAATCTCGTCCAGCACTCGCCCCTTCGTCTACTCAGCACAACCCAAACTTGAACGAATTACACGGAGATTCGTTTCCACATAAGCTCTTCGGCGCAGAAACTCTCCATTCCACATCGTCTTGCCTTTAAATCGCGGGAACCTCTGAGACCTCAGAACGAGATGGAGCCCGTACCTCCCTCAAGTGGCGAACGGCGAGCTCGGCGTGAGCCGAGCACTTCAAGCCTTGCCAGCGTCGCTTCGTCTCATGCCTCAACAGTAAATCCCCCTTCCTTTCCACCGCGTCATAGTAATCTGGCACTTACAACCTCGTCTACAGAACCTGACATCATCACACCGACAATCGTTTGTGGATAGCCTCAGGAATGTGCCGCCTTCCCCCCGCGGCCAGCGTCACCCTTCTTTCACGGGAATTCCACCAGCCGTAATTCAAGACCTCCTCAGCATACCGCTATCGCGCAAAGCGGCCGACCCTCGGTTCGCCGGTCGAGATTGGCGGGATATATTAGTTGGAGAGTTAGTATCATCGAGCGATGTCAGATGGGTGACTGCAGATACGAGCGTTGAGGATGCCACGAAGGTAGGTTTGGGCGCCTAGCCGAGATTCATACCAAAAAGGGTGGCCGCATTCTCTAACTCTTCCTCCGGATACATCCTACAGACCCTCATTAAGGACAACCCCGAAAACGTTGTCCTCGTGCGTGGAAGCGAGGCCAACCAACTCGAGCCCACCATCTCAACCTTCGATTTCAACGATCTGAACGCCTACCTCTTGGTTGTTGTTGGACTGGCGAAACCAGACGAAGATAGCATCGCCCTGTACGATCGAATCGCCTCTATGGCGCGTGAGGGAGCCATTATCCCCCTACGCGACATTCAGCCCATCTGTCGCAAGCAGTCGCTAATGACCCTGTCCTCCACTGACAAGCTTGGACGTGCCATTGAGATTCTCGGAAGCGGCGTTCATCGAGTCCTAGTCTCGGATAGCTCTGGATCCATTGTTGGCATCCTCAGCCAACTAAAGCTAACTGAATTTTTCTGGTCGGAAGGAGCTCATTTCCCAACCATCGATAGATTATACACGACCAATATTCGTGAGTTGGGGATTGCATCCAAACAGGTTCTCGCGGTCAAGTAAGTGCAAAACGTCCTCTTATCCATCGCCTCGGCGGACCATGCTAATATACGGCTCGCAGCTCGGACAATGCGTTGGCAGATGCCCTCACTCTGATGTACAATGAGGGCCTGACCAGCGTTGCTGTTGTCGACAATGGCTATAACGTGGTGGGCAACATATCAACAGTCGATGTGAGGCTCCTCACGAGCGCGGCCCGTGCCCCCCTTCTTCAATCATCATGCATGCACTTTATCTCCGTTATTCTCAATGAGCGCGGGGTAGAGAAAGGGCGGGATGCCTTCCCTGTATTCCATGTCAATCCCTACTCATCATTGGCGCATACTGTTGCGAAGTTGGTCGCTACCCGGTCTCATCGGATGTGGGTAGTTGAGGGATCATCATCGCCTTCCCCGGCCACTTTAGCGACCCCATCGCAGACGGCCGCCGTTTTGGTGCCTAACACCGGCTCCGCTCCCCAATCTCCAGCCCCTGGCGCCAGTTTTGGTTCGATCCCCGCCTCCGCCTTGCCTGGAGCCCATCTCTCTGGTCGTCTCTCTGGCGTAGTGTCGTTGACCGACATTCTCAATCTATTTGCCAAATCCACAGGACTAAATCCATCGGATCCTTCCGAACAACGTGCCAGGAGACGCAGAAGCTCGAGCAGTTCTGTGCGGCCCAGTATCGATTCTAGCCGGCCGAGCATTGATATTCGTCGATGATCCCGAGAGTGGCGTGCATGTCCATTATTTGTAGTTTCGATAAGCTAGCGCTTTAGGACGATTGTTCAGTTACGGTCAGATATGTTGGGGGAGCAGGTAGGCACGGTGGGAAGACCTTTCCTTGCGATCTTGCAGATTCGAGACTCGACACCGGTCGCCCGAGCTTAGCACCTGGCCGTTACAGATAGTGCTAGCCGCTCTAAGACGACGCGGGGATTGTTTTGGTTCACCACTCGCCCGATTTCTGTGATACTACTTGGTGAATATGTGGCAAAAACTATGCGCCACACGCGTCTCGTCCATTTAACAGCACTTCGCCATTCCTCCGTCCATCCATTTGCCGTGCCCTTCCATATTCACAACACTCTTCCCGCCGTGGCGACTCTTCCCCCGTACATTAGAGAACAGACTGGTGATCTCTTCCTTCCGTAGCCCTTTGGTTACGATTCTAGATCGATCCTCGATGGTGTGGCCTCCCGGCTAACGAGAAGATAAAAGGCTTTTTTGAGACTCCATCCAAATTCAAGCCGTCTCCCTTCCAGCTAAACATGAGCGTCAATATGCAGTTGGTAAAGTCGGGGTATCGATTAAATATCATTGATCATCACCTGGAAGAATACCCTCTCCGATATGCTGTCCCCCTACTTAAGCAGGGCATCGAACGACGCCTGTGGCATTTCGGAAATGTAGGGGCATTATTGAGAGGTCTTGGTGGGGAATGACTTGTTCATTCCCAAGCCCGGGGCATGTGAAGAAGAATCTCCGTTCGAGGCCTTGGTATGAAACAGCGTTGAGCCCTGGCGGATGGTGTGGATTAGAAGAGCCACTGAGTCTGGTTTAAAATCAGGGGCCTCTCGGAGCTTGTTCAAATCATCAGCCAGCTCCTTGGTAGCCAGCTGTAAGTAATATGACGAGGGTTCATCAATAGAGGGTGCCATTCTCGCGGATTGTTGCACGTTTCGAGCCCTCCCCTCACGATCTCAAGAAGCTGGACAAACAATGTAAAGAGAACTTGAAAGGTTGGTCAAGGATGGCGCCTGAGCAAAAACGACCACAATATGGACTTGGACTTGGGATGTTGGAGTGGAAGATGACAAAGCCATGCCCTTCAGATTGTCCAATGAGAGAGGAGCGAGATCTGTGGTTTCTCCCTCGCAGAGTCGCACCTCATCCTCCCACGAAGGACAGCATCAGGTATTTTCAATAAGAATCAGAATAATGATAATACTAATAATAAATAACAATCACAATAATTAGTGGGATTCAGTCTTCGGAAGTGAAATTTAAAATAACCATAAGAATAAAAACGCAAAATGGTTTCATTGAAATTCTGAAATCTCTAACAAAAACTATTAATTGTGGGTATCGAAAAGTAAACGTGACGCGAGTTATTAGGTCCTCCATAAAGTGGCCTCAACAAGAATATTTCCTTCTGCCACCGCTTTGAGCCAGTCTTCTGGATCGACACACCCCCGACCGTATTAATACTAATCCCATCCTTCCATGGTATCTGCCCTTTGTCTACGAAGTACTGCTGTGGCAATCGTTGCATTCAGGCCCGTGCTTCTGTTACAACTCTCCGAGGGTGGGCAATCCGAGAGGCCTCTCGACGCACCGCCCAACCTTTGAGGGCAAGGAGGAAGAGCACCCAAGCCATCAAGAGGCCGACCAGACCCATGGTGACGGTGTACATGAACATGGCGTCAAGGTCATAGTTCTCCATACCGCGAACTGTATCGCTACTCTGTAAACAAAGTTCATATCAGTACTGGGGGCACATATCACGGCTCGGGACGCTCTCTCGACCTACACTCGCCATGAAGATTATACCCCCGGAAATAAGACCAAACGAAGCCAGCAATTCTGTGGGTGGTCGCGATGGTAGGACAGACTTGGGTGGCTTGAGGTACATGATCACGTACGTCAACCCACGCGCAAACGATGCGCCTGCCAGCAAATTTCCCCATTGCTTGTGAACCATGCTGGATATCATGGATTCTTGAGTGTGAGAACTCATCATAATGCCCAGCAAAAGGATGACCAGGGCCGGGATGGGGTTCAAGGAGACCCGATAGTGGTCCGGTGAGGTTAGCTGGTTATGCTTCCCCTCACCATCATAGGCACCTTCGACGTCAATCTCATCGACCTCCGAAACCGATGTGTTGAGGAGCTCCCTTATCTTGGTAGACTCGATAAGCATGCCACACTATTGCCAGCCGAAAGAAGAATAAGAAGAAAAAGACAGTTAGTCTATGCTTGTTTTACGGAGTCGAGAAATGGGCCTAGATTCAGGCACCGACTGAAACTTACCAGACCCCCGCCGATGAAGAGGACCGTAATTGAGATGTGTTCAAGGTCCTGCGCTGACCATTCGCCGCCCCATCCGCCAAGGTGTTCGAGGAAGATGTTTGTCGAACCATAGAAGAAAATAAGAAAGCTCTCGACAAATTCTGCGGAAGGCCGCCACTTCTGGCCGAATTTTTGTCGACGGATGTTCCAAGCCTAGAAGCCGACGGCGGTGTTAGCTGGCCATGGCCATGATGTATGGAGGCTGGAGTGTTCCTTACCCAACCAAGCTCGCCGAAACAACCAGACCACCTGCCCAGGGTGAAAATGCCGAGCCAGAAAAAAACGCCACCCTTTATCCAATGGGCTAGGCCGCTAAAGATGGCAGATCCCTCCTTTACCCACGCATTAGCGGAGAAGAACATTACCTCGAGCGACCGGGGGTTGGGGGGGTGGGGGGTTAACATACGAAGAAGCGACCAAAGGTCACAATGCCAGTGCATAGCGCCACAAAGCCAAACGGCAGAACTATCCTGTCAACGATATTATACCAGAGTCGCATAATCGCCACGCCGTGACTTAGAGATCGAATAGGGAGCTTTGAAGAAGACCAGTGCCAGCGACTGGGGGTTGGCTGCTGACGCAGCAACTCATCGTCGAATGCAACATCCTCAAGGTTTCGTCTGTTCTCAGTCGACCCTACGGTGGCGTGGTCTTCAATCGTGGAGATGGAATTGCTTCGCAGGGATTCACTTGCTCGATCGGTTCCATGGCCGCTATCATAGGACGTCCGGTTAGGTCGCTGAAATGAAGGATCGTTACCATCCAAGGCCTGGTCAGTATCTAAGGTGGATCTTGTGACGGGGATGAAGCTTCTCAGCTCCTGGTATGAGGGAGAAGACGCCCTGCTGGCCCACACGGCACCGGCCGCCCGATTGAACAGGCTCAGCAGTACATGAGCGGTCACAACAACCGTAGCAATCCAGCCAATTTTGTGGTGAGCGTTGTTTGGATACAGATCCGGGGTGCTAGCATTATACGCAATGCCCACGGTCAGCCCGAGGAAATGAATAGCTAAGAAGACGAGCTGGGCTATTAAGGTATATCTCGATCGGGCGAGAGAGAGCATTACAGCTGGAAACACCACGTGTCAGTCTTTATGTGAATCCAACGGGGTCGATAAGCTCTCCTCCTAAGAGCGGACGTCACGGGGGCCTGAGCATATTTACCTGTCGGCAGCACAATGACCCAACTCAAGGTCATTAAAGTTATATGGCAATAGATGGAAAACCGGTGCTCTGGGTGGGCAAAGTAGTTGGGCAGAGAATCAGTGAGATTGGAGCCCACGCCGGGCGCCTGGGGCATGGACATGCCTCCTCCATGGTGATCGGTGCCGTGTGCGACGGCGAGGCTGGTTACGCCGAGCAATAAGAGCAACTTTGACAGTCCCATTTGCGAATGGGCAGTGGACTGCGACGGACTCTGTCCCAGTTTTATCCCGCCTTTTTCTTTTATGGAAAGAAGGAAAAGAAAATGAAAGAAAAGAGGGGTGGAAACAGGGAAAGATTCGATCCCACTAGGATGTAAGAAACTTGGAGGAAGTCAGGTTGCAACTATCTGAGTATAGTTTTCTTCTTTCTTTTTTTTTTCCTCCTTTTTTTTTTTCTCTTTTTTTCTTTCTTTTACCCGCGAACAACCCCGCCTGGATAAGGCGAGCTGGAGTCGAGTGTGCGTACGGGTTCACTGAGACTGAAAGGATCTGAAAGGTGACCGACCGGGAGAGGCTCGAACCTAAAGATTGGATTGGAGGGTTGGTTCTCAGACGAGAGTTGCCGATTCGACTTCTCAGTTGGGTCGGGGAGTCACCGAGTCACCAAGTCACCAAATCACCAGAGAGACGACCTACAGCTTACAAAAGTATATAGGGAGGCGGAATAAAGATTGCTCAAGGAATTATGTATTTATAGGCGGGGAGGGGGGTTGATGTCGAAGAGCTAGTTCGGCCCCGGTGGATCTTAGAAATCAGATTTTCGGCTGGATCGAGAACGGCAAAGCACCATAGGAAATGAAGTTACCGAGGAGTGGTGCTCCATTGGCCTGCCTGGTTTTACTCGAGGCGAATCTTGCAGGATGGTTGGGTTGGGGAACTGCATCTTCCGAAGCTTCCGAATTCTGTGTGCGAGTTGACCGTGATGGAATCAAACAAAAAGTAAGAGCTTGGCACGCACGTCAGTGACCACTCGGAAATGGATGAGCCCATACACCTCCACTCCAGCGTACATAATGGAATGTACCCAAAGTATGTACGAGTATCGGGTGTGGTAAGTACGGAGTTACGAAGTAGAGCAAAGCATGTCCCTTTGGACGCTGTCTCAGATGGATGCGCAGTCCTGACGTTGGCGCTCAAGAAAAGGCGTAAGATTACTCTGCACGTTTTTTTCGCCCCTCTCCGTGTTGGACGTCCCCGGCCCCGCCACGGAGAATCGACGGAATTCGCACGGGAACAAAGCAAAGAAAAGGTTCTCGAGCTTTCGACGTCAGGACAAGCAGAGGATCAGATGTTGTGTTTGTAGACTGTGACTGGATCAATTCGAGGTAGCATTGCAAGTACCGTGCGCTAGCGTGAGCAGCCGATTCTCCCGTTGGAAGTGGGGCAGCCTGCACCAGCAACCACAAATGCAGCTTGCAATTTTGGCGTGAGCACTTTCACTGATCAACGAGCAACGAGCAACGGGGAAGCGAGGCTCAAGATCGACAGGATATATCAAATGATGTATATATTACAGGCGGTGTACGAAGTACTTCGTCCACCAAGTAGGCGGTACATCAGGCACATCCTCACCTCCTTCGTAGTGTAACATCACAGCTAAGAGCGAAGTGACATTGAAATACCTCAGTACTGAGTACGTGCTCTGCGCCGTCTGCGGTCCGGCGTACGAAGTACTTCGTACTGATACCACATGTCCAGAACGCAGGGTTCAGGTGAAATTTGGTCTGACTGGGCAGACACGGACTTTACGGAGCAGGCCCGGCAGCAATGGAGGGGCAACCTTCCGCAACTCCCGCCCACATCACTTCTAGTTCTCGCAAGCCCCAAGGACGACCAACTGCTACGAAGTATGTGTTTGTGTTGGTCATCCAGCTGAGGGGAACATAATCTTAGCTGTCACCGGTGGTTTGGTTTATACTGGCACCAACAGTCCAACACTCGCTTATGACGTTGAAGAATGGGCGCCACCAGCAATGTCAGTAGTTTAAATGTTCGGATCCGATCATCACCATCGGTTCTGTCAGTTCTTGGTTTATCCGTGCCCCACACCAAAACTAATTTGACGATTGCGTTCTTTTACCCCACGCAAGAACAAAGAGGGAAAAAAAATTATATATATATATATAATAGGATATACCCATACGGAGGTGATTGTGAGCGGTAAAGAGAAGTCAAATAAATAAATAAATAATAGAATAAAAAATAAAATAAAAAATAAACAAAATAAAACCTCAAGGGAGGCACAAATACAAAATTCGCTCCAGAAATTCTTCTAGTTCCCCGACGAGCCAAGAACAACCCATCCTCTTTCCTTTCCTTGGTGCGTGCAATGCTACAGTCTCCACTTGTTCTGATCGCGGAAGACTCGGCTCTCTTGCTCCAGCTTCGCCAATATTTGCAGCACACCGTGGCTAGCTGGCAGATGGAGCTCGGCTGGCACATCACTATATATTACTTGCACAAGTTCCTTGACGGACCAGGTCCCCAACTTCCCGGTCTCTGCTCTCGGCGAAGTCAGCAACCCCACGACCTGTGCCTCGCGGTCTTTGCGGTGTTGAAGGTACTCGACAATCTTCGCCGGACCATTATCCAGCACCGGGCCGTGGCCTGGGTACGCCCGCCCTTTGAATAGCCCCTTCATACGTTCCAAGCTAGCGAGGTAGCTGGATAAGTCTTCGAATACCGCGGTGCCATGGCCGAGCACGTTGTCCCCCGTGAACAGCGCGTCTTCTTCCTCGAAGACAAATGTCATGTGGTCTCGCGTATGCCCTGGTGTGTGGTAAGCCACCAGGTTCGCGCCCTCGACCGCGAATCGCTGGCCGTCGGTGATGGCGATCTGGTCCGCTTCCGGATCATTCTTGTATATTTTGGCACCCGGACATAGCTCCAGGACGTGCGGAATGCCCTTGGTGTGGTCATGGTGCCAATGCGTAATTAACACCGTCCCCACGGACGCGTTTTCTTTGGTCAACGTCTGCTGCAGTGCTTCCTTCCATGAATTCCGACCTTCGCCCGTGTCGATGAGCATGCGTTGTCTCCCAGTGCCCAAAAGATAGGTGTTTGTTCCCTGGAGCGTGAACTTCCCAGGGTTGCCGCCAAGGATGCGAATGCAAGCGGAGCTGAGGCGCTCAACCTCACGAAGTGGTGTCGGTTGGAATGCCATGACCGGCGAGGAATTCCAGCGGCGCGGGATTGCAGGAAACTAGTTGATCGGGAGGCCAGGCAAGGGAGAGCTTTCAATTAGCAGACGCCCACGGGTCACCCGCCGGATCTTGACGCGCCTAGAGTGCCGCCCCCAAGTACCTTTGCTTGGATTTGATATTTCCCTAGACTTGCGGTTTGAGGCTGAATCGGCCTAGGAATCAATCGCGCGGTTCCTGAAGGTGCAAGCGGCGAACCTTTTTGTAGATATTTCCGTGCCAGACTACCGGATTTAAGCCGAGGTGCTTCAATCCGCGTCCCCCATTCCATGCTGCTAGTGTCATGAGGGGTTGCAATAACGTCAGAACCCCGCTGCCACTGTGATACCTCGTCTTGGGGATCTCAGCCAGGACTTATCTCTTGTGAGTATATCAACTTGTTGGTGCAAATTCATTAACCTGTTGCACATACTCGTGGCATTGGACTTTTGCAACCCGGAGCCTGGCAGCTTGAAGAGTAAACTAAAACTTGGCGGATGGCAAAATGGAACATTCCCATCTTGCACACACGATTCCTTGTTGCCACTCCAGCCCTCGTCCAGGTCTGATTTCAGCATTAATTGATACTTCGTAAACTGGCGAGGCAATGATGTGCAATGTATTACGACACGGGTATTTAAGCCCCTTTTTTTTTTTTTTTTTTTTTTTTTTTTTTTTTCTTTTTTCTTTTAACTTTTTTCCTTTTTTTTTATATTTTTTTTTTTATACTTTTATATATATATATATATATATATTTTAAATTTTTTTACTTTATTATTTTTATTTTTATTTTTATTTATTTATTTATTTTTTTTCCCATATGTACCAGAAGCAGGAGAGAGTTTTCTTAGAACTCTATTATCTACTCTTTTGTAAAACTTATAAACTAAGTTTATTCTTGATAAGTGGGCATTTGATCTCTTGCAATGGATGTGAGACCAATTACCTTCTCTGTTATAAAACTTCATATTTCGTATTGGCGAGATGGCGATCTGTGTACCTGTGTAGGTGTAGTGCTAAGTCAATTCAATCCAATGCTGTTATCAATAATTACGGGTTAACTGAATTTCAATCTATGACGTGCACCCTCATGCTTTTAGCATTGACATGGCTGCATCAAGAGCATATGTAATTACTGGGTTGGATCAATTGGTTATTTGATTTCCAATCCAACACTTCAAATGTGCACTAAGCACCATCTTCCCCACGATAAAGATCCAATGCAGCAAATGCACTTGCTTTTGATAGCACAAGTGGAAGAGCTTTGGTATTCTTTCTAGAATTATTATTCACACTTCAGGCATTGGCAGACCTCACAAACTTCCCACAGCTTCCCCTTACTCGCCCCTTGGAGAAAGGCAGCTAGCGTCCCAACCTGACAGCTCCGTCTTGGTTCAAGCCATTATTGGGCTCTTTTGAGAGTCGGCTACGAGCAACCATCACTTCCCAAAACCCGTGTACTTCCCGTTTCCCAGTTTCTCAGACTTCCTCCGAAGGTCGACACCATGGCCACTCCTGCCTCGCCGCCCAAGACGGCCAAGATCAACTCACCGACAGCTGGAAAACCCATGTTCGGTTGCGGTTTGTCAATTCCCAGGATGCCCTAAAAACTCGATAGACATTGGTGTAATGTGGCTGATTCGCATTTATCAGAACATCTCGGACGCCTCCTGACATCCAGCCAAGATAACCTCAACCAGAGCTTCGGCCATTATAGGCTTATGCTTCGCAAAATTTTCGACAGCCCGACAGGACCGCTGCAAGCAACCAAGGATACTAACGGAAGCGCCTCCTATACACTCACCTCCAATTATCTCTGCCTGCAGTGCCCTACAATAGTGACAGAGGAAGATCGAATCAAACACGGTACTAAGAAGGCTCATCGGTTCTGTATGTGGTCCCCATGTGTGGTCGTTTTCACCACCAGCTTCGTCAACTAATAAGCACACTCGTAGATGTCGACTCTCGAACGGGCTATCTCTATTGCCAGATGTGCGACGACTTGATTTGGGATCCCACTTTCGAGGAGCTCAGAATCCGGAAAATGGGGACGGCCTCGTTTTGGAGTAAGTGACCCTTGTCCATCTTAAGGTGAAGAGGCGGGATGGGGAGGCCCGCTCGATGTTGCTCCCAAAACACCGTTCTAACCGCGCTCGTAGGCAAGCGAGATCGAAAACGGAAATATGAAGAGCCTGCTGATCCCGTCAAGGATGATCCAAAGTACATCACCTCCAACACAACCACCCCCTCATGTCGGGCCAACGGCCTTCGGGGAATCTACAATGCCGGCGCAACTTGCTACCAGAATGTTATCCTACAATGCTTCCTTCATAATCCCCTCCTTAGGAATTTTTACCTGAGAGACGGGCATACTAACTGCAATGTACCGCATTGTCTAAGTTGCGCCATGGATGATATATTCCAAGACTTCTACGCCGTGGAAAGCACCAACGGATACACCGCGGCAAACATACTTTCGGGTTTTTGGATTTCCGACAAGAAGGCGTTCGAAAACCTTGTAACGACCAAGGAGCAGGACGCTCATGAGTTCTTTCAGTTCCTCGCGGAGGAGCTTCACGAACGCAACGGCGACGGAAAGAGGCCCGAAGTTGGAAGCGAACACAGCTGCAACTGCGTCATTCACCAAATCTTCTATGGCAAGATGCTCACCACAACTACTTGCCAGAAGTGCAACACCTCAACCGACGCTGTGCAATCCTTTCTAGACCTTAGCCTTGGACTGGAATCATTGTCGCAAAAGCGGAAGAAAGGAGACCCCAAACCCCTAACGCTTCGCGAATGTCTCGACGCTGAATACATTAAATCCGACAAGTGTGAATATCGCTGTCAAGAATGCAGGACCTCGCAGCAAGCGAGGCGACGCACGAGCATAAAATGTCTTCCAAATGTCCTCGCTATCCATCTCAAGGTTAGTACCAGCTGTTTCTTTTATTTCTTTTCCTTTTCCTTTTTTATTTTATTTATTTTTATTTATTTTTTTTTTGTTTTTTTTCTCTTTTCTTCTGGCGGCCATATTTATGACCCTGCGCATCTGCCGCGATTCTCCCCTCCCCCCCTCTACATGGAGACTAAGTTTTTTTCATAGCGGTTCGAATTTAAGCATGGCCGGCATGAGATCGCTCCGTCTAAAATTGAAACCCCCGTCCAATTTCCCCTCGAAATGAACATGCTCCCTTACACCAGCAAAGGCCGTGACCTTGGTCTTCAAAATCATCAGCTACATAACTACCCCGAGCTAGCACGAGCACACGAGTATGATCTTGTCGGCGTTGTCGTGCATGTGGGAAGTATTGACACTGGTAAGTCACCTCGTGCCGAGATTATTCGTCTAGCTCTCTCTTCTAAGCGACATTGGGTTCGTTAGGCCATTACCTATCATATTGCCGTGTAGGGGATCAGGTAAGTTTGCTCTGGTGGCAACGCAACTATGGAAGCAAACCATGGCAATTTAGCTAACCCATAGTTTGGAGTGGTTCTTGTTCAATGACCACAAAGTCATGCTGGCAACCAGGTCAGAGGTCCTGAATTCACAGGCCTACCTGCTTTTCTATTGCGTTAGGTATTTGTCCTAATCCGACGTAACGGTGCACGATGCTGCCCACTACGGTTCCAACACCGAGACCCCGTCATCACCACTCCGATCGCGGCTTCGCGGCAGGCAGTATAATGTAGCTAGGGCCTACACCAGCGACCGGGAAATAGACGGTGAATGGACCCGAGGGGTTGCCGAAACTGAAAAAATTGGGCTCGAAGAGGAATCAAGGATTATATTGTGAACTGTAATCCTAGACATTGCAAGACATGGATGTCTTTCCCCTATTGTAAGCAAGGTAGTTCTCTAGGACCCTACATGCCCTCCAACTCTGTCAATCCCACCCTCAGAAGCTCCTTCGCTAGGCTATTCATCACTTAGCCACGACCAATTGCTACTAGCAAAATTCGAGTAGCAGAAGAATTCGTTGCCCAGCTCTCGGCTATGAGTCGGAGCGAAAGATGTGGTTTGGAGACCGAACTTCTTGTACAGTCTCAAGATCAATGGGCGCATTCGCTCTCCAGTGCACATCAAGAGTTTCACATCATCTGTGGCCTTCATAAGCCACGTAACCGTGAGCGCCACTAATGCAGTTAGTTTCTAGCTGCCGACGCAGGCATCCGACAAGGCGAGGGGAGGCCCGCCGCGGCACTCTATTGGGGGCTTACCAACCTTTCGTGTGACAGTCTTCATTGAGGAACGGCGGGTCGCATATAGCTCGATCTATGCTGCCCTTTAAGCTAGCTGCAGAGACATGAATCGTGTTAGCTTCGCCGGGTCTTCCCATCCGGAGACAACCCAACGTGGGCCATCATAGTCTGGTGGGTTATTATTACCTGGAAGTTTGAAAGGACGCCTGTAGTCGTAGAAAACAAACTCAGGGAAGACACGGAACCGTTCATCGAATTCCAGCAGCATCAAGTTTGGTCGCTCTGCGACTGGCATCTCGGCCACCAAATTCTTGGCTGCAACAAAGACGCTTGGTGTTGAAACGAATGCAATATTCGTGCCCAGAGAGGTGCCATTTAACAATTCACGAGCCAACAAATTCGCTGTTGTCTCGGCATACTTCGAACCTCATCACACGAGTTCCCCAGGCGGGCATGTCAGCTCAACCGAATGAAAGAGAAACCACCGAGGGCTGTAAACTGCTCCGGGTGCCATCTGTTTGTCCAAGCTGCGATGCTCAGACGTGATTACTCCGGGAGACAAAACAAGGTGGATAAGCTGTGGGGGTGGGGGGAAGACATACCCAGAATTGACTATGGCCCCAGTCCTCAGTGAATGATTCGATAGTAAGAGGAACATCTCGTGTCCTCTCGGCCTCGGCTATCGCCTTGACTCTCTCAAACTCCCGTATTTGGGCATCCCGCTCGGCGTTGAACTCCGCTAATGCAGCCAAGGCGTGGTCTGAAAGGGTTCTACTTGCGCAGTTAGATAAAAACTAGGGCCTTGACAAGACAACTTCCCTACAGCGGTTCGTCATCACTATCCAAGTGTAGGCTTGTCATTGTACTTATTTGTAAAGCCCAGACAAGTGCTCCTACTGATTGGGGGCTAGAAGAAGCAACGGTAAAGGTGTCGTTAAACTTGGAAGATCAAGTAAGTACGTGGCCATCGAGTAAGACCTCGTGTCTTCACCTAAGAGTTGGTTGAGGGTTGTTGATAAGGTGAAAAGGGTGGCGATCAAAAACCAGAAGAGCCAAGAGCCTAAGGGCTTATAAAATGTCCCGAATCGGCTTGTGGTTGAATGCCAAGACCTGTTGTCGAGTGAAAAGACGGATTCTATTAGTCAAGACGACAAGGCCTACATGAAAGCCGATCCACATAGGACACGCAGCTTTGGGCTTCTAGCACATTTTATATACATATTTACACTCTTCTCAATATCACTCCGTTGCCGTCGTCGTATCGCACCGTTTATTGATCATCGAGCACGTGGAGATACTTGCGCTCCTCCTTCCTCTCCTTTTCGGTGGCCGGCGGAAGGTCGTAGAAGGCTGAGCTGCGGAATCCTTGCTGCGAGAAAATTAGCATATCAGGCGCCTAAGAAACTAGTGCTAGGGCTGGGAGACATACCAGATAATCATAGGTGAAGTTGCTGATGTCGCCTGGCTCGATGCCCAAATCCTTGAAGGTCTTGGCCGTTTCATCAATCTTCTGATCGATGAACTCGCGCTCAACCTCGTCGGCCGAAAGGTACGGCCACCAGGTAACACTGTTAAGGAGGCCGGCGAGGGGTTTCAGAATGGGCTTAGGTACGTTGATATGCCGGCGTTGTTTATATATTTCCCTGTCAACTAAAGCGGCAATTTCTTCTGTGGAGTACTCCTTCGGTCCGTAGAGCTCAAAGGTCTGGGACGCCGTACCGTCATCAAAAAGCATGAGTTCAAGAGCGTGGCCGACATCGATTACCTTCAGTTATTATTAGATGCCTCACCCATGCCATGGAAGGTAATTGGTGGATGGACGTACATGTACAGGTCTGTACCGCTCTTGCATGTGGTTGGATGTGAGACTCATTACACTGGCAAGCTTCAGCAAGAGATTGTCCTCAAAGCCGAACATGGGTGCGGGCCGGACGATGGTGGTTTCAGGGAAGATGTTTCGCGCGACTTCTTCGCCGCGACCCTAACCAAAACTGTTAGCAACTAGAAAGGACCGAAAATTGGGTTATTGGTACCTTCGTGGCATAAAATTCGGACGGAGAGGCTGGGTCTGCATTGTACGAGGAAACGTGGATATATCGGTCGACATCGTACTTGGCTACCGTTTCGACAATGCGTTCGGTTCCCTCGACATGAACATCCTCCAACGAGAAGTTCCTGTTGACAAGTTAGTACGACTCCCATTTCCTTCCCACTTCATGCGCGGATGGGATTGGTGATAACTTTACTTTGTGGGATAGTTGCGACCGACTAGGTTGTAGACGACATCTGAATGGCGGATGCTCTCTTCAATAGATTGCGTGTTCCTTAGGTCGTACTCCTGTTTGTTATCTTGATATTAGTGACATCTGGTAGCAACCACGGGAGAAATAGCGCTGGGAGATTCCATTGGAGACGTACAATGAAAACCACACGTCCAAGGTCACCAGAGACCTTAAGATGGCGCTTTGCCATTTCATCTCGGAAGGGAACAATAACGGTGCATCCCTGGCGAGCTGGGCCTAGGCGTGAGTATCATTCAAAACCACTGGATTCCGAGAGCGTGATAGAAAGTCCAAACCTAAGCGATTGACGATATATCGACCGAGTTGTCCCGTCGCTCCAAACACCGTTGCCGTGTGGCCTAGCCTTTATGTCAGAGCATTGTATTGCCGTGGCTGCGTCGATCGAACTTTACCTCCGAGAGACGACCTGCCCGCGGGGACATGTTAGATTCCACGCCGTCAGGTTATATTGAAGAGCGTTGAAAACGTTAGAAACTCACCGTCCACCCTGTGTGCGCAGGATTGGCTTGCCAGTTCGGGTGATGGCGATGTCTGACAGCAGTTGTTGCCGAGGAATATTGCGCGTAATATTCCGCGCAAGCTTTCGAGAAGACCGCACCGCGGTCTGTACAGACGCCATATTGGCAGTGACCGAGCTGCAGCGCTGGAATGCTTTGGTCCGGTTCAATTGACCTTGATTGAGGCTTCGCGAGACGAAGGTGATGATCGGATGGGGTATTGATGGAGGCAAGGGAAAATACCTTAACAGCATTTTAGAACGTAGTCTATATCATGTGACCCTGGTTCATCCGCCCATGCAAGAATACCGCTCACTTCCAAGGTGAGAGGAGACAGTTCAGAGGTACCTTCGTACCCCAGGAAAAGTCAAGTTGGACTTGCTCACCGATGAAGTACCTCAGTACCTTGGTACTCAGTAATGATATCCCACTTCGTCATGAATGACCTCACACTGTGCTATGTCCTGAAATCCTGATGCCAGCTGGTGGGCGTCCAGATTTGTTGCCCACCAACCCCAACCAGCTCACTAGGCTCCCAAGGCCACGACTGTCAGCAACCCGTTGTCCATGACATCCAGAGAGCTTGGAGAGCCCAAGGCCCAGCTTTCTATCTTGATATCTCCCGACATGTCAGTCAGACTCCAACCACAATAGCTGTCCTTAATAGTAAACGAAAGTTCTGGACATACATGGGCTTTTGTCTTGTCGAATAATTATTTCAGAACCGCTTCTTCCGAACGTCCGTTTCCACGCAGCCGTCGCTAAGCCATCCCACTACCTCCAGTTAGAGGGGGATCTCTGTTCGCCCAGCACCGATTCCGTTCAAACCCGATCCTCACGATGAGTTACGATACAATCCCAGATTTCTTGGCGGAACAGAGAGATGCAGCCCCAGAGGAGCTCCAGGGACTTATTCTAGAATTTGAGAATTTCTGGGAGCGCAAACTCTGGCATCAACTGACTGAGGCGCTTCTGCAATTCTTCCGAGACCCGCGCAGCGAGCCACAGCGCTTACCTTTCTATAAAGCCTTCATATCCAAATTTGCCGATAAGATTAACCAGCTGAAGCTTGTAGAGCTTGCCTTGGCAGCTTCGACACAATGCCCAGGTACGAAACCGCTCTTCTAAACACCTTTGAATTTGACAACTGACGAGGGGGTCACACCTAGATGATCACGAAAAACTTCATTTCCTGGAAGCACTGGCGAAGAAAGTCGATAACGAGAACACGCAAGACGCCCTTGTCTATGCCTCTGTCGCCGTCGCGAGAGTCAAGCTGGAGTTACATGACCGCGATGGTGCTCGCAGGGACTTGTCGAACTGTGAAAGGATTCTAGACAGCTTTTCTTCGGTCGAGACCGTCGTTCATGCTGCTTTCTATGACGCGAACGCAACATATTACCAGGTTCGATTACCAGAATACCATCGAGAAGCGATTGAGATCTAGCCATAGCTAACTACGCCTTGCCAAACAGATGATCACCGACTTCGCCGCATACTATCGCAATGCCCTTTTGTATCTCGCCTGCATTGACGTGAATTCTCTTTCCCCTGAAGAGAAGGAGAGTCGAGCCTACCACCTCAGCGTTGCAGCGCTTGTATCGGCTAGCATCTACAACTTCGGCGAGCTTCTTCTCCATCCAATCCTCGATGCCCTTGTCTCCTCTAAGGAATACCCGTGGCTTCGAGAGCTACTCTTCGCGTTCAATCGGGGCGATCTCGATGCTTTTGACCGCCTAGCAAACCACATCACATCTAACGAGCTCCTGCGCGAGCACTCCGCCGAACTTCGCCAGAAAATATACCTCGCAGCTCTCACTGAAGCTATCTTCCAACGACCGCCGCACGAGAGATCTATCTCGTTCAGCGACGTGGCCGAGTCGACCAAGGTCCGCCCGAATGAGATCGAACATTTAATTATGAAGGCCTTCAGTCTAGGGCTACTTAGAGGCACCATTGACCAGGTCGATCAAATCGCCCATATCACTTGGGTACAACCCAAGGTCCTCGACATAAAGCAGATTGACAACATGCGCCAAAGGCTGTTGGAGTGGGACTCCAGTGTAAATGACTTAGGTCATTATATTGAAAACGCCGGAAAGGACGTCTGGGCCGTTTGAAACACAGGGAGGGATGGGACGATACAGGAGTGATACAGGAGTGATGCTAGTTCTGTGTCCCATTCATAGATAAATTAAAAAAGGAGTAAATGGATCTGCCGATAACACGCTTCAAGACCTGTCTCTATGATGTGCTTAACACACGTTCTCCAAATTGGATGGTCTAACCTCGCTATTCGTACAGCAACAAAGCCATGTCATCTTGCACTCAGAGTATCCGGCCAGCCACCGACGCCTGCCTAGCGTGTAGATGATCCGAGGAGCACGACAGATCCAACAAGCCACACCGGCCACCAAACACACCAGATAACAAAGGGTGTGTAGTTTCCCCAAACGTTCCAACTAAACGCTGCCTCTAGCAGAAACGAGTGGGTATTCATGCCCACGAGTGAGGCCATAACATAGAGGGCTGTCGTCGGCGCTAGGGCATTAAGTAGGCACGCAATGGGAACTCTGAGCCGGCTATCTTTGCAAAAAGGCACAGTAAAAGACATGGGGCTCGCCAAGAGTCCAACAAAGAAGGCCAGAGGGAAATTCAAAGTCGCCAATGAGGACAGAAACATGCCAAGGAGGAGTAACGAGAAGCATTTGGCCAGAAGATAGTGTCGAAGCGATGGGTTGCAGTAACGACTAAGAAACCATGAGAGAAGATGAGGCAGCACGCACGTGGCAATACTAAGTGCGAGTAGTATGGGCGAAAGGAGCTGTATCGCCGTCAGCAGACGCCTATGGGAGGGAGCGCGAGGATATCGAATGAACATACGTGAGCAGGAGCATGATTAAAAATGTACAACGGCAACACACCAATCGAGTGGCAGCCTATGACCAGAGTCAAGGGAAGGAACAGCTCCCTCTCTGCACCTGTTGTCGGGCCTGGCCGCGCTTGTTGTTTTGGGTAAGGGTTAGGTGACGACGAGCCCGTGGCAGGGCGAAGAGAGTGTCCACTCTTCACCCAGAGATACGTTGCCATTATTGTGAAGTTCGCAGCGAGGAGCATGGCACTTGGAAGATAAGTGCCAATACTAACGAACCGGTCCTTGCTCATGAGAAGATAAAAGAAGAAGCTCTGATGAAGGTGCTCGAGTAAATTGTTGAGACTTCGAAATGATCCTTCAATCAACCTACCCATCGCCATCTCGTCCTGCCATCCCTCCCCGTAAGGTTGCAGGGTTACAGCATCCACATGATATGGAATGAAGCTGCTATGAGGACCGGTTGCGCAGCCGAGTCCTTGATTCAGCATCCCGCGGAGCATAGTTTGTAGCCGATCGCGGTAAGAATCAGTATGATGCCACATCTTCTGAAGGGTTGAGCCGAACCCCATTTGCCCACCAGCGATATGCACGACAGAGTTGATTAGATCAAGATTGGGTAACTGGCCATTGACCCCGTCGTAGACGATATGGACAGCTTTGAATCTTTTGTCCAGTGGATAATCGATGGCTATAGCCCCTTGTAGGGCTCCGGCCTTAATTGGGAGGGGGTTTACCCATAATTGGTTGTGGGAGTCGTGATAGGCATCAACCCAGGCCTGCGTTCCTGTCCTACTGTCCGGCGGAAATAGGAAGATGATATCCTTGGACCAAAGTGACCACCCTACGAGACTTGTGAGCATCATGCGAGGTAATAAGGGAGGGATTTGCTCTCCCATACTTTTGAAATAGCGTGCGAGAGTTAATGCGAGAGCAACGCCTTGTCTGTTCAACACCTCCTCCATATTCCTCCAGGCCGCAACCAATACTATGGCTTCAGTTGCATCACCCCTCGGTGCCTGCAGGATGGCGTATATGTTTTCTCCAGTATACCGATGGCCTGAGGAATGGTATGTGTAGTTTTGTCGGGAGACTTTCAGTCCAATGGTGTTGAGTATTGCCTCGAGGCTGTCATTGACCCTAACACCTTCAAGTTAATGGTCGATAATCACGTTGTCCGAATACGAGATCCATACTCGAGGTTGGTCTTGTTGGAGAGCTCATTAACCTCACTTCGGTAGGCCCGAAAGACATTCTGATCACTTCCACTGAAGTAGGTATGTACTTGTCCCGGTAAGAGAGCATTTTCGGATATGTATGTCCGCCGAGAGTAGGAATCAAACGGAAGGAGCAAAAGCCATGTTACTCCGACGATGATCAGGAGAAGAGAAAGGTAGGGAGGGAGCTTCTGGACACGAGGATCGCGACGAAGCTGGAGAGCAGTGGCTAGGTGTGCTATCAGTGGTAAAGCGCGGCAAGGAAAATCGCGGTCGAAACTTACCAAGAAGGCGCGGCATGTCGAAGAGTGAACCCAGCGTCGAGGTGTGGGCGCTGGGCTGTGATCAAAAAGTGGAACGTGGTCGGGAATTAAGAGTCGGAGATGTAAATCGAGGAATTAGAGAACCCAAGACCCAGTGCAGTAAAATGACGTAAGGTGTAAACTTCTCGGAATTATTAAATAAAATCCCTTTAAGAAATGTATTTAGTTATTTAAAAATAATTTATTTTATAAATTATTAATTAAATTTTAAAATAGTATAGTATTTTTATTTCTTTTTCCTTGTTAATAGACTTGATTAACATCAACTTGTAAGCCTGATTTAAATCCGACCCTCGTTCTCACTCCCCGACAAGCTTGCTAGAAATCGCAGGCTGTCACCACTGCGACAAAAAGATATGCTTAGGCCTGGCAAATGATTACAGCGCCAGAGAAGATTCCCATACACTCGCTGATCACAAGGGCTCCGAAATAGCGCCCGGCTGCATGGAGAAACTGGCACTCGTTGGAAGAATGCCATCACGGCCCTGAGCCCTCTGGTTGAATGTAACATAATTTGGCAATCTTTTGAGAAAGACGAGTTTTGCCTCGAGCCATGACAGTAACTTTCCTGGAGGAACGAGCCACGAAAGAAGGCCAAGGCCACCTGAAAATCAACCGTGACACATCAGTATATATGCGCCTAATATCAATCAAGTGAGAGGTCGAGGAGCTTACATCCATACCCAACAACAGCTCCACATATAGGGCCCATGAGAGCAGAACTAGGCAAAAATACTTCCTTGACTGTCACAGTTGCCAATAATGCTGTCCAAGTCGGGATGCGAAGAGAACCAACCACCATAGATGATCGAGTCTTTCGACTTTTCGCACTCTCCAGGCCGAGAAGCAAGAATATCCAGGTGCTAGAGGATTGTAGTGGCCAATGCTGCCGTGTCAGCGCGTCTAATGCCTCATCAGGAATCCCAGGTCAGCTAACCTTGCTCCCCCGACAGCAACGTCAGTGTGAAGAAAGAGTCTATCAATCAAGACGTATATGAGGGCAGGAAACGTAGAGAACGCTGGTGATGGTCGTTAGGTACCATCCTAGGATTTTGATGTAGGAAGCTCATCTCGGGATTGGCGTACGGCCAAAAAACAACGCCAGTGACGTCAAGGTGCCATACTCCATCTCGAACCGCGAGACGAGCGGCGCAAGGACGACTGCGTTGAATGTAGCATGGACGATGCTGGTGTGGACGAACGGATACGTGTTGGCCCGATATGCTACAAGAAGTGTGTCTCTTGTCAACGCGAATTTCTCGTTTCCGCGGCGGTCCACGGAAATTTCTTACCAGACACGATACCGACCCTGCTAGGAACGAGAAATCCCCATTGCCGGATATCCCAGGTGGACTGAAGTAGCAAGATTGACGACACAGCCACCAGAGCGATGACAAGTCGAGAAAACAGCGGCAGGCGTGAAGGATGTAGCAACGCGCTTTGGGCCCTGACCACGGTGGTCAAAGTCGGCATCGTTGTGTTTCCCAGTGTTTGGATTGTGACCTCAATGCTGATTGAACGCATGAGGACCTAGACAAGTATTAAAAATATATAATTTATAAAAGAATTATAGAGTTTAAAAGTATTTTAAATAAATATTATAAATATTAAAAATTAAATATTTATAATAGTAATAATTTATATATATTATTATTATAGTTATTATTATTATTATTATTATTATTATTTATTAATTATAATATTTTAAAAATAAATTATTATATATAAAAAATAAATTAAATTAATAAATTTATAATTATATATAAAATTTTTTAAAAAACATTTATTTAAAAATTTTTAATAATTCGAATAATTATTATTATATTTAATATATTAATTTTTTAAAAATAATATTTAAGTAATTTTTTTATATATTATAATACAGGATTCTTAACAACTAACCGATCCAATACCTAAGTCAGCCATTCTTCAGATGCTTCAGTCGTCGCAACACTGAGGTACAGTTCTTTTCATTGTCGGTCCTATTCCCTGAGAATCGAGATCCGACCCCCTTTCCGGTTTCCCGTTGATCAATGGAATTGTTCCCGGTGAAACTAGTTCGATCACCTCAGTATTGGCCACCGAGTGAGTGTATGTGAAAATTGCTGCAAATTACGCAGCCGGTTCACCGCTCAACTCCTACAATAAATTCATCATAACAGCATCGGGCAAGGTGATTTAGACAGCGATGAAATAATCTTATAAAAGAAACGAGAAAAAGAAAGCTATTCCGTAGACCTATTCCATTTATACATAACTACTAAAACAGCCAACAGGATCTATCTTGGGATGAAATGCTTATTTGTTGTTCTTGGCCATGGTGTTTAGCGCACTTCCGTTCTTGAACCACTCGATCTGTGCCTCATTATAAGTATGCTGTAGCTCGACATCGAAGGAAGCCCCGTTCTTGGGGTGCACGCGCATCGTCAAAGGCTTTCCGACGGCAAGCTCGGTACACAGGATATCGACCTATTGAGACATATCGATATTAGAAAAGGGGATTCGGCTTCGGGGAAAACAAAGCAATTAGCGCATCTAGGAAAATGACGTTACCTTATCATCGGGCCTAATCTTGTCATAATCGGCAGGGTCCGAGAAAGTGAGAGGGAGCATGCCCTGCTTCTTCAAGTTGGTCTCATGGATACGGGCGAAACTCCTGGTGACGATGGCTAGACCACCGAGGTGGCGGGGTTCAAGTGCGGCGTGCTCGCGAGAGCTGCCTTCACCGTAGTTCCAGTCGCCGATAACAACCCACTTGATGCCCTTCTTCTTATAGTCCCTAGCGACGGCGGGGACGGCATCATACTCGCCAGTGGTGAAGTTCTTAATCTTATTCGCCTCGCCGTTTTCCTCGTTGATGGCACCGATAAGCATGTTGTTGGAGATGTTGTCCAGGTGACCTCGGTACTTCAACCAGGGACCGGCCATGGAAATGTGGTCAGTGGTCGTCTTGCCCTGTGCCTTGATTAGGATAGGAATGTCGAGGGCATCCTTGCCGTCCCAGGGAGCGAAGGGAGAGAGGATTTGTAGTCGGTCTGAGGTAGGGGCGACTTGGACTTGGACAGACGCCCTATCCTTGGGTGGGGCCTGGTAGGTATCCTGGCCAGGGTCGTAGCCCCGGGTGGGCAGACCATCACCAGTGGGAGGACTCAACATGAACTCGTTGCCGTCCTTGTCCTTGAGCTTATCCGTTAGGGGGTTGAAGTGCAGAGACCCGGCAATGGTCAGGGCCACTACCAGATCGGGAGAGGTGACAAATGAGTGGGTAGCTGGGTTTCCGTCATTGCGGCCGGTGAAGTTGCGGTTATACGAAGAGACGATGGAGTTTGCCTCTCCCTTCTTGACGTCCTTACGGTCCCATTGACCGATGCAAGGGCCGCAAGCGTTGGCGAGGACAACTCCGCCAAATTCCTCAAAGGTCTGCAACTGGCCGTCTCGCTCAATAGTAGCCCGGATTTGTTCGGAGCCTGGGGTGACAGTGAAGAGCGCCTTCGCCTTCAAACCGTGGTTCAACGCGTCACGAGCGATGGAGGCGGCTCGGGACATGTCTTCGTATGACGAGTTGGTGCATGATCCAATAAGACCGACCTTAAGTTCGCTGGGCCAGCCGTTCTCCTTCACGGCCTGACTGAACTTGGAGATCGGGGTGGCAAGGTCAGGAGTGAAAGGACCGTTGATATGGGGCTCCAATTCGGACAAGTTGATCTCGAGGAACTGATCGTACTCCGCGCCCTCGTCTTCCCGAAGTTCCTTGGCATATACACGGGCGAAGTCGCCGATCTCCTTCCTCTTCGTCGCAGCAAGGTAATCGTACATACGGTCGTTGAAGGGGAATACGGATGTCGTGGCACCAATCTCAGCACCCATGTTGCAAATGGTTCCCATACCCGTGGCAGAAATGCCAGCGACACCGGGTCCATGGTACTCGACAATCGCACCAGTTCCACCCTTTACGGTGAGGATGCCGGCGACCTTGAGGATGATGTCTACTCAACTGTTAGCAGCTCGACATTGGATAACGGAGTTAGGAGAGGTCTGGCGAAGGGGCGGGGAAACGAGGCCCCCATTCGCCACAGATTATACACACCCTTTGGCGACGTCCATCCAGACATTTCGCCAGTCAGCTTAACACCAATGACCTTGGGTGCTTTCAACTCCCAAGGGAGGTTTGCCATAACATCGACGGCATCAGCACCACCGACACCAATAGTACACATTCCGAGGCCACCGCCATTAGGAGTGTGAGAGTCAGTGCCGATCAAGAGACCTCCGGGGAAGGCGTAGTTCTCGAGCAGGATCTGGTGAATAATACCGGAGCCTGGCTTCCAAAATCCGATGTTGTATTTAGCGCATGCCGACGCGAGGAAGTCGTAGACCTCCTTGTTGATGCTCTTAGCACGAGCCAAGTCCTTCTCACCACCGACCTGGGCTTCAATCAAATGATCACAGTGCACCGTCACCGGGTTGGCGACCGAGGGCATGCCGGCGGACATGAATTGGAGAATGGCCATCTGGGCGGTCGCATCCTGGCAAGCTACACGATCCGGTCGCAGCTTCAGGTAAGATACTCCACGCTCGATATCCTGGCCATGAGGATCGTCAAGATGAGAGTAGAGAATCTTCTCAGCATAGGTGAGAGGGCGATTGAGCCTGCTCCGGACGATCGCCAGATTTTCCGACATCTTCTTGTAGTTGATAAAGTTTCCCTCTTCCCAATTGTTTTGCCGAACCTGTAGTAATTCGTCGCGTCAGCGGGACTCTTGTTCCTGTCGCATACCGCAAGGTTGTTCAATATTCGACTATTCGACATACCTTCCTGTCCAGAGGATTGGAGGAAATGGTAGCCATTCGGCGGACGCCGGATCCCAGCGTCGGGACGGCCGCCCTCTGGGCGGCCGAGAAGACGTGCCTTGTCAGTGGCATGTTCGGTCGCTGTAGCGAGGACGAGGCTGGGGATAGCGGGGTTCACGATGTCAGGCTCCTGGACCGGGTCAGCTCAATTGAGGAATGAAAACAAGAGGACCGCCAATTGTCGATGTGGGTAGAAAAAGAAGCAAAGCTCCTGAGTCGGATGAGAAGGGATGTGGTGGAAAATATGGGATAGAAATGGACTGGTCGGCGAGGGAAGGAGAGAAAAGAGGGATGAAAAATAACAGCTCCGTCGGCTCTAAGGATAAGAATCTGCCCCCTGCAACGGACAACGAACGGAGAAGCGGCTCGTGGTGGTAATTCCACTCGGAGGACCAGACCATTTGGAGCTATGACGACAAGCGGTTGCCACGAATTGGGCCAATCAGAGAAATTCGATTATTATTATCCGTCCAAAACGAACCCGACGAAAGCTCCGTCCCACAAATGCCATTGACGACCGAGGTCATGTTACGATCAGACGAGTACCGCCTGAGACTGTCAGTAGTCAACTCCTTGTACCCATTGAGGTACCTGCATGGCTTGTATCGAACGCCTTGCTCATGGAGACACGAGCACCAATCCAATGCACAATTCTAGTATCAATCTCATATTCTCAAGGCCCAGGTCCTAGACTGCCCAATCCTGTGGGCGCGGCAACTACTCCTGCTACCCGAGAAGCTTCCGGCGAAGAAGGTAAAAAAGAGGCAAAAAAAAAAAAAATGAATGTTGCCAAGGCGACCTCCAATAGCTGGACATCCAATTCAAACTCTGTTAGGAGATACTTCAGTGGTATACCGGTAATACTTCTCCGATGAACCTTTAACATGAGATCTCGACTTCGCCCATGTGACAAATAATCAATCGGACGCCTCGGATTGTAAACTAATGTTTATCACCTCCATTATTTTATTCCTCTTATTCCCCTTACCATGCAAATATATTATTCGAGGCCTGCAAGCAACACCTGCTGGAGTAGGTAACCTGAGTCTCCCTCTTACAGCCGACCCATTTCCGAAACTCCTCGTTGCCGTGGGATGGGTCCTCGGCAGGAACTCGGCCCGCTCGTATTTGCGAGAGTTCCTCCGCCATCACAGGTTCGGTTGCTTGTGTTAGCAACCCCCCACAAAAAAAAAAAAAAAAAAAAAAAAACTTTTGTTCTGAATCAAGATCAAGATTTTATCTGTACGCTAATTACCTCAGTGCTTCATACCCTACTCCGTACATAAACCACACATGCCCGTTAGTGTACTTCGAACATTATGCATCCAGTCCAGCTTGGTCCTTGTTGGGTGACCGGGCCACGGAGTCCACAGTATAGTGTAGTGTACACGACGAAGTACAAGGATGTACTTCCTACCTAAGGATGGGAGATGGCCAAAGTGTAATAAGGACCGATCCCGTTGTGTGGAGTTGGCCTTGATTACTCCCCTGATTAGGATCAAACAGGATTGGTTGGTGAAAGCGGAGTGAATTGATTTGAACTTAGAACTCTTCGAGCTGTGTTGTCAGGTTTGATGTTCATCAAGAAGATACTTCATCAGTCAACCGAACTGTTCAATCGACCAATTTCTGTTTTAAGAGTAATTCTAAATATTGCATATCTAACTACGATTAGGTGTTTTTCTTAAAAGAAGCCTTGGTGGGGTTGACGAGGGTCTTGGTATCAGCTTTCTGTGTGTCATCCATTGGTTAATCTACTTTGTACTTCATCTGGTTCATCAGAAAGGTTTTTTCTTTTTTCTTCATTTTTCCGAGGGTGGCACTACAAAGGTACATGAAGATTCCTTCTTAGCAGAACACACAACCAATCCACCGTCGCACATCTCATACTCGATCCGGCAGCTTTTAATATGGCCGTACGAAACAAGCGTACAAGAACAAAGACGAGAAGGAGGAGGAGGTTCGCACTCCTTAGCGTCGCCGACTTCCGACATAACAGCTAATTACCATGTTTTCCCAGGGATCTTGACCAAATCAAAGCCGACCTTACCTGCCCAAAGCATCTCGAGGGTTACAAGAACACCAAATCCTCGGAGGACTTACCGGGCTCCGGGCGGTGGTATTGTGTTGAATGTGCCAAGTGGTTTGAGACCGAATCAACCCTGCTGGCCCACCAGCGGAGCAAATTTCACAAACGCAGGTTCGTCTAGGCTCACCAGACTTGTCTCTTCTTGATTATAACATGATATCCGTTGCCAGGGTCAAACGACTTCAAGAGACTCCATATACTCAAAAGGAAGCTGAGGCTGCGGTTGGTCTCCAGACGGATAACACCGACCCATTGAAGGTCAAGCACGAAGCTGGGAATGAGATTGAAATGATGATCTAAATGCACAAGATCCTCACTAATGGGGAGTACTTCCTTCGACACTTCGCGTTGAACAACATCCCCTCCCTACCACGCCCAATCCTGGATTGATGCATAGAGTTCGTCCAAGGCTGTTCTACTCTCATCAGGGCAGCACGCTGACGATGCGGCCTACACAGGCTGTCCTCGATAGCCACGGCTCGCTGCCGCCCAGTATGCCAGCACTCTATGTTGCATCACGCTTTCAGAGATGACAGCGGTGTAGAAAAACATGGATTCATCGCAGCCCCCTAACTCGCGGTCTGGCGAGACCACTCGGCCGGGTGCCCCTGGCAACATTTGTCCTCCCGCCGCTTGCGCCTCGACCCCCACGTGTCGTCTGCCTGGAGGTGCGAGATGGTGTGGGCTCGGGTGTTGCGAATTGAGGTGGCTGTTTTTGGGAGTTGGGGTTGTCGATGAAAGAAGTATCCGTAGTCCTAGGACGCGAAACCTTTGAGCTACACGAGGCGCCAAAAGAGGGTTCAACAATCGCGCGGCTTACATGAAAGTTGTTTCTCCATCAACGTCAGCCGACCCCTTTTCAAGTGACCGTGCTGAATCTACCACTTCAAGCTTTAGCAGACTATTCGTAAACTAAAGGAGAAAGGCGAGCTTGAATAGGAGACTTACTCGGTCGGGCCTCATGCTTCTTTGTACGACGGAAGGATTCAAGCATCGGTCCCTTTTTTAAATTCCTGTAAGCAGCTGACTATGGGTACAGGGGGTCCATTGTAGAAACGAGACGAGACCTGCCTCCGGGAAGTCGACGCAAAATGCATTCATATTTAACCCGTACATAAAACTAGCAAATGACTCGCTGAATCTAGACAAGCTCTCATGCATGAGCTGGAAGTGCATGAGGTTGGCTTCCAGGTCGGCTACGGAGTCGGCGAGCTCTGCGAATGCAGGCTCAAAGGTGTTTAATGGAAAGGGCGCATCTTGCTGCGCACTGGATCTCGCGGATTCTCGAAATGATGACCGCGAGGAGGGGCGAAGAGGGGTCGTTGGCCGTGACGCCCGAGATTTCGAGTTTGAGCGCTTGATGTCCGAGTCTCCTGTCTCCATTGAAGCCGAAGCTGCAGCTGCGAGTGGGGATATTTGCTCAGCTATGCCGGTGAAGGAATAAACACTTGAATGGTCGGGAACGCGGGCAAGATGAAGAATGAGGTGCGACGTGAGGGGTGTGCCCAGACTAATTTTTAGATCGGCGAAGACGCGTCTGTTGAACGTTGAACCTTCCAGGCTTCAATTCGATGTTTGATAGGTCCCCCGGAACACCGTCTGCGACCCAGTATTATTTGTACGAGCACCAAAAATAACGACAATGAATTGATAATTGATGCTAAGAATACTTGCTCCACCACACTTAAAGTTGGCCTTGCATCGCACCTTTCTCGCACGCTCCATCAAATTGATGTAACAATACCAACGACTAAATTTGCTTGATTCCGTCGATATTGACCATCTTCCAAGAGCCATTGGAGTACTTCATCCGAAGTATGAACCAACAGTTATCGTGGGCGAAGGCGATAGTCGTCAAGTCCATTTCACCTCGGGCTATCAGTTACCAAGTCTACAACACCAAGTCAATTATCATTCCTGCTTGGATACACCCTCGCATGTACGAAGTACGAAGTAGCGCCAGCCATAATTAAGACAACAAATCGATGTCTTCTCCCAGAGGATTGATATCAAGTGATTATAGTTCGATATTCCCCTGGCTGTGTTGGAGGCCTTGTTATTGAATAGGTCGATTTGATCAAATGTAATTTCCACCCCTAGCCTTTGAGCCTTTTGGTGTCCGCCCCTAGCGCGACTGCCAACTGTCTCCATCGGCTGTGGGTGCCCTCCGGAAAGATTTGAATCTAGCGCACAGCCTCAACTCGCCACGACGAAACAAGACTCAACTTCGGAGAAGTGAGCAGCTTTTCTCGACTAGATATTGTTGTGATGTCTAGGTAGAATTTGGTTCAGCAGCCGGTCAGCAAGCACCCAGCCTCTCTGACCTCATGCGGAGCCATGCTTCTTTGAAATACAGAAGCATAGCATTGCAGCTCACCATCCACACGAGCACACGAACCTGCGGCTACACCTCGCCTCTCTCCAGCATTTGCGGAAGGCTTCATCATAACTTGTGGAACCGGCGCGTCGACATAGCACCCGTCGCATCATCCTACTCAGTCCTAGCCACGCATTCGCGCGCATTTAGTTCTGATTCCCAACTATTCCAGCACTTCCGACGTGGCCGCACATCTCCCCCACTGGCCTCCGTCCCCGTGCTCTTCATCGCCGGTTCACTAGTTCTTGCCCTATTCTTTTGCGAATCTGACGCGACGCAGGGAGCAGGCGACCTGCCCCAGCCGCGCTATATGGCGCAGCCGCAGACCTCAGCTATGGCTGCAGATATTCTTCCCGGACGACCCGGAAACCTCACGCAAGATCAGGAGGACAACTTGCGCAGGCTGTGGACTTCGGTTTTGCATATCTGCCGCGGGGGCGAAGACAACCCTAGCGGTGTAATGAGCAGCACTGATGTTAACTCGGACAGCCTCCAGCGTCGTTCAGAGAAGGTGAGGAAGAAAAGAAGCACTTTCTTCGGCAGGCTCGGCAATGCAACATCCAAGGCAGACACAACCGGCTCGGTCACCTCTGGCAATGCCTCATCCGGGGAATTTGACGCCGATGACAAGTATGGCCAAAATAAACAATTCGTGGAGACCCTAGCCCGCCAATCTCCAGAATCCATTCGCCAAACGATTTGGAGTATGGTCAAGCACGACAACCCCGATGCTCTTCTCCTAAGGTTTCTCAGAGCGAGAAAGTGGGATGTGGAGAAAGCATTGGTCATGCTGATATCTACGATGAATTGGAGGGCGACAGAGATGCATGTTGACGACGACATTATGAGGTGCGGTGAGGGAGCCGCTGCAGAGGCCGAAAAGGGCGAAAACGAATCCGCCAAGAACCTCGGCCATGATTTCTTGGCCCAAATCCGCATGGGAAAGAGCTTTTTGCACGGCTCGGATAAGGCTGGTCGGCCTATCTGTTTCGTCAGAGTCCGGCTTCATCGCCAGGGCGAGCACTCCGAGGAAGCTCTCGAAAGGTATACAGTCTATATCATAGAGACTGCCCGGATGCTTCTCAAGCCGCCTATTGACACTGCGGTAACACACCCCCCATCTACCTTGTCTTTATTCCCGTTTCTTTTTCATAGTGCGAAATTTCTAATCAGGTGCAGACCGTCTTGTTCGATATGACTGGCTTTTCGATGGCGAACATGGTATGTGTGGGTGGATATTCCTCCAGCGGAACTTGCCACGCTGACCCGGCAAATGATCACAGGACTATGCCCCAGTCAAGTTTATGATCAAATGTTTCGAAGCCAACTACCCCGAGTCACTTGGCACGGTACTTGTATACAAGGCCCCATGGATTTTCCAAGGTGAGAAGCTTCAAATACCCGGAATGGTCGATGCACGCTGCTGACATCCCCTTTCAGGAATATGGAGAATCATTCGAGGTTGGCTGGATCCCGTGGTAGCGAGTAAGGTCCATTTCGTCAATAATGCGGACGAAATGGCAGAATACGTGGATTTGGACCGCCTTCCCAAGGAAGTTGACGGCAAAGAAGATTGGGAGTATCGATACTTTGAGCCTATCGAAGGGGAGAATACACGCATGGCGGATGCCGTCTCGAGAGATCGTCTTTTGAAGGCTAGATGGCGACTGATTGAGCAATATGAGCAGGCAACTCTTAATTGGGTGCAAAGCGACGACGCAGAAGCCGCCGCCAACTACAAGGCTACGCGGGCCGCCACGGCAGAGAAGCTCAGGGTGAACTATTGGGAATTAGATCCATATCTGAGAGCCCGTTCCCTATATGACCGCCTCGGAATGATCAGACCCGGAGGAGTGGTGGATCTTTTCCCCAGTGAATCGGCCATCGCAGTCAACACAGTCAACACAACTGGTGAAACATCTCCTGACGATGTGGATTGAACCTTCTCAGCAGCATTTCATAAACGAGTCAGCACTACGGAGAGTGGCCGGGGAACTCCAAAGCGGATGGGCAACTTTGCACTGATAGATATAATATATATATACACCGCGTAGATTCTGAACACCTCTAGCATAGCATGCCAAGAACATGATGCGACATTGAAAGAGTCGATGCGGTATGACTAGGTCATCTTTGCCTTAAGATCTTCGAAAAGAACCTTAAGTTTATCCATGTCGGTCTCCTGGGAAGGCCAAGCGATTCCAAGACCTTCCTCTACATTTGGCTTCGGTATCTGGTCCATGGTCAGCGACAGGCAGCAGAATCGAAGTGCAGATACATACCATGTGAAAGTGGACCTAGGGCAGCAATGTATCAGATAAGTAGTTCTTTGTGGTGACGATAAAAGGTGAGGGGTACCCGGAAGCCACGCACATGATGAACCTGCTGATGGGCGATTGTTCCGTTGTTTTGGAGAAGGTTGTAGTCACTCGCTTCAGCAGCGGCCGCTAGTTTCTTGACGACAGGCTACAGATCAGATCGTTAGACATATTGACTTCTCAGGGAACAGAGTAGATTGCGGTGTGAGCGAACCAATATCTCACTCAGGTGCTCATCTGGAATATCCCCTAGCTTCGCACCGTGATATTTGGGAATAACAAGCTGCGGTAGCCGCGTTAGCGAAGTGGCCAATGGGCGACAAGGATCAAACATAGCTTCACAGACTGCATGGCCACGGCTCAGGGGGTTTATGTCCATAAATGCCAGTGTTCTCTCGCTCTCGAAGAGCTTGAAGCACGGAATCTCCCCTACCAGTACGCAACCGTGTGAGCAAGAAATTCCAACAGGGAAAGAAGAGGGGGGCAACTAACCCTTAATGATGCGGCAGAAAATGCATGAAGCCATGGTTAAGATGCGAATATCGAAATGCCTAGACAGTAAGTAGGTTCTATGCTATGAACCAGCTTCGATTGTAAAAATCTGATCTCGGGAGATGGTCTTGACTTCGTCATATTTCTATCGCTCATAGAGATATCACCCCCTCAACTGGAACAAACAGGCGATGGTGATGACGTCGAACCATAGAATGATGACTAATATGCGGAACAGAACAGAACAAGACATATATATTCCAATAACCAACTACCAAAACATGGAGTGGGACCTTCTAGCGAACTCACCTCTTGCCTTTTACCAGATGTGACCGTAGAATGGCCCAAATAACTCCATTCGGAAAATCTTTGGCAACTCCAAGAACCCTTGGTTCGAATTTTCATTTTTCGCCAAGTCGTCTTTTAATTCCTTCTCTTTTTTTTTCCTTTTCCTTTTCCCTTCCTGATCTCAAGAGTCGGTCCTGTTACCGCCTGATGTTTCCATTCCGAACCCCCCCGTGTCTTTGGTATTTCAAATATCCTAATATCCAAGTAATATAATCAATTCACGATCAAGGCAATTTCCAGATCCATCTCGACAGCCATGATGTTGGGGACTAGTCTATTTTTTTCGCCGTTGGATTTGTGCAACTTATAGATTCTCTTGATCAATATTAATACTGTTGATCCTGTCACGGATCAGCCCATGTGGATTAGGTGGCATACGTCACTTCTGACGCCCCGACTTCTGGCGCCTTGAGCGTTCTGCCCCTCTCCTCCATCAACGTTCACCTACCTCATCTTACCCTTGGTTTTCACTTTCACTCAACAACATCGTGCGACGCCAAACAGTTCTTGATTTATACCCCGCGCCAGATCTCACCTTCGTGCGAAAATGCCTAGATTTAGTTCGACACCATTGTATGGAGGCGCGCTGGTTTGCGATCTGCCAGAGCATTTCGTGGATGTTAAGTAAGCCTGCGCCTGAGTAGCCGCTGCCTTTCTCCTTCCTCAGCTACCAGAGACTGATGCGTCACCCTTATCCTTCGCATTCACGATTTAGCAAGATTCGCCAAGTTCCAGATAACCAAGAGGTCTGGATCGACGAGAATGGGTTTACTTCGATCATCTTTGACATAACCGAGCGCGTTGGTCCGAAGGGCAGAGGGCCAGAAATTGATGGGCGGGCCTTGACACAGCATCTCGAGGATATCGTCGGCGATGATATTGATACCGTGAAAGTGTGGAGTTCGTCGGCGACTCAATTCTCGCGGCTAGGGTAGGGTGTCCTTCAAGTCTCTCGGAACCTAACCAGCCTAGTGCAAGCTTCCGACCCTGCATGGCTTTGGAAACGTAACTGATCGAGCTGAACCTCCAGCAACGATGATATTCCCGCCTACACCCTGATCGCAACTCAAACCCCTAAAGCGGCGAGAACAGAACAAGACTCGGCGCCTGATTTTACCGCTATCATCCTCACGCTTGTGCGCCTCGAGCAGGAGTCGACAGACATAGCCATCACGATTAACGTTCCCCATATTAAGGGTGAGTATGTGGAGGCTGAGATCGATCTGGAGCTTGGGAAGCAGGGAGTGCTCATTGGCGAGGCCGTGGAGTATGCGGCGAGGATTTGGGATACCTTGAAAATTAAAGATTGGGGGTTGTTTAAGGAGGTCTAGTTGGTCGAAAAGAGCACTGGGGCCGACGCCCATTGTTGAATTCTGCATCTCCCGCCGAGTTGAGGAATATTAACAACGTGCTTCAATACAGTAGCCTTGCTTGAAGGTTTAACTCGGCTAGATGCAACACCTCCTAACTACAGCTCCAATGCATGAATCTGCGTGGTAATACACGCAACAGTGGGGTCCCCAGGCTCATCTCCATGGGCATTGCCCGTTCTCCCTGGTGCCTGTAGGGCCCAGCGGTCTGCCACAATACGCATCATTTCTTGTTGGGTGGTCCCTGGATGTTCATGTCTCATCATACTCATCTGCTCTCGGACGAAAAGCTGGTATTGCGACAGGCCCCCCCGTGTCCGTGGAGCTGGCTTGATCTGCTGGAGAAGGCTCTTGCAAGAGCCGCAGCGGTGGCGCTCGGGGTTGATGCTCTTGGAATGTCGTTTATACTCCAGACCGCACCCAGCACACTTCCATACGTATTTGAAATCAATCTCGTAGGAATGCTTCGTTGTTACCTTAATTCCCCGGTCGGAAAAGGCTTGGGAACATTTGGCTGCCCAAATCTTAAACTCTTTGCCGTGGGGACTGTCTGTTATACCACCAATCATGAAGTTCGCTAAATGGCAAAATTCATGCGCAATAACGTTTAGCAAGCGATGATTGTCATCGATGATTTTTTCGGCGAGGTCGATCGAAGCGTGGTGTTTGTATCGAACTTTGATTTCCGGACCCGCCGTGACTTGAACCCTTTCCTTCCTCCAATTTGCCCTCCCAGCAGTTGTGCTGAGTTTATTAGTCCAGTTCAGCTTGATGCCACCCGTGGGTTCTGCGAGGATGGATAACTGCCCCCCGGCAATAGTATCATCCAATTCCTTCAAGAATGTTTCCGCTAGTTGACGTTTGCTTTCTTCGAAGAGTTGCCGAGCCTGACGCCCCGATCCTGATTTTGACTTTGCTGGCGAGTTGTTCTTCTCTGTATTCCCTGACTTGCTTCCCACGATCTCATCCCCCTCTTTAGATTTAGAGTCAAGGGTGTCGATGGCGGACTGATTGTTGAAAGAGGGAGCTAGAAACCCCTGGTGACCGAGGGACGACGACTCGATGTTGGACAATTTCTTCGGTGAGTGTGTATGGCTTGGGGACTTTGTCAGCCCCTTATGAAAGATGGGTTTCCCCTGTGCTCGAATCGTTGGCTTCGTTATCGGGTCTACTTCAAGGTTACGCTCCTCCACCTGCAACTCATCGCCCTCGCCGCGATATGAACCCAGATGGGCTCTCGGTACTTGGTCTGGTTCCTTCGTTGGCCGATATGGGGTACCCGACATGGCCGTGGGTAAATCCACGGTGCCGAACTGCTGCTCTCGAGGGAAGCTATGGTCGCCATCGCCTCTCAGTCGTTGGGTGTTCAGACCAAGCCTCCGCAGGCGCACCGTCTGCCTGCACTTTGTGTTGGGGGAATCCTGAGGGATACACGTCGTGGTGCCCTGGATGGACATGATGTTGATGAGCGCAAACACGCAAACCTAGATAATATTGCTGCTGGGGAAGGTGAGAGAGGCTTTTTGAACAATAGATATTTGGGTGTGGACGGCCACTGTTCCTGTGTAATTGTGGCTATCACCTCGGCAACCGCCTCCACGTTCAAACTCGTGGCATTATGTAAGACACAGAAGCCTCTCTTGTTCGGTGCCATCAGTGGTGATATTTCAGAACATCAATGTCTGGTCCAAGCCAAACAATATTATCATGCTGGATACTGACGTAGGGGTGCCTGAAAACCAAAGCTTTTCCACCTCCAGCGAGGCAACACTGTGAGATCTGTCTCCCATGTTGCTAGTAATTCATTTCTTTCGCATGTTTAAACATGCTGGCTCTTGCCTTGGATCCTATTGTGTAAAAGATGAGAGTTAAAAGGGCTCCCTCGTGCAAATCTGCGAATCCACTGCACTAACTTAATTGAAATACATAACCCAGTGCCTTTGTACTTCAGACTCTGATCGAGGATGCACAACGAAGTACTTCGCCAGATGAAGTACACGAAGTCCTCGGTGCACCGCGTCGAAGGCATCTCCTTCGTCGTTAGAGCTATTTATTTCGTGTGTGTGTGCGTGGGCGCCTACCCCTAAATATGTCTCAGAGTACGAAGTACCTGTGTACAAATGATTTCTTCATACGCGGGTACTTCGTAAGCGAGACGACTTCACAGTACGAGCTACTTCGTAGATCAAAGCACCCCACGTTGGTGGTCCACACTTCGTAGATTATTCTCAGCGGACGAAGCATCCCCACTTCATTACGCGATTCTCGTATAAGAAAAGTCAGAGGTGCATTTACAGCTTGCTTGGATGGCTCGACGTGGATACTATCCTAGAAATGCGATGTCAACCAACACGCGCATTGATGTGGCAAAAGCCAACTTTTTCTAGTGTACGAAGTAATCGCGTCAAATTTTTGCCAACGAGAAGCCCCTGTCCCGCTGCGACGAGTAAGGCAAGGTTTATCCATCACAGAGTCGAGGGAATTTGCTGTCTCAGGATTTCCGAGTTTATTTTATTGCTGTTTTGAGTATGAGGCAGATACTGAATAGAGGGAGTGTGCACCTTACATGTATTCCATTTTTGACCTCCAGCTCTATCAAGACGAAAGCATGAAAGAACATTCTTTTTTTCTCTTTTCCTTTTCCTTTTCCCTTTTCCCACTCTGCTATTGTCAGGGGGGGAAGGTACGTAACCTCATCTATATAGTGCCCATTTGTTCTTTTAATACTGTACTGATGCCCTTGCCTCCTTAATTATGCCTTTTTGGATAGGCTCTGGCCAATGAAGGCATCTAACCCCTGATATTAGTATTAGTACAAATTGCAGACGTAACACACTAGTTGAAATTCAGCTCAGGAGGTACCTGCACAAGGTATGAAGGTACTAGGCCTTTCATCATTGCTTTGGGCTCAGCCACCCCTTTTTGCCGGACGTGGACCATTGTTTGAGGGACGGACCTGCGAACGGGTGTCCCCAACAGCATCCACATTGCATTCCTTGTATGAGTTACAGATGGTGCCTTCTCCTTTTCTTCCTCCAAACCTCATCATCTCCTTGCCCAGAAGAAAATTACCTTTTCTCACACCCTCATACAGCCTCTTCTTCATTCGTTTGGCTGTCTACCTTCTCCCTTGTTTTTCTTTTTTCCGTTTTCTTCTTCTGCCTTTCTTTCCACTGGGAACGCGATACTCAGGACCTTCTCTTTCTTTGCAGAGTGTTCTGGTTTCTTTTCCTCATCTGATCATTCGGTCGACATTGTCATCGTCATTCGTTTCATCATAACCCAGCGGCAATGGGCCTGCTGTGAGAGATTCAGTCTCCAACCGCAAACACTAAATTCGAACTCGGAAAAAATTTCAGTGGCGGCAGATCGACACACAACAAACTGGGGTTGAATCCATTGAAGTTTACGCAACGCCGTTGAGGCCAACAAGAAAAAGCGAGGGAGTGACTGATCAACGCACGTCACCCATTTCTCCATCCGAGCGGTAGTCTCGCAACCAGACATCTCGGCTACTCTTCAACCGACGATAAAGAGTTGATCGTGCCCAATGGTTGCTTGAATACAAGCAAGTAGGTGTCAGCAATACCGAGGATGGATTAGCTGCTGTCCCGGTTGGGTTTTTTGATCCTTCTTCGTTCATCACCATTAACGTTTGGTTTTAGCTAGGTGATATCGTTGGAAAAATGTCGGGATACACGGGCGGTAACCGCCAGGGCTACGAGGACGGTTATGGCCACGGGAACGACCAGCAAGATCAGTACTATCAACATGATCAACAGTACTATGACTCCAATGGCTATAACCAGGGGCAGCATGGCGGAGATGGATACTATGACGAATCGTGAGTTGACCCGCTGGTACCGAACTTGACCCGGAGCTGACTCTTTATTTACAGCGGCTACTATAATGCCGATCCGAACAACCCGTACCATCAGGACGGCGGGTATTACGACAGCAATGACCACTACCAGGATGAATACTATAACGACGGCACCTACCATGACCAGGACTACAACCAGGGCTATGGGGGCGCGGGTGCACGCCAGGGATCCCACGAGGATTCCGAGACCTTCAGTGATTTCACCGCTCGGGGCGCGGATATGGACTACTATGGCCATGGTGATGAACGATATAACAGTTACAATGAGGGCCAGATGGGAAGTCGGGGATATCGCCCGCCTTCGTCTCAGATCTCGTATGCAAACCGCTCATCTGGTGCCTCCACACCCAATTACGGCATGGACTATGGGAATGCGCTCCCCGCCGGTCAACGATCCCGCGAGCCTTATCCTGCCTGGACTTCAGATGCACAGATACCACTTTCCAAGGAAGAAGTGGAAGACATCTTTATTGACCTGACGTCCAAGTTCGGATTTCAACGAGACAGCATGCGGAACATGTACGACCACTTCATGACACTTCTGGACTCTAGGGCTTCGCGTATGACTCCAAACCAGGCCTTGCTCTCACTTCATGCCGATTATATCGGTGGTGACAACGCAAATTATCGCAAATGGTACTTCGCCGCCCATCTCGATCTCGATGATGCTGTTGGATTCGCCAACATGAAGGGAAAAGGGCTTCGGCGCACACGAAAGAAGAAGAAGAAGAACGACGAAGAAGGTCAGACGGAAGCGGAAATTCTCCAGGGTATGGAAGGCGATGATAGCCTAGAGGCCGCGGAATTCCGCTGGAAAACACGGATGAACCGCATGTCACAACATGATCGCGTCCGGCAAATCGCCCTCTACCTGCTTTGCTGGGGCGAGGCAAACCAGGTCAGGTTTATGGCGGAATGTCTGTGCTTCATCTTCAAATGCGCGGACGACTACCTCAACTCGCCCGCCTGCCAAAATCTTGTCGAGCCGGTCGAAGAGTTCACCTACCTCAACAACGTCATCACGCCTCTCTATCAGTACATTCGTGACCAAGGATACGAAATTTCCGACGGTGTTTATGTTCGACGGGAGCGGGATCACAACAAGACGATTGGTTATGATGACTGCAACCAGCTCTTCTGGTATCCAGAAGGCATAGAGCGGATAGTTCTCGAAGACAAGACCCGGCTTGTCGACATTCCGCCAGCCGAACGCTACCTGAAGCTCAAGGATGTCGCCTGGAAAAAGTGTTTCTTCAAGACGTACAAGGAAACTCGGTCCTGGTTCCATCTTCTCGTCAACTTTAACCGCATCTGGGTCATTCATCTGACCATGTTTTGGTTTTACACGGCACACAATTCACCTAGTCTAGTGCTTGGAAATAAGTACGAGCAGCGGAAGAATAACCAACCGCCCGGCTCTCAGCAGTGGTCCATCGTCGGCGTAGGCGGAGGAATTGCCTCGTTGATCCAGATCTTGGCCACCCTCGCAGAGTGGGCATACGTTCCGCGACGATGGGCCGGCGCACAACACCTCACGAAGCGGCTCCTATTTTTGATCGCAATATTTATCATCAACATTGCGCCCAGTGTGTACGTTTTCGGTTTCTCGGAGCCCATTCTCAAAGAGACCATCGCCAAGGTTCTCGGTATTGTCCAGTTCTTTGTTGCTGTCGCGACCTACATCTTCTTCTCCGTGATGCCGCTTGGCGGACTCTTCGGAAGCTACCTCACGAAGAATTCTCGCCGATATGTCGCAAGCCAAACCTTTACCGCGAGCTACCCCCAGCTCTCGGGTAATGACAGGGCAATGTCTTACGGACTCTGGCTGCTTGTCTTTGGGGCAAAATTCGGAGAATCGTACGCCTTCCTGACGCTCTCGATCCGCGATCCTATTCGTTATCTGTCAATTATGAAGATTGAGTGTCTCGGTGACTTTATGATCGGTAAGGTCCTTTGTGAGAACCAGCCTTCAATTCTGCTTGGGCTTATGATCTTCACCGACCTTGTGTTCTTTTTCCTGGATACCTACCTCTTTTACGTCCTGATCAACACGCTGTTTTCCATCGCGCGGTCGTTCTATCTCGGAGCGTCAATCTTGACGCCTTGGCGAAACGTTTACGCAAGGCTTCCAAAGCGTATTTATTCCAAGATCCTAGCGACTACCGACATGGAGATCAAGTATAAACCGAAGGTTCTGATCTCCCAGATCTGGAACGCCATTGTGATCTCTATGTACCGCGAGCATCTCCTGGCCATTGACCACGTCCAGAAGCTTTTATATCATCAGGTCCCATCCGAACAGGAGGGAAAGCGTACTTTGCGCGCACCAACCTTCTTTGTTTCCCAGGAAGACCACTCGTTTAAGACTGAATTTTTCCCCGCCCACAGTGAGGCTGACCGTCGTCTATCCTTCTTTGCCCAGTCGCTTTCCACGCCCATTCCCGAGCCCCTGCCTGTTGACAACATGCCTACCTTTACCGTCCTTATTCCCCACTACAGCGAGAAGATTCTCCTATCTCTTCGGGAGATCATCCGAGAGGATGAGCCCTACTCACGAGTGACACTTCTCGAATACCTCAAACAGCTTCACCCTCATGAATGGGACTGCTTTGTCAAGGATACGAAGATTCTTGCCGATGAGAGTTCTCAGTTCAACGGCGACTACGAGAAGAATGAGAAGGACTCGGCGAAGAGCAAGATTGACGACCTACCGTTCTATTGTATCGGCTTCAAATCGTCCGCCCCCGAATACACCCTGCGCACGAGAATCTGGGCATCACTTCGTTCGCAAACACTTTACCGCACGGTATCCGGGTTTATGAACTACAGCCGTGCCATCAAACTTCTCTACCGGGTGGAGAATCCGGAGGTTGTGCAGATGTTTGGTGGTAACTCAGACAAGCTTGAACGGGAACTGGAGCGTATGGCCAGACGAAAATTTAAGCTTTGCATCTCGATGCAGCGATATGCAAAATTCAAGAAGGAGGAGATGGAGAACGCGGAATTTCTCCTCCGAGCATATCCGGATCTACAGATTGCCTATCTGGATGAAGAGCCACCGCTGGCGGAAGGAGAGGAACCGCGTCTCTACTCGGCACTGATTGACGGACATTCGGAAATCATGGAAAACGGTATGAGGCGGCCAAAGTTCCGTATCCAACTTTCGGGAAATCCGGTTTTGGGAGATGGCAAGTCAGACAACCAGAACCACTCACTGATATTTTACCGTGGTGAGTATATTCAACTTATCGACGCCAACCAGGACAACTATCTGGAAGAATGTCTTAAGATCCGAAGTGTTCTTGCCGAGTTTGAGGAGATGAAGGTCGACAACGTGTCCCCCTACACCCCCGGAGTGAAAAGTCCAGTCAAGCATCCGGTGGCCATCCTAGGCGCTCGCGAGTACATTTTCTCGGAAAATATCGGTATTCTCGGCGACGTTGCGGCAGGAAAGGAGCAGACGTTCGGTACCCTGTTCGCGCGTACACTGGCCCAAATCGGTGGCAAACTTCACTATGGACATCCGGATTTCCTCAACGGCATTTTCATGACGACCCGAGGTGGTGTTTCCAAGGCGCAGAAGGGTCTACATTTGAATGAAGACATTTACGCTGGCATGAATGCCAGTCTTCGAGGAGGTCGCATCAAGCACTGTGAATATTACCAGTGTGGCAAGGGTCGTGACCTTGGCTTTGGGTCCATTCTGAACTTCACAACCAAGATTGGAACGGGCATGGGTGAACAGATGCTCTCCCGAGAATACTATTATCTTGGCACCCAGCTGCCGCTCGACAGATTCCTCTCGTTCTACTACGCCCACGCCGGTTTCCACTTGAACAATATGTTTATCATGCTCTCGGTGCAAATGTTCATGATCACCTTGCTCAATCTCGGTGCCCTGAAGCACGAAACGATAGCGTGCAATTACAACCCGGATGTTCCCATCACCGACGCCCTCCTGCCCACCGGGTGCGCCAACACCGACGCCTTGACCGATTGGGTGTACCGCTGCGTTTGGTCAATCTTCTTCGTCGCATTCCTGGCCTTCATTCCTCTCGTAGTCCAGGAAGCGACGGAACGTGGTGTCTGGCGTGCGGCAACACGACTCGCGAAACAACTGTTTTCATTCTCGTTGTTCTTTGAGGTTTTCGTTACCCAAATTTACGCCAACTCCGTCCAGCAAGACTTGTCTTTTGGTGGTGCTAGGTACATAGGAACCGGTCGTGGCTTTGCCACGGCACGCATCCCGTTCGGCGTGTTGTATTCGAGATTCGCCGGGCCGTCGATCTACTTCGGCGCCAGATTGCTTATGATGTTGCTTTTTGCCACGGTCACTATATGGCAGGCAGCCTTGACGTACTTCTGGGTCTCTATGCTAGCCCTTGTCGTCTCGCCCTTCATGTTCAATCCTCATCAGTTCGCCTGGAATGACTTCTTCATCGACTACCGAGACTTCCTTCGCTGGCTGTCGCGAGGCAACTCGAGATCTCATGCATCGTCCTGGATCGCCTTCTGCCGGCTCTCCCGAACACGGATTACTGGGTACAAGAGGAAGGCTCTCGGCGATCCCTCCAAAAAGATGTCAGCAGATGTCCCTCGAGCCGCTATCACCAATCTCTTTTTCGGGGAGATTCTTGTGCCCCTACTGCTCGTGGTCGTGACCCTGATTCCTTACCTCTATATCAACGCCCAGACAGGAGTCAGCGAGGGGGCCGAGGACACCAACGGCCCCACCAACTCACTTATCAGGATCGCCATTGTCGCTTTCGGCCCGATCGCCATCAATGCGGGTACCTTGTTAGTCATGTTCTTTATGGCCTGTTTTATGGGACCTCTCTTGAGCATGTGTTGCAAAAAGTTTGGAAGTGTTCTGGCTGCCATCGCTCATGGTGTTGCCGTTGTCATGCTTTTGGTCTTCTTCGAGGTCATGTTCTTCCTCGAGGGATTCCACTTCCCGAGGACCCTAGCCGGCATGATTGCCGTCGTGGCCATCCAGCGATTCGTCTTCAAACTCATAATCAGTCTGGCGCTCACGCGTGAGTTTAAGACGGATCAGGCAAATATCGCCTTCTGGACCGGCAAGTGGTACTCCATGGGTTGGCATTCCGTATCACAGCCTGCACGAGAATTCCTGTGCAAGATTACCGAGTTGAGCATGTTTGCTGCCGACTTCATCCTTGGACACATTCTGCTCTTCCTCATGCTCCCCGTCATCTTGATTCCCAAGGTTGACATGATCCACTCAATGATGCTCTTCTGGTTGCGACCTAGGTACGGCTCCCTGACTCCTCCTTGTTTCGTCCCCCATACCCTCTATGCCGCGAACTAACCAGTAAAGCAACAGCCGCCAAATTCGGCCTCCGATATATTCGATGAAGCAAACCAAGCTAAGACGTCGGCGTGTAATCCGATATGCAATCCTCTATTTCGTCATGCTTGTCGTCATCCTTGGCTTGATTGTTGGACCCACCGTCGCAGGGTCCAAGATTACAACAAATCTGTCAATGCTTAAGGATTTGAAGCTTGTCCAACCTGTCAACCAGAATAACAACAATACCAGTGCGGAACCAACGGGCGGAAGCACGGACGCAGAGCAGGCTGATGTCACGCAAGACGATGAGGAGGACAACTTGACGAAATTGAAGTTCCTACTTATCTAAGCAGCTGCAATGAAGAACGACAGTACGCCTCTCGTTCATGCTTCCAGCCGTCTCTGGAACTGGAAGATTGCGCAGTTGGCCTCTGAGCATGGCATGCCTATCAATCGCCCGATGTCAGGCCAGAGCCGACCGACGCATTGCGCTACCCTTTCAATCTTGAGCGCACCGTTTAGAGCATCATTGTATCTCGTCACGGCCCCAATCCACACCTCATCTGAATTTGTACAGTTTCATTATGTCTCAGCCGCTCATATGGAAGGATAATTCAGCTGGCCTGCAGGAAGTCGTGTCAGCGGAGTGGGTTTCGGTTTGGGTTCTCATTGTCCTTAGTACTAGTATATTTCATCACTGTCTTCTTCTTCTTACGCGATCAGAATAGATTTCATTTTCGTCCATCACACCTCGGCCCTCAGCACAATCAGTTCAAAATTAACACAATTTGATTACCTCGTATTACAATTGTATCACAGTGCTTGATCCATGGTCGACCCAGATTTATTATTAGTCAGCGGTTTACTGTTAGGACTGAGCTTTCTTCACGTGTGCGAGCTCTCGCCGGAGTGCGCGGTCGGTCTCCCCTTAAATACCAGACCCAGGCGACCAATCTAAGATTTTCCACCCCCTTTTCGCGAACCTCTTTTTCCTACCTCGCCCGCCCTCGACCGCATGCGAATTTGCCAATATGGATTTGAGCGATGCCCAGGAGTTCCTTACTACGGCCTTAAATACGGCGACCGCGGCATTTCAGAAGCTACCCGGCTCTGCCGTCATCGTCCGTTATGTGCGATCTAGCTACCAGAATGATCCTATTCGGTCAGCCATCGAGCTCATCCTAGTCCTCTTTTTCATTCGGTACCTGCTATCACCCTCCTATTCGACACAGAAGCAAAATTTCATTCAACTACGGGAAGATGTAGGTATATCCTCTTCAGTCCTACGCACTACTCTTCGCTAAACGATCTGCAGGAAATTGACGAACTCGTCGACGAGTGGACCCCGGAGCCTCTGGTCTCCCCGCAGACTACGCTCGAGGCCACAGAGTATGAAAAATTGCCAGTGATTGTCGGGTAAGCTGTCCGTTGTCAGGCACAGCCCTACCCGGCACGGATAACCCCCCTTGAGATGATTGAAGCCTAATTCATTCGCAGTGCAAGCGGGCCAAAGGCGAGGCTCTCAAACGGCCGGACGGTAACAAACCTTGGATCCTACAACTTCTACAACTTCAATGGAAACGAGCAGATTAAGGACAAGGCCATCCAAACGCTGCGAACATACGGCGTAGGGCCTTGCGGTCCTCCTCAATTCTACGGCACCCAGGACGTACATATGAAGACGGAGGCGGACATAGCTTCGTACATTGGGACAGAGGCGTGCATCGTTTATGCCCAGGCGTTCTCCACCATCTCTAGCGTCATACCCGCGTTTTGCAAGCGAGGTGACATCATTGTCGCCGATAGGGCTGTCAATTTTTCCATTCGGCGAGGACTACAGATCTCGAGAAGTAACATCAAGTGGTATAAACACGGCGATATGGATGACCTCGAGCGCGTCATGCGAAAGGTCGTGGAGGAGCAGAGTGGCAAGAGACTCACTCGGAGGTTTATTGTCACGGAGGGGCTTTTCGAAACAGTCGGCGATTCGGTTGATCTCCCCAGGCTGGTAAGTTTCTGCTCGCTGCTGAAAATCAGTGGCCTCGTCTGGGACCTCCACGCCATCAGCTCTCCTAGAGTGTACATCTTAAAGACGCACCCGCCTAGCTCTATCATGCTAATGCAAGTTACATAGGTTGGCCTGAAGGAAAAGTACAAATTCCGCATTATTTTGGACGAGACTTGGTCATTCGGTGTCCTCGGACGAACCGGCCGGGGCCTGACGGAAGCACAACATGTCGACCCATCCCAAATAGATATGATCATTGGCTCGCTTGCTGGACCCCTCTGCGCTGGTGGCGGCTTCTGTGCTGGGGCAAGGGATGTCGTCGAACATCAACGCATTTCATCGGCATCGTTCACTTTTTCGGCTGCCTTGCCTGCAATGCTTGCCGTCACTGCGAGTGAAACGCTGAATATGCTTCAGTCTAATCCCGACGTTATAGGTCTGTGCCGAGACAATATCAAGTCGATGAGGGCACAGCTTGACCCGCGAAGTGACTGGGTAAGATGCACGAGTGCTCCTGAAAACCCAATCGTACTCCTGGTACTGAAGTCGGAAGTTATCAAGTCGCGTGGTCTCACGCTCGACGATCAGGAGAGACTTCTACAGGAGTGTACTGAAGAGGTTAGTCCCTTACTGCATCATGTATGATTTAAACCTCTAACGTTTATAGGCCCTGTCGAATGGTGTTCTAATTACACGGCTGAGGACTTCCGCTACGCCAAGCAGGGCGGACCTCAAGGAAGAGTCGTGGGAAATACAGCCTGCACTCCGAGTCTGTGTGACGACAGGCTTGAGTAAGAAAGAAATTGAAAAGGCAGGAATAGTAATTCGGCATGCGATAACTAAAGTAATGTCGCGAAAGTAAATTATAATTAAAATCATATTTAATATTATAATTTAATTAATTTTTTATATAAAAATTTTTTTTAAAAATATAATATTATTTATATTTATAAAAAAATATTATTAAAAAAATATTTAAATTTATAATAAAAATATTTTAAAAGGTTTTTAAAATTTTTAATATAATATATAAATAATAATAAAGTATTTAAAAAAAAAATTTAAAAAAAAAATGTTTAAAGTATTTTAATTATTTTAAATTTTTTATATTTTCTTTTTTAAAAAACTAAATTATCTATTTTAAATAAATTTTTAATATTTTATAAATATAATTTTATTATTATTATTCTTTTAAATAATTTAAAATTATATAGTAATATTATCTATAAGTAATAAAAAAGCTTAGATAAAGATAGACTTCTTGATATAATTATAAATTAAAGATATTTAAAATCTAATTATAAAAGTAATAAATTTTAATTATAAAATTATTAATAAAACTTTAATTTAAAAAATAGATTTAAATTATTTTTAAACTTTTTTTTTAAAAGTTATATTATTTATTTAATTATTTAAAGCTTATTTTCTAATTATATAATTATTTTACTTTTTATTTTAATTAAACTAATTACTTTTACTACTTTTTCTTTTAAAGTTAATAATACTTTTAATTTAATTATAATATATTTAAAGTTTTTATTAAACTTTTTTATAATACTTCTTATAATATTTTTTAATAATTATAAAATTTATTTTTAAATATATTTTTAGTTTTTTTTTAATAAAATTTTTATATTATTTTTTTAAAACTTTAAATAGTTTTTTATATTAAAAATTTTTTATATAATTATATATATATATATATATTTTAAAAATTTTTATAATAAAATATTAAAAAAAGATTTATATTATATATTATTATTTTAAATATATTTTTATATTAATAAATTATTTAAGAAAATTATAAAAAAATTTTACTTGTTAAATTATTTTAAAAATTAAAAAAATTTTCTTTTTTATAATTTTATTTTTTTTTTAAATCTTTATTATTTTTTTTTAATTTTATTAATATTTTATTTTTAATATCTTTTTAAAAATAATATTTACTTTTTTTAATTAATATAATTTTTATTTTTATTTTTATTTTTATTATTATAATAATAATAAAATTTTTTAATAAAATATATTAATTTCTAAATCTAATATAGATTATAATTAAATATCTTTTTAATTTAGTTTATAATTAACTTTTATATTTAAATCTAAATTTATATTTATATTATTTTTTTTTATTTATAAAAACTTTTTTATTATTTATTTAATAATAAGTTTAAATATTTACTTTATTTATAAATTTAAATATAAAAGTTATTAAATTATAAATATTTTATATTTTTATTTTTTTAATTTTTTATTAAATTTTAAAATAATAATAAATTTTTAAAAGTATTAAAAGTTTATTATAATTAGTTATCTAATATTTAATAAATTTAATATAATTATAAATTATAATAAATTATTTAAAAAGTTTAAAAATTTATTATTATTTTTAAAATAATCTTTAAATATAAATTTATAATTTTACTATTAAATAAAAATTTTAATTTTTTAATAAAATTTAAAATATTTAAATTTTATTTTTTTAATTTTTTATTAAATTTTAAAATAATAATAAAATAATTTTTTAATTTATTTTAAATATTTTTTACTTTTATATTTTATTATTAATAAAGTTTATAAGATATTAAAAAAAATTTTTTTTAATATCTTATAAACTTTATTAATAATAAAATATAAAAGTAAAAAATATTTAAAATAAATTAAAAAATTATTTTATTATTATTATTAAAATTAAAATTTATATAAATTACTAAAATTTAAATAAAATTAAAAAATATTTAGTTTATAGAATTAAAATTTAAATATTTATTTATTAAGATTTTTTATAAATAAAAAATATATATTTTTATTTATTTTATATAATATTATTAAAATATAATTATTAATAATATTAATTTTTATTATTTAAGTTTAATAATTAAATTAGTAAAAAATGTTTATTTTATTATTTAAAAATTAAATATTTTAATTAATTAAAATATTTAATTTTTAAATAATAAAATAAACATTTTTTACTAATTTAATTATTAAACTTAAATAATAAAAATTAATATTATTAATAATTATAATATTTTTTTTATAATAATACTTTTAAAAATTTTTAAAAAAAAATATTTACTTTACTTTTATTATAAAAATTTTAAAATTTTTATAATAAAAGTAAAGTAAATATTTTTTTTACTTTAATATATTAATTAAATATATTTTTTAATAATTTATTAATTTAATTTTATTATTTATATTAATTTATTTTTTAATTTTATTTAAATTTTAGTAATTTATATCAATTTTAATTTTAATAATAATAATAAAAGTTTTATTAAAGAAATTTAAAAATAAATATTTATTTTTAAATTTCTTTAATAAAACTTTTATTATAAAAATTTTAAAATTTTAAAATTTTTTATATAATTTATAAAGTATAAATAAAAATATATTATAATATAAAACTTATTATTAAAATAATTTAGCTATAAAGCTTAATTAAAATATAGTTAAAAAAAGAAATTTTATAATATATAAATTAATTTAAAAAGTAAATTAAAGTTTTTATTATTAATTAACTTTTAATTAAAATATAACTTTTAGTAATATTAGCTATTTTTTAAATTATATATAATATATTTTTATAATTTTTTAATTTTTATAATTATATTAAATTTAAATTAAAATTATATTATTAAAAATTATTAGATATATTTTAGTTTAAAAAGCTTTTTTTAAAAAATAAACTTTATTTAAAAACTTTAAACTTTTAAAAATATAAAAAATAAATAATTTAAATAAATATAATAATTAATTACTAATTATATAATAAATACTTTTTATAAAAGAAATAGAATATATATATTTATTTATAAAAAAATAAATTATAAACTAAAAATTAAAAACTTTAAAAAAAATTAAATAAATATAAAATAAAAAAAACTTTTTTTAAAAATTAATTAAAATTAAATTTAATTTAAATAAAATATTATATATAGCTTTTAAAAATTTAGTATATATTATAATAGTAAAAAAGAAGCTATTAGTAAAAAAGAAAACATTTTTATATAATTATAAAAATAAGTTAAAAGAATTTTATTTTCTACTATAAGCTGTAACTATTATATAAAATAACTAAGCACTTAACCGCTCGACTAAAAGGTATACTTATAGAGGAATTAATTACTATAAGATTATTAAGCCCTATAAAGTTAGAATATATAACAGTATACCCCTCTAGGGTAACTAGAAGCACCTAACCCCAGGTACACCTCTAAGAGCGGAACCTTATATTCCTCTATAGCTAAGACACCTTTATAAAATTAGCTACTGTATACGCAGAAGTAGTAGGCGCAGTATACTTACTAAAGTACGAAACCTAACTTATATACCTTCTATAGTAGGAGCCTATCTATAACGGGCTACGCCGTATATATAGCTTCGGCATGAGCCTAAGCTAAGATGCCGCCACGCTAGTATTATAGAGATGGTTCGGAGGCACAGGCTAGCCAGCACCCTAAATAGCACAATTACAGTAATAATACTAATAGGAATATCTACTCTAACCCCTTTCTAATTAAATTCCTTTCTTCTTCTTTTTCCTATTAAAATCTTCCTATATATAAGCTTCTATTAAGTAGTACTACTTTATAGATCTTTTATATTAGGTTTTAATTTCTAATATTATAGATAAAGCCCTACTCTCTAAATAATTTAGAAAGAAGAATACTACTAATTAACTAGTAATAATAAGGATTTTACTAAATAATAGTAATGATAATAAGTTAAAGCCTTACTCTAAAAACTATAAAAGAAGATACTACTAAGTAATTAGCAATATAGTACTATTAAGTAACTAATAATGATAATAGAAGTTAATATAGCTATAATAGGGAGTATACTTTAAGAGATAGACCCTTTTATAATAATTATAAACTAACTTTGATAGATTATTAAAGAATAGGTAAGGTAAAAGGAGATATATAAAATATAGATTAAGATACTATAAGAGAATATAGCTTAACTAACTTCCTAAACTATTATCTCTATAATTTATATACTTAATTTTAAGTATAATAATAATAATAATAGTAATACTTTTAATATTAAGAGTACTATTCTACTATAGAGTATATAGAAACTATAGCCTACCCTATTTAACCCTTCTAAGTTTAATAGATAAAGGAACTAGTTTTATATATAGATATTAGAGATAAAGAATAAGCTTTTTATTAATATTAATACTATTAGTAATAGGAGTACTTAATTTAATTATATATATTCCTACTTAGATATAGTCTTCTAGTAGATATATACTACTTATATTAAGTTTAATAGTTTAGGTAAGTCTCTAACTAACTTCTTAATATATTTCTATATATATTATAGGGATTTAGATAAGGAGGAGAAGGCTTTAGATAAGTTTAAAAAGCTTAAGTAAAAAGATAATTAACTTTTTACTTACTTCTACTTAAAGTTTAAGATAGTATTAGCTAATGTAAGAGGGGTGATATAGACTAACTAGGTAAAGAAGGTAGATCTAAAGCTAGCTTTTAATAATTAACTATAGAAAGTAGTTATTAACTAGATTATAATACTAGATAAATATAATAACTATATTAGGGCTTTCTAAAAGCTTAGTTCTTAGCTAAAAGGCTTTTATATAAGATAAGAATATTAGTAATACCCTTTATAACTATTAAAGCTAGTAACTAATAAAATAAAATAAAAACTTATACTTACTATTACTACTATATTTTATTGCTAACTACCTATTGATAGGCTACTAAGAAAATAGCCTTAGTAATAATATTTAAAGGAAGAAGATAATATATTTAAAAAGAAGAAAG